AACCCTAACCCTAACCCTAACCCTAACCCTAACCCTAACCCTAACCCTAACCCTAACCCTAACCCTAACCCTAACCCTAACCCTAACCCTAACCCTAACCCTAACCCTAACCCTAAAAAAGGCATTGCTTGAGGAGAACCTGGAGAGTTTAGTGTATGAGTATGAAAGGTATAGCACTGTCACTGCTTACATCCATACTCTCCTCCCCTACAAGACTTACTTCGTCTCAGCCTGGGTTGATGCTGTTACTCACCTTGGTTCCTCGGTGACATCGCGAGCTGAAGGTGCCCACACCCTAACCCTAAGTCACATTCAGGTCAGCACGGGTAACCTCATTACTGTCGTCGATCGTTCTCGGTCCTTCATGGAGGAACAACACCAAGAGATCCTGGGCAAGGTTGCTAAGGAGAAGATAAGTGCTGCGACTTCTTTAACAGCTCCTTTCTTTGCCGATGTCAAGTACAAGGTTTCTGCCTTTGCGCTGGACATGATTGAGCAACAATACATCCTTGCACGTCGGGAGTTGGCCACCGAGTTCAGGTTGCCCCACATGTCGGGGTTACATGAAGCTAGTTTTTGGTCTACCCTGCGCCCATGCCATCATCGAGGCATTGGAGGGAGATCGTGTTCTCTCTATTAATGATATACACGGGCACTGGCATCTTGTCCTCGACGAAAACTACATTAAGGGGCCTGCAACTCCTGACACCAACCGACAAGTTCGTGATCCTCAAGTCTTCAACGCTAGAGGACGCCCGAGGGGCTCTCAAAACCGCCGACCAGCCAGGCCACAAAGCTCAACTCAGCGAGATCCCAGTGCCTTTGAGATCGTTCAGGCCCCAGCAAGGCTCTGTGGTTTATGCAGGCGCCCCAGCCATGATCGGAGGACATGTGAGCTTCGTGGAACCCAAACACCAAGCCAGACTCAGCATCCTATTGCTCCAGTGAATGGTGGGCCATCTCAACCTTGGTTTGTACCGTCCTACGATCCCCTCGAAGCTGCTCCGGTGCAATATCAGTTCTATGGCCCTCCCCCCGGGGTGCCATGGAATTACTTTGGTGGGTATGGGCACTGAGGAGTCCGTGGGAGTGTTCTGGTTTTTTTTTGTACATACTGCTAATGTAAATAATATTATCTTGTCGTGTTCTGCTCTGATCTCTCCGATTTGGCAGCTGCGGCGCCGAATCCGCGCGCGGGGTGTGTTACGAAGAGAATGGGGTGTGCCAGGATCAGGACCCATAACTATGGACCGTGTGCTATTGTCGCATATCTCACCGAACATTTCGAACCGTTTGCGACCTTCCTAGGCCTTCAATGGAGTTGTTCTGTTGGTTTTACGGTGAGGGTTTACGGAGCATGTGCAGCTACCTGCAGATTGCGACAGGCATTTTGCAACCAGCTGTAGTGTCGTCCGGCTGCGGCGTTTACTCATACGTCGAGTCGCGGTTGTGCCCTTGAGCTTCGCTGGAATCGAATGGGTAGGGAGAGTCTTCAACATCCAAATCCGAACGCCCGACGGTGGTGTCGTAGATGCGTTCAGGATGATGTTGTATGGACATCTTGTCGAGTTAGGAACCACGCAGTTAGGTAACCCCCTCTTCACTGGCTGATTTATGTGGCTGTCTTAGCCGGGCACAGGCTCTGTGTGTTGGTTATCGTAGGCAAAGTTTCTCAAGCGGGCAGTTTCCTCCAAGGGATTGAGACTAAAGCCGGAGACGGATGTCAATGTATATGATCGTGTCCGATGCTACCAATGTTGGAGGTACCCCACGTAAGTGTGTAAAAGGTCTGATTCTTCCAGTAGAGAGCGAAGCTCCCTTATATCTAAGCAACTATACTATGATACAAAGGTATCAGTGTAGGGTAACCTAGGGCCTGTAGCCCTGCAGAGGCGGTTTCACTCAGCGTGCCCTGCAACATACCCCGTGGGCCGTGGAGGTGCGATGAACGCGACTTGATTCTACGGTAAGCCTGTCATAGGAACGAATCCAATCACACCAGGCGTAGATATTCGAGAATTTGTGAAGATGTGTTCATGATTGCTACCGTACATATACCAGTGTCGAACGGCAACTCCGAGAACATGCCCCGTCATTTCCTCCTCATTGCCACCAACGTGCCGATCATCTCCAAACACCCGCTACAAGCACTCAACCCACAACTTCGACATCTCCTCCCGTCGTCACCTGAACCCTTCACCTTACACGCCTCACACCGCTCCTCCTTCCGCTTACCAAACAACTTCCCCTTCCCCTTAGACCGTGCCCAAGTATCCTTGCCCGTGCACTTCCCGAGATGAACAGCAACATCGTCCCAACCAGACAACCCCACCAACCGCCTCCCAAGATCATAGTTCAACAGATCACTCCATCGACTCATTCTGACTCGTGCCTCCCTCCCCTCGGGTACCCACACAACATCCCCGCAATTCCCGTCTTCCAGCCTCCAAGGTTCAATCGCTTGCCGCACGACGTCCACCGCTCCAATCCTCTCGACATGTGGAGTGCACTCGCACCCTCGTACCCCGACGCCGCCGGCATCGACGAGCCACGCGGCTCCGCAATGATAACAGAACCCATATCCGCAAAGACAGGAAACGTGTGCGCACCCATCCTTCAGTTCAACCCAACGAGTACAATTTGCACATTGACGCCATCCTCGCTCCGCCGCCAAATGTAGTAACTGCAGTGCCGATGTCATGTCACATGTACGATCGGGGTGTGAGGTAGCGTAGCATTTTGTGCAGACGTCTTGATTGCAGTGAGGACAGGCCGGTGAGGTGCTGACATCCGTTCGTGATCCGACAAAGGCACCGCAACGAGCGCTAGGGCAGTACACTCGTTCGCGAAGCGCGACAGCCCATTCTCTCTCCTTCTCGCTCCATAGTAGACACTCCGTGCCATTCAGCACCATATCCGTTCGTAATCCTTCCATCACTGGTCTTTGGCAACAGCGAGGCGGATCAGGGGAATCGAGTGCGTTGAGAAGATAGGTGCGTAGACATTTGAAGTCGTAGCCGTGACCGCAAGGCGCAACGTGAGTTCGACTTTCGGGCGAGCTGATTAAGCAGAGGTTACACTGGAGGTATGTGTCGCCAAGGGAGACGCCGCTGTCTTGGCGTTGAGTCGTAGGGGAGATGTTGCGCAGATCGTGGAACGCTGCTTGATGTGTAAGGAAGGGATTGGTGTTCGTAGGCATCGGTGTATATACCTCGCGTGGATAGGCATACGAAAATGGTGAAAGCGTTGTCGTCGATGTCGGCAGCTGGTCCACCAAACCCAATCCTCTCCTCTCTACAAACTCCCTGAACTCATCCAAACCATCCATATCGTCAACAATACCCTCATCCAGCACCCGCTCTTCCTCTGGCTCAGCAATGTATGCCGGCGCCGATCCTTCTCCAACCGCGTCTCCATACGTCGGCAATTCTTCCTCTGCCTCCTCGTGTCTCTCACCCGTCTGCGTTCGCAACACTTCTCTCATCTCCTCGAGGTACACACGATACACGGGAATGATCTCGGCGCTCAACGGATCATTCGGCGTGATGGATGCGAGGTAGGACTGAATCTCATTAAGTTGGAGCCGTATGGCTTCGTGATCGAAAGCTTGGTGCTGGGAATGAGGTTGAGAGAAGTCCATCGTATCGTTGACGTTGCGTCGCTCAACAGCGGACGTTCAGTTGTGCGAGATGCTTGTCATGGACGACTTCAGGTGAGTTGAGGTAGACATGACGTTCCATGGCTGAATAGAGTTGCGACTTCGGTGAGGGCCCGCGAACGTCACCAGTTGAAGCCGTCGTAGCCGAGGAGCCGTCGCAGCTGGGTGGGTTCTTACCCTAAGGGAAAGTTCTCTTATACGAAGATCCTTTCTTCTCGACTGATCGCCATGTACATCTGCTGGACACAAACTTTCGCGAGCAAACCCTTTGACGTCATATCCACTCACGCAATATAACACCTAAACGTCTTCAGCTGAACTTCCCTAACACCATCCGCTATATATCGCTATGCTAAACATCCGCTTGGCCAGATCGACTTTGATCTCTACCTCCAACAGACTGGCCATGGGCGGTCTCCGCTTCGTAGGCACCGGCTCCCAGATGTCGGACAACGATCCTGCCGTACGTCGCTCTCGTCTTCCCCCCCCTTTACTCCCTTACTAACAGCGACCTTAGAAACTCCAACGCGCGAAAGAGCGCCACCTCAAAGGCGAAGACAAGGACAAGCCCATGGACGACGCTCCCGGGTGGAACGAGACCTTGGCGAGTACGAGTGAGGCGCACGTCAAGGCTGATAAGGAGGAGGGGACTATGGAGGAGTTCCAGAAGAAGACGGTGCAGCATGTTTCGAAGAAGCACCATGAGTAGGATCTGACGAGGAAGGCGGAGGACCAGAGAGAGGAAGAGAATGCGTGTAAGAGTACCGAGGGCTGTAATGTACGTATGGATAGGTAGGAAGGATACCCGTATATATACCCTGGTTATATGACTCCTTTTTGCACTCGCAGCCTAATCCTTTGGGACTATGTCGGTACGGGTGGTGTTATCAATCGGCAGCGTTGAAGGATCGGACTGACGGTGTACTCCCTGGACGTCAACTTCTTGCCCTTAAAGCTCCTCCGTCGTCACTTGATTCTACTAGCATGAAGTTCACGAGTTCGATCACGTTGATACGGATCCCTTTCTTGATCTGCCGGGTGAAACGGGACGTATGCATATGTACCGTGCACCGTACACCCGCACCAAGACAAAAAACGCGAAGGAAGAAAGCCCCAGCTCAGTATTACCTATCCTACAACGTCTGGATCTGAATCCGTACTTGAGTATCCCTCCGACGCAAAGTACTCAAACACGAACTCAAGTCTTGGTTCAGACCCACGACTTCCATCCTCCGCCTGAAACTCACTTGCGATGAACATGTCCATTCGGCGCGGTATAGGTCGAGCTTCCCTGACCGTTGTTGTAGTATGTGGAGTTGTCGGACTTCTGGTAGTAGTAACTCCAGTTCCTTTACCAAGCTGTCAGCCCATCCTTCAGCGAGTTCCAACTTCACACGGGGCAGATGTCAGGAGTAAGGAGGAGAAGGGAGAGCTTTTGACTAGTTCACACGGTCTCAGGGGTCCGGACGTTCCTGGAATGGGCAAGTCAATCGACCGGATGGTGCAGGGTCCCGCCCCGCCCTTACCCCGCACCCCGCTGGTTGATCTCCAGATCCAACAATGACGGCCTCACCAAACACCCTGACAATCCTCCCCCTCTCCCCCGCCGAACACTCCACCCAACTCCTCTCCCCCCGCTCCCTCCAACACGCCCTCGAAGCCCTCCACCGCGACGGCATCGTCGTCCTCTCAAACGCCGTATCCCACGGAAGCATCGATGCGTTGGAAGCGCGGATGTTGAGCGATGTAGACGTGTTGAGGAAGAAGGACGGGGATGCTATGCCGTATAACTATAACCGGGGGAATGTGCAGCAGGATCCGCCGCCTGTTGTTGAGTGCGTTCCCTTCTCCCTTTCTCTTTCCATAGTGCTGACGGGTGCGACCATAGGTATTTGAAGAAAGACGTCTTCATGAACCCCTTCGCCGCACACCTCGCAACACACTACCTCGGCCCCACCCCGCATCTCCGGTTCAACAGTGGTAACACCGCCCTTTTCTCGCCCGAGGGTGCACGACAACCCGTCCACACGGACGCCGATTTCGATCATCCGAAGATCCCGTTTGCGGTCGTGGTTAATGTCCCGCTCGTCACCATGACCCCCGAAAACGGTACTAATCATCCCTCCCCCAACCCGCAAGCTGATACTTAACCCTAACGCAGGCTCAACCGAACTCTGGCTCGGAACCCACACCTTCACAACCCTCTCCCACCAAGAAGGCGCCCACGGCGACCGTGCGAGTGGTCGGATTGTGGAGTCTGGACTGAAGGAACGGAGGAGTGCTGGGATTGGTCCCATTCAAGGGACGATTCCAAAGGTTCGTGACGTTAGGGGAAAGTGAGCAGTGTAAATGCTAACGCATCCACGCAGGGCTCAATCATCATCCGTGACCTCCGCCTTTGGCACGCAGGTCTCCCAAACCACACCCACGCCCCCCGCATCATGCTCGCGCAAATCCTCTTTGCGTCATGGTATCGGAACAAGATGTCAATCACCCTTCCCCTCGCTGCTAAAGAGATGGTGGAAGGATGGGAGAGGGAGACGGGAGTGAGGGTGGAGGCCGAGTGGGTGGAGGGGGATGGGGAGGGGTATTTGGAGAGGGCTAGGTTTGGGAATGATTATGACTTTGATCAGGAGGCTTGATTGTAGATATCTTCAGGAGAGAGCGTGAATATGGAAATTGTCTTTGGTTGTCCCGGCGAGCGCGTGAGAGCTGTTGTGCGCATACAGTACACTTTGATTCTCCAGACAAACTCCCATACCGTAAACCGGCTAGATACTGTACATCGCCAATGTGATCGCCCTCTTATAAATCCTCCTCACATATCTGAAGGATCTGAAAGGGCCTCTTTGGGACGAAGAGACAACTCACCATCTGGAGTATCTACATAACCCAATTCCGGGGCTTCACAAAGGCCGGGTTAGGGGGAGAGGGTTCTTGCGGGGGCAAGTGTGGATGGGGTGTTTGAAACGAGGGGGAGGAAGGTTGTTTTGATGTGATTGTGCTTTGTTATTTTTGCTTGGTTAGCGGTGTACGATTTTGATATCTGGATTATTGCTACGATCTTGAGAATGTGCGATAGGGGGTGAGGATGGGAGGCGTACGGAGATCACATACATTGGACTATCAATACACTTCAACTGCTATCATATTACACATTCGGGGTTCATCGTCCTTCTTTAATTCGCACAGCGTCGATGTAGAAAGTCACATCGCAATCGTCCTCTTCGAAAAGACGTAGTCGGTCACGAAAGTGCTGTACGTGGAGTCATCTAAATTTCAGCATACGACGAACCTCTCGTCTCCAAGGAAGAAGATTCGGCATTCAGGTGTGGTCGATGGCAAGTGGCAGGAGTTATCTTGCCACGTATGACTTTGAGTCCAAGCCTAAGGGGATCCCTCGAACTGTGTGAATGCCCAAGCAGTTTGTGGATGAGGGTAGAGTTGACGTCGGATTTGACGTCGGATCACGAGAAGTCGAAGACAGGCCATGGAAGGCTTTCAAAGAGCATCGCGGTCCAGAGGAAGAGAAGGAAAATATGTATCTCGTTGTCTCAAGGATATGCGCCGCTTCGTAGAAGTTCCCCCGGCTGCAGAGCTATGGTGACTGGTTCTCCGTCAATCTCGACACTCGATGAGGACCTTGGACATACCGCATTCAAGTCTCGACTCATCTTTGTGTGTAGTGATGTGAGGCAACACGAGGTACGACCTCGGCTGCTACATGGTCACCTTACCCGACGACGTACCATCTCAGCGTCTCATCACCGGGAACAACAAGGATTCGCCGGTCAAGTGTAACACAGTCATCATACCGACTTGAGTTTGCGCTCAGACGCATGACTGAGGTTGTGGTGATGAGGAGATGTGTGTACCCCGAGCAGGTTGTGGATGAAGGAAAAGCTCTGCCGCATATCCGAAACATTGGAGCCATACCATAGCCAGGGATTTCAAGAGGGACACGATGCCGAGAAGGAGGACGAGGATTCCATGAAGGTAGGCCTTTATCTCTTGCTCCGTGAGGTTCCTCTGGTTATGGAGTTTCCTGAACGGGTGTGTGTGTAGACGCTCGATACTCGAAACAATAACCGGACTTGGTCGACTGGCGCGCCCGTCTTCTGGGGTGAAACTCTCTGAGGATCATTTCATCTTGCGAGGTTCTTTCGACTCGTCCGAGGAATACAAAGAACGTCGCAGGATAAAACCACCCTCAGAGTTCGTGAGCATCCATGATCTGGCTTTCTCGATGTCGTCGTCCTGAGCGAGCGAGGTTTGCGTTAAACAAGGAGCTCCCCGTAAATTCGCGATGAACAGCAAGCAGCAATGACCTCCTTGCTCCGAGTGACCGGGCGTCTATCGACAATTCAAGCCTATACGCATCTCCATCATCCGATCTCGTTGGTAAGTGTCGCGAGCGCTGAGTGATGTGTCCGCATTCGTGCAACAGGAGGACCGCAGAAGCCGGAGTACCTCGGTAAATGAAGGTAACATACGGTCCTCACCCTGCGCTTGCCAGGCGTTGACGAATTGCGTCCAAGAAGGAAACAATCCCTCGATCGATGTTGGTATCGCCGGCGTACCTTACCGTAAGGCTTCTATGAACCTTTCTTAGTAAGAATCCTAACGTGCTTGTTCTCACCCCATCCTGTATCATACCGCTCAGGCAACACTCCCCTCCGCGGCAATGGCAATCAACCTCCTCGTGTTCACGCCGCTCCACCGTGTCGCACCGTATCTCGATCTCTCGATGACTCCAACGCTACGTCGTACGCTCAACACAAGTCAGACAGCAGAGCGGCATCCATCCATCTGGGCGTAGGCCAAGCTTTCCCTACGTTCCTCCACCTCCGTCACTGATCCGATGAATCCCGATAATGGGCCGCGATGGATGCAGCGCCTCTCTCCTGGTAGGTAACACAGCAAACAACATGTAAAATGGGTAGATGCGTCCCGAAAAGCAAGTCCATGGGCAGAGGCATAACCCACATAACGCCTCTCTCATCGCAGTTTTCATAGGAATAACTCGAGAAGCGGAGTGTACGCGTCCAGAAAACCAGTTCCACGCACTTCACGGCCAAAAACAGTCGGTACCGATCCATCAAACGGTCCATCACGCGTCTGGCCTTTCGACCCGATCCCTCCCGGATCGATCGCGCTGTAACGACGGTATGAATCCATGAAAGGTCCGTCATTCAGCCCCAACATGTAATTGTTCATTCGGACGCAGCTTGTTACTATTTTTGGCGGTTGGTGAGATATGGCAGAGGGCCGTTGTTGCAAGGTCGTGTCGTGGCTGGATAAGGTTTGCGGAGGTGTGCGGGCCGGAGATTGGAGAAACTGCTGTCGTAGAAGGAAAAACATGATCGGTTTTTGCTTTCATGGGTTTAGTTCTTGTTGAAAACGGACCGCGTCCATCTGGAATCAGAGTCGACGACTCCAAAACCCGACCCAACACCCCACCATAGCATGTAACGTCGAAACATCCTCGGCTTGTCAGAGCTGTCACGTCAGTTCAAATCGACAGAAAGGTAAGTACTCTCTTCAATTGCTCCTGTTCGCTTCTGATCTCCGGATATCAGCGGCAGGCCAAGAATAGCAAGGACATGTCGCGGACGTCCCGGACCGATGCCATGAAACCTTCTTCAGCCCTCACCGCATCCATGGCAATCTGCCGAGATCTCTTGCGCTGAGGACATGCGCTCATTTGCGCGTGCCATGGCCCTCACGATCCGGGCCGTCCGATACGGTCCTCCTCCGCCTTCTCCGTCTGTTCGTTGACCTTGGCCATGGTTCTTCGACCCAACGGCTGCCTATAAAGGCTGCCGTCGTCCTCCGTCTCTCTCAATCTCATCAACCCACACCACACTCCAAGAACACCTTCGTTCTACAACTCTCTCGCTTCTACTTTCGTTCACACAACTACAAACAAATCAACCAACAATGAAGTACCTCACGCTCCTCGCCTCAACTCTCCTCGTCACCTCCGCCCTCGCCGCTCCCGGCTACGAGTACAAGTCCGAGGAAGAATGCACGACCACCTCTTCTGAGGAGTGCTACACTACCACCTCTTCTGAGGAGTGCTACACTACCACCTCGGAGGATTGCTACACCACCCCGACCCCGTATGACTGCTACCCCGTCACCGTCTGGTCCACTTGTTACGAAACCGACACTTGCACAGTCACGGACATTGAGTACACCACTGAGTACAAGACATGTACCGAGACCGACTACTCGACTTGCTACGAGGAGACCACTTGCTACGACACTTGCACCACCACTGAGTACTGCACCACCACCGAGGTCTCCTACTGCACCGAGTCCGTCTGCAAGACGCCTTACACTACCTACGTTTGGGTTCCCCCGTCATACACTGAGTCCTCTTGCTCGACTGTTTACCCTTGTGGCTATACCGTTCCCACGGAAACTTGCACGACTACTGAGACCTCCATCTGCTACGAGACCACGACTTGTTACGATGAGGTGACCTACTGCTACACTGACCCCGGCCCGACCGTGACCAAGGAGGTCGAGGTTACTTGCACCGACTACGTTTACTCCACCGAGTGGTGCACTGAGACCTACACCGACTTCTACACCGACTGCTCTACCTACGTATGTATCCCAACGGCTCTGTTTTCCTCGTTCGTCTGCTAACAAACGTGCTTAGATCTCTTACTGCACGGAGACTTGCACTGTCCCGTACACTTGCACCGAGACCGAGACTTGCACTGTCACGGCGACGCCCAAGACGGAGACTTGCACGTACACCTCGATCGACTACTGTTACTCCACCATCTACGATGAGTGCACGGTGACCGAGACCTGCTACGAGACTGTCACGGCTGACTGCAAGCCCACGACCACCGAGTGTGAGCCCACCGAGACCCCTTACAAGAAGGGATGGTTCTGAGCGAGTCGTTAGTGCGGAAGGAGTTGATGGAAAGCTGATGAGATGACGAGTTCTACTTCTTGGTCTTTTTCTTCGTATTTTTGGTTTTCTCTTTTCTTGACCTCCGATCTTTTGAGCTGGGAGGTACCACTCTTTCTGCATTTCTCAGCGAGATGAGTCGGCTTGATCTTCTTTTTTAGTACAGTTTTTCTTGGATGTGCGTTCGTTCGTGTTCGTACTTTGTCGCGTTTAGGGGATGTCAATTGAAGTTTTAAGTGGATGACCTTTACGTTCTGAATTTTCGTAGATCATCTCGCGCCGTGCTTCTCTAAAAGGCAGGACTTGGATGATGAGGTTTACTGCAGCACCGAGGTTCCTACGCCTGTCCGCTTACTGTCTCCACGAGAAGATATGGCCACGGCGACTCGACGATATTGATAATAGCATCTACTTTTAGCTACCTGTTGGCGTAAACAAATGGAGAGAATGCTCCATTCTCACCGATGTCATGAAAAAATAGATATCACCATGATGCGCCTTCTTCCAACAATGGATCGAGCAGGTTAAAGATGCTGGGTATGGTCATCGTTTACTCCGAGATGCCAGCTCTCGAGTATATTCGATCTCTGTTAGGTCCTCGGACTCACTTCCGTCGCTGTAAGAATGTCAGTTAAGCTCCGTGACAAAACTGGAAACACAAACTTACCGGCGTCGTATCGATTCCAACAGTAACGGTCCTCGCCGCTGCGGATGCCATGCCACTTCCACTCTGTGTCGTCGCAGCGATCCTGCTTCGAAGCGAGTACCCCTGGCTTCCACCAATCGTATTGCCTTTAGCCGGACTACTCCTCACCGGTGTCCCAATGCTCGTGCTCACACTCGTCGTACTGCTCTGACCACTGCCAAACGTACTTGGCGATATCTTCGATGGCGCATTCCATTTGGGTAAGTCGGGTAAGGGACGGCCGGAAGGTGCGAGGGGTGATGCAACAATCGTAGACGTCACACGGGCGCGAGCTTTAGTTGGCGACTTGGAGCGGACGACGCCTGTGACGAAGTCGTGTTGCAAGGCTTCCATGGGCGTCATACGTGCGTCCGGTGACCACTTCAGACACTTTGTGATGAAGTCCAGGAAGGAATCATCCGCAGCCGTGAACTTGAGCGCTTGTGCCAATGACTTCGTCGATGGGCGTCGAATCTTTCCCTTGGAGCTCTTGTGAAGCTTCGGCTTCAGGTTGCTCTCTATTGATACTCATTAGCAACTGTCCCTCGTCATCTTCTCAACCACGTTACCGAAGAAGATCCGTCTCCGATCCGACTTTTCAATCAAATGCCTCTCCGGCGGACCAAAAATCTCCATAATGCACGCCAACTGCTCTTTCTCATCCTCACCAGGAAAGATCGGAAAGCCCGTATACAGTTCCGCCAGAATACATCCCAAACTCCACATGTCAATCGGCATACCGTAGTTCATGCCAAGAATGACCTCGGGCGAGCGGTAAAAGCGGGATTGGATGTAAGTGTAGACTGTGTCGATCTTGTCAGTCAAAGACTCGGGCTGAAACAATTACTGTCACATACCTTTCTCATTTTCGAAACACGAACTTCCAAAGTCAATGGTGCGGATCTCACTGCTGAGGGAATGCGACAGCAACACATTCTCCGGCTTCAAATCACAATGAATGACCTTGTGCTTGTACAACAGGACCAAGCTTTCCAACAACTGGATCGTAAACCTATCTCAAACGTTAGCAAAGTCTCTCGTATCGATGATATCACAAACCTCCTGATCATCTCCAACGAACACCCAATAAACCCATTCCCCTTCACAAACTCATACAAATTCATCCCCAACAACCCAGTCACGATACACAAATGCCCCCTAAAATAAAAGTCATCCTCGACCCTAACGACTCTCGCCACATCGTCCGGATCCCAATCCGTCAGTCGGCGCAGGATATCGACTTCGATGACGGCTTGTGCGTGGAACCGCTTCTTGTTTCGGATGATTTTGATGGCGACCCATTGTCCAGATTTCCAGTCAAGACATCGGATGACGGAGCCGAATGAGCCTTTACCGAGCATGTCGACGCATTGGTAGCGGTATGCGAGATGATCTCCCATGACGGGTAAATAGTCACCTCGCTCGTCGTCATACCCAGCACCTGCCTCTCCCCTCGCAATATCACCCTGCCTCTTCTTCGTCCCCGGAACGCCCGTGAACCAAACAGGGTTGTAATCCCTAATCTCCCCAACCTCATACAACGTCAAATCCGCATCCCTCAGCTCACGTTCCGTTAGTTCCCTGCCACGCGTACTCCGCTCCCACAACTCCTCGACGAGACGTTCTTTCTCCCGTTCGGCTGCGTCGGCCAAGTGTTTTCTCCCGGTTTGGAGGTTACGCATTTCTGCGTCCACCGCAGCGATGTTAAGCTCCTTGACCTCGACAACAGTCCTCTCGACCTTCCCCGGACTCGACCACGGCAACGGCGGCGGTCCCATCGCGTCCAATCCAAGTTTATCGCCCTTCCCGAACCCAAATCCGCCAAAACTCAATTTCCGGCGTCGTTCACCATAACTCGTCGGCGGCGCAGACGGTAGAGGTGGAACAGGATCCCCAAGCACACTCTTTCTCTCCTTCTCCTTCCTGGATCCAGACCGCGACAAGGATTTAAAGAATCCCTTGACCTCGGATCCGGCCTGTGCGAAACTCATACTCTTCTCCTTTCTGTGACCTCGAATTTTCTCACCGGGCGCGTGTGCGCTTGAGGTCGGGGGGTACGGTTTGGTAACTGAATGCAGGCCGTCTGCCATTGAGATACTCTTGTTGAGGGGTTTGGGTGGTACGTGCTTGGATGTTGCGGTGGGCGTAACTGGACTTTCCTCTCTCTTCCCTCCCCCGCCAAAGAACGTATACCGCGATGCCGTCAAGGGAGTTTTCAACTTCCTCTCCTTATCGACAAGTCCAGTCCCACTAAACTTCTTCGGTGTCTCAAACCCGGTAGCCAGCGGCGTCCCAGAAGACGGCGGTCGACTTCCTACTCCGACACCCTTCGCCGACTTGATCGGTGATTCACCAACCTTGATCCTACCACCCATCGCACTCCCCGGATTCTTGAGGTAATACGGCGGCAGAACCAGGGGCTCAAGCGCAGGCTTCGATCGTTGCTGAGAAGTTGTCGAAGAGGTAGTACCACTTGGTGGTCGTGCAAATGGTGTAGGGCGTGTCTGCGTTGTATGCGTGACAGGCGAAGGTCGTTGAAACGGTGTCGGTGGTGTCGAACTTGGCATATTACTACTCCGTACCGGTTGCACTGTCGCCGAGACGTGCCGTAAAGTCCGTGTTCGCGGACTCTCCCTCCTCCCCGTGCCAAGTCCATCCGCCTTGGTTTCACGTAGTGCAGTCGCTACTGAGCCCGTGCTTGCGTATGATGCCGATGGTATGCGGGTGCGAGATGTGGTTGTTGGTGGTTGTCGCGGGGTAGCATTCACGCCCGGTTTGGACGTCGTTGGGGGTGTCGTCCCTTCCGAACGCAATGAACCGCGCACAGGTGTAGAGGCCGTTCGAACAGACGATTGGTACCCTGACGGAGCGGCATTCATGCCAGCCCCACTCGCCACCCTCCCCGCAGTCGGACTGATCACACTCGCCCTACTCCTAGCCAAACTCGCCTTCGTAGGCTGCATCACCCGCTCCAGTCCCTTCGGTAAGGCTGGGACGGGCGGGACCTCGAAGGCCTGGTCGAACATGTAAGCGCTTTTCCGGCGTGAAGCACGGTCTGTTGGTGATACGGTCCGGGTCAGAGTTGGTTTCCGCGGGCTTGACATTGTTGCCCGTGGTGGCTTGGGTGCACTGGTCCTCTGGTGTAGTGTTTGGGTCGACCCAAGGTATACGGCGTTTACGCAGGGCGGTGCGAGGAACAGGACGGGGTGATATGCTAAGGAGCAGGAGAATAAGCATGAGCATGAAAGTGCTGAATAGTAAGAATAAGATCGCATTTTGTCCTTCCATGGAGGCTACTGAAGACATAAAAGACTGCTATGGAATGATCAGAATAAAGAGTATCAATGAAAGAAACTCACTCTCCGGATCCAATGCTCCTGTAAACCCTTGTCTCAACCGTACAAAGACCAACAAACTGTATGGATTCATCTCAATCTGATTGATACTATTTATAGTAACACCATTCGTACACATCGAAACAGCTTCAATGCTGGGATCCAGCGGGACTCAACGGTCCTTGTCAACAATGCCTTCCCAGCTGTTGGTGATACCAAACCCAAGGTCCTCATGCTCTTCATTCTCAGCATCCTCATTGATGGAGTAGAAATCAGGTTAGGGTGGAGGGTTCTGAAGGGCATGCTTGGAGTCACGCTTAGCCTGCTTCGCCTGAATGCAGGGCTGCCTTTTAAATTCCCTCTCCTCCACAATCAGCTCGTCTTGGAATTTGCGTTTAACAACAATAGTCTTCACGATCAAGTCTTCGTCTGCGTCGTAAGGGCTTGAGTTTGCTGAGAGATGGGACGTGAAGCAGTCGTATTGAGGGTCGAAGGTTACAAATCAGTGAACTGTGTTAAAGACTCTTGTGTACCGCGCAGGCAGCAGCGCTAGGGTGGGCCACCAGTAGATTGGTCTCTTCATGCTCGTCAGTGGCGCCATCGTCCACATTGATTAGAGTAAATGCAGGCGTCTGATGGTGACCGGTGTTGTCGTTAGGGTGCATGTCGACTTCTTCGACATCCTCGATAAACTCGTCGGGGTATGTGGACTGCACCAAACCTTTGTCCTTATCGAGGAGAACAGGAGGACGCATGTTGTGTTTATCCTTAAAGAATACCACGAGCTCGTCGTAAAAGGGACGAACTTTCAGGATTTTCTCCTTAAGAGTAATTCCATTACCGCGGTCACCACCTCCTGTAGCGCAAGCAATGGCATCTGCTTTACCGAAGGCTGCATTTAACGTGGTATGCTTGTTTTTGATGGCGACCCGGTCGAAACCGGACGAATCCTTAAGTGCACCGGTAACATCTTCGTCGCAATACTTGTCGTACCAACCCCTGAACATCGGCTTTCACTCCTGCCATCTTGTTTTTATGCGTCACGGTTCCACTTGTGAACTGAGGGAAACCGTGATCTGCATCGTCCGTCGAAAGCTTCCACGGCTCTCAGCAGTAGCTGAATCCTTCTTGCGCTGCCTAGCATCCGCGGCAGCGGAGAGTTGAGTCTGGTTCGACTGGCCCATGATGAAACTGGGGCTGTATGCTGGAGTATATGCTAGCTAATAGAAGCTGTAGCGAGTGTTGAACTGGGAGAGGTTTTTGTCGATGGTGGTTAGGGAGTTCACTCGACATCCTTAATGGAGTTAGGTCGGGTATTCAGGGGTTAGAGTTTTCCGGGCAAATCTAACTTTTTGCGGTTTAACCTAGGGGTCCTGATCATTCCAAACCCCCGTTTGTTCAATACCACACCCCGCGCGCCGAAAATTGAGGAGATCAGAGCAGAAACAAGAGGAATAAAATTATTTACAGTAGCGATATGTACACAAATAAATTCCTGACGCTCCTACGCTTCCATCAAGGTCCATATGGACCAAAATAATTCCTAGGCGGGCCCGGAGGAGGCCCGTAAAACCTTTAATGCCCCGGAGCACCCATGGGAAGGTTTCCACCAGCCATAGATGCCATCGGGGGCAATGAATAGCCGACTGAGGGTCCTTGAACTGGATGCCCCGATTGGGGAGGGTAATCGAAGCGAGGCTGTAAGGCGGGTAGACCGTGGAAGGGCATCAGAGGAGCGTCGAGGGGGTTGTAGGACGGCACAAACCATGGTTGAGAGTAGCCATCATCCACCGTACCACTTGGAACCGGAGTTTGGCTTGGCATCTGCACGTTACGGAGCTCACATGTCCTCCGATCATGCCCGGGCCGGCTGCAAAAACCACAGAGTCTTCTTGATGCTTCAACGATCTCAAATGCGCTTGGGTCTCGCTGAGTTGAGCTGAGTGGGATGTTGCGGGATCGATTTTGAGATCCCCTCGGACGTCCTCTGGCGGTACTGAAGGGCGGGTCTCGGACTTGCTGCTGAGTTGTGTCCAATGTGGGTGCCTCAATGTAGTTCTCGTCGAGGACAAGATGCCAGTGCTTGTGTATGTCGTGCATTGTCAAGACCCGGTCGTCGGCCAATGCTTCAGTGATTGCATGCGCACAGGGTTAACCGAAAACCCTCTTCAGGTAACCACGGCAGGTCGAAAGGGTGAAATTGGTGGCGAGCGAACGACGTGCGAGAATGTACTGCTCCTCAATCAACCCCAATGCGAAGCCCGAAACCTTGTACTTGATATCGGCGAAGAAAGCGCCCAAAGTCGGTGGAACACTCACCTTCTCGTTGGCTATCTTCCCTATTATCTCCTTGTGTTGTTCCTCCATGAATGCCCGGGAATGATCCACGACGGTCAAGAGATTGCCTGTGCTGACTCCAATGTGACCTTTGAGACACTTGTGAGCACCTTCAGCACGGGAAGAGACTGACGATCCGAGGTGAGTGACACGCTCAACCCAGGCGGAGACAAAGTAAGTCTTGTAGGGGAGAAGGGTCTCGACGTATGAAGTAACAGTCCCATACCTCTCGTAATCACGCATCAAATCAGCGAGATTCTCCTCGAACTTCTCCTCCGTCAAGGATTTCATGAGCTCCTGCATGGTATTGAAGAAACCATCCCATTCCTCCTTAGTGCGGAATGCACTTTTGCAGTTCGTCACCACATTCTTCTCAATGTGCCAACGACATAACAATTTGGCGGCGGTGGGGAATACCTTATCATTTGCATGCATAAGGGCAAGCTCGCGGTCCGTGACGATGACAAGAGGTGTAAAGTAATCCATCAGCTCCGAGTACATACACATTGCCCAGAGATAGTCCTCCCGAGTCTCCCTAGAGAGGAAGCACAATGCTGAGGTGAACGAAGTGTTGCAACAAGTCATCCCGACAATATGAAGGAGGGGCATCTCAAACTTGTTGGTTTTGTAGGTGCAATCCATGACGAAGACATTTCGAAAGCGTTTCGTGAAACTGATAGATTGTGGGTGGGTGAAGATTAGGCCGGTAATGCGATTTTCGTTGTCCACCCTCTTCCGGAAAGGCAGGCCTTCTTCTTCGAGTTTGTCTAACAAGGCAACAATGGGTGTACGCCGGGCAAGATTCTTGACGCGAAGGTCGCGCTTGGCGTTGTAGATGTTGCGGCGCAAAAAGTCTGGGTTGCCCTCCGGGTCCTCGCGTAGGGCCACGGCAATAGTCCTAGGCAGCGCACCTGCCTTCGTCATCCTCTCAGTGTCTTTGATCTGGGTGGCTGTGAGTTTCCTGTGCTGGGGGAGTGCCGTGGGATCGATTACGGGCTCATGGTTGTGCTCCCCGTTCTTTGTCGATAACTCCCAATCTCCTGTTATCCCAGAGAGCTTGCCAACAAGCTTGAAAGGGCAGCCCTGGGCCTTGTGGTTTGATTTGCGCTGACGGGAAGTGCGGTCAAGATTATGGCGATTTCTATACTCGCCGCCACGGGTACATTTTAGCCATACTTTGCCGGGTTTGGATCGCTCAGTTGAAATGGCATAGCCACGGGGCTTGGCCCAGGCCTGGCCATAATTCTTGAGCTCTTCCAGGGTAGGGAAAGAGGCATCAGGTGGAGGATCCATTTCTGTCTCCTACAGCTGAGTTTAATGCTGTTTTGTGTGGTTGTTATGCTCTGATCTCCTCAATTTTCGGCGCGCGGGGGCGTGGTTTGAAGATTTAGCGGTGTGGAATGATCAAGACCCTTAACCTAGCCTCCTTAGCCACTTGAAACCTAACCCTAGGGCGGTTTTCAGCGAGGTTTAAGCACCTACGTTCAAGCGTGGGTGATCAGAAACAAACCGTCTAAACCTCCATTTAAACGTCATTTAAACGTCATTTCAGCGAACTCGCTACATTTAAATCTGACGACCCTCAGTGATTATTGCAGGGCGGCTGAAGCACCGTGGGACGGTGTGACAGACCTTTCGTCATAGCTGGGCTTTCTCACCCAAGGTTGGTTTTCTAAATCCGCCTGGGGCTTCGCACTATGTCATTAAAATCTCACAGGAAGTCGCTCTTCCGAAGATGTCATATCTCGCTGAGGACAGGTACGGACTGTGAGATGAGGCCATAAAGGTGTAGTCCCAAGAACGTGTGGGGGAGCGGGTAACACCTGAGAAGGGCTGTGCACTTTTCTTTCCCACATCGCACAGAGACATTCTTTAGTTCATTGTGGCTACCGGGTTAAAGAGACATCTGGTTGGAATTGGGAATGGAGATTCAGTCATGACTGTTGCACTGGGTGAGAACGAGGATCTATTGCTGATCGATTCACGCCAGCTGGTAGGTGCGAACAGGAGTTAACCTCTATATTATGTACAGGCGCTCTTGTACCGTAGGTTCCCTTAGACTAGACTCTTTGCCACTTATCATCTCAACAATCGCATCATTTAGATCATTTCCTAGTTAGACCTTCACCTACGCCTAAGCATAAATCCTTTAAACCATGGCGATACTAAGTTTCATACCTGAGAGGTGCATTGCCAGCGGAGATGATAATCAATAGTGTACTGTATCCTCCATTCCTAGAAAGAACTCCCTAATACATACTGCTGTCGTTACCGCATGAGCAGCTGACATCAATGCAATATGGGATCGACCACACCGGCTAAATGATATATTTGAGCTACGCTTTCGGATCAAAACGACCTTTCTCAAATTCCTCGAACTGCCGCTCTTTCTCTGCTCCTCCGGACTGCTGCTCTCTTCTCAGCGCCATCACAGACCTCATCGCATCTCCGTAGTTGACAGCAGCAATCTGTTTCAGTGTGCCCTTCTTCTCATCCTTTACTCTGAAAGCATAATGGAAGACGCAAGTGGTTTGCCGTTCGCCAGTGAGCGGATCGATAACCTCAGCAGAGACTGAAACGGAAAAGCTGCCCCTGTCGACATTAGAGTACACTACTCGTGAGTGAAAATCGAGTATAGAACCGATTGGTACAGGCTTCTGGAAAGCAATGGAGGAGGAAGAGGTGAAGATAGGTCGAGCATGAGCAAAAAGAGTCGCGGTTGCATGAGCAAGGTCGAATGACTCACGCATGAGATAACCTCCAAACACATTGTTGTGAATATTGCGCTCTGTGTACCGCATCAGCAAGTAAGGACTCGTCGCATGGGTACGGAAAACATACCTTGAGGATGACAGATATTCACTCGCCTTAGAGCAGTCTCTGCTGGCGTAATCTGATCGGGGGATCTTGAGGGCTGAACGTGAAAGGGATCATGTGTCATACTATCCAGATGCTCCTGACCTAGCCATACTGAGTGGATACGTGCAACTTCTTCCTGCGTCGGCGGTTCTCGAGATAAAGCGTGACTACGATGGTATGAGGCACGCTTCCGATTCTCATTGCCAAGGCTGGCGATCAGCTTCTCCTTTTCAGATTCGACATGTAGAGGGTTGATCGACACGGGTTTATTGGTTAATGGGTCGCGTGCAACCCTGCAAGTCATCATTAGTTGCTGACGCGTGTAGCATCCGGGCTCATGACTTACATCGTGAAGTTCGATAGCAAGATCGGGGTGGATTTTGACACGTCGCCGTCTTCGGGTAGTTCCTCCACTCTGATCGTTATGTTCATCGACGATTTTCCGACATATGCCACGTGTCCCGACTGCGTCGCTTGTCAGCTCCTGACGTTGTCTATACCCGGTCCATGATTCGCATACCAGCTTCAAGTCTTTATCCGCAGTCAAAGGGTTCAGCAAATCAATCCGATCGACACTAGCTGTGACAATTCGTAATGGTAGGGTATGGACGTCGCCATCTTCGCAATGTCTGTAGGCAATCATCCCAGATAAAGCGTCCAGATCCTCGAAGAGTTTTCCCAACCGCAGTCCGCCCCACGTGTTTTGATAGTCTTCGCGCATCTCCGCATCGCTCGAAAAAGGACTGTATACAAAATGTAAGCTTCCTGAGAGGAAAAGTGAGACAAGATACATACAGAACACCTTCGACGTAACTCTCCGCCATGCGCTTGGGGATCAATTTCCGCTTCGTTGACTCTTCGGCCTGACGCATGGCTTGAAGACGAGTCGACCATAAGGAGTTGGTAAAAGAGGTTCGGCTGCGCAAGGGTTTATGCTCTTCTGTTGGTTTCGGCGAGGCATTGCTGTCATAGGTGCTGAATTGTCGCGCCGAGGAGCGGTGAAGGGTTTGAGGCCAAGACCGCACGAAGGAACGAATACGAACAGTCTGATCTCGTATCAGCATGCTTCCTGGCCAACAACGTGCCAAACAGTCAAGCTCACCTTCGTTGCCTTGAAATTTCTGAGCATTTCCACCTTTCTTGTCTTCCTGGAGGTCGACCGCCGTGCAGTTCGGACGTACGTCCGCACGCCTAATTCGGGAGAGCGCGGTCTGAAGTCATGAGGCATCCATTGTCGGCAGCTGCGAGAGAGACCGGAGAAGGTTCTTCCGGAGACTGCCCATGATCCTGTTCACACCTACAGACTTGGAATGTAGAATACAATGGTACTTGCTTAGCCAAAGGTTTGCTTCGATATTCTTCATTTTCAGCCGCGCTGAGTAGTTATTCAGCTTATAGTCGAGTTCTAAAGTCATGCGAATCACGTGTAGCGCGCATGTGCGGGGAAAAAGTTGTAGACCCCGAGAACAAAAACCCTTAGTACTCGACGACTAAAGGTCTAGGATTGATGGTTGAGGTCGATCCTGAGCCAGGTCAACGGAGGGCATCTTCTCGTGCCTCAAAACCCCGGATTCGGCACACCGTCGAGGTGCCACCACCAGCTACTGCCCCACCGCGGTTCCCGCGCAGCAAAACCTGTCAACCTACACCCAGCGTCTCCAGCAATTCGAGACGTGATTCAAGCGTCCGATGATGACGAGTGGACTTGCAGAACGATCCTCTCTGCCCTGAAGACATCTCCGCTTCCGACCATGCCCTTGACGTTGCGTACCAGATCATCTGCGGTTCGACAAAATCCTTGATGTCTCGACTGCGCTCCGCTGAAGACTTCGAGCAATAGAAGGAGACCGTTGCAGACCTTCAACAGCATGGGGCAGGTAAAGGGAAGAAGTGGGCTGTTCATATTACGCTCAAGACTGATTTCAGACCTGAGACCTGCCGACGGTACCAGCGGTGAATTCGACGGTGATCTACCCAATGAGAATAAGGGTGGACGCAAGGATAAAGGCGAAAAGAAGTACGGTAACAACCTTACGGAGCGTATGCTGAAGGATATTGAGAAGGCAAACGACATACTGGTTCTTAATTCTGTAAACGGTAGACTTGTGCTTTTCGGTCCATTCAGCAATGTCACTCACAGGCTGACCACGGAGCGAATTGTGAAGAACCAGAGTGCGCACCATATCATGAACTCGTTTACCTACCATATGATGACGCGTCCTGGTCTCCTAGGCCCCTGGTTGTCGAGTATGAAGGGTTTTTTGTTTCGACGTTTGCTACCTTTTTTCGGATGCGCATACCCACACGTGATTCGCATGACTTTAGAACACGACTATACCCGCAGGTCAGCTCCTAGTTGGTCTGTCAGCTGGTGTGTACGAACCCAGTGGGCACGAGAGGAAGGGGAACGAGATGAAACCGGGTCGAGTGTGGGCAAAGGGAGCTACAGCATCAAAACATCAAAGGCCTCAATATTGACTCGGAACCTCAGACTCCAATGTGCCGAGTTTGCAATTGATGACGAGTCGAGTTATCGATGCGTATGCCCCGGGTGCCATCGGATTGATCATGACAGCTACAGCTATGTATATACGGGACGTGTCTGTCCGTAACCCAGAAGGTCGCTCGGGGCTATGCTTTGTGACAACCAATTAGGAGATCAACCCGAGTTCTTAGGCACTATAATGCCCAACATTCACTAGGTGGGCCTCTAAAAGATGCTCCATATCATGGCAGGTTCCATCAGGCATTATTTATACATTATGACTGAAATGCCACATAACAAACACGCCCACACCTCTCTACGTTCGTGAGAATCATGTTATTAATTCCCGGTTGATCCATGATTCAGAATCGTGGATTTCGGGACCCAAGCCACGATTTTTATCCCGCATAGTCCATGACTTTATTCTGCATAATCCAGGAAACAATCGCAGTTCTATAGACCAGAAGAGTGAGATTATGAGGCAAAGGAGAGTTATTTTGGGTATTTGAACAGCTACGACAGTTATAAACAATGGCCATATGGGTCAGAATGTTAGTACATAGGATACCAAATAAATCTCCCGTGCCTCATAATCTCACTCTTTTGACCCAGTAGTACTGTAAATTTTGCTCAGCTTATGTCGCATTTTCCCACGACTTTTACCTGGATCATCCTGAACAAAGTTGCGGGTTACGCGCAATGGGGGTAGTCAATCCTCTACAAAAAATAATCGCGTAAGTTTTAATCGCGCGGTTGCCATGGCTACTATGCATAAACATCGATTATTTTTACGAGAACGACGAGCAGGGTCGTAAAAATAATCACTTAAAAAATAATCGCCTAGGGCGAGCGGATGCGCCCAATTAGGAAATTCATGCAGATATCACCCAGGGTCTGCGCATGATCTGCGTAGCCACGTTGCTCAACCTGTCTCGAGGCAAACTCACCACCATGGATATTCACGTGAGCATGCCTGCTGAAAAAATAATCTGTCTATGTTTTGCAAGGGTTGGTCAGACCTTAGCGTATTATCCCCTGAACTATAATCTGATTCGCTGTAAAGTTTGTAGAGGATTGACTACCCCCAATAACATCGTGGATTATGCAGATCAAAATTGTGGTTTGGGTCCTGAAATACATGATACTCACGACCGTAGGGATAAAATAACTCAACGCATATAGATGTTCTTTTCGTAATTTGTAAGGTACTTTGCTGCGACTTTTTTTCTGGCAGTGATGATCCATAATTTTATCTGGGATTGTAATAGGGTAGTCAAACCTTGGTAAGAAATCATCCGCTTAAATTATAGTCGTTTGTTGTCATCGTAACCGCGCGCTACATGAGACCCAAATATGACTTGTTTTTGTCACCTCTCAAAACTGGATGTATGATAACAATTTATCAAACTATAAGCAGATCATGTGGGGGGGTAACAAAAAGCGAAGACTAGAATAATTATGCATAGTACATGCATATGTAGGGGTGATCAAACTCGAGAAACTATGATTGCAAGAATCAGAATTTAATACTGCTTAGAGTCTACTAAGCTTGACTACCCCTAACCTATGAAATCTTTATTAGGTTCAATTCATAATGTCAAGGATCGTAATCCACGATTTTGTCTGGGGTTTCTGCCAGGGAAATCGTGTTTGAATCATGATTTTTCCGTTTGAAAGGCCTCCAAATAAAGTTACTGCCCTACGACTTGAAAAAATATGGGATTTGACTCTTGAGTGAGTAAGACATGTACTTGTTACTCAGTCAGCGCTCGTACGCCTAACCCCTTGGTCCTGCCCAAGGGAGTAGTGGTCTGCTGTTGATCCCTCGCACTGCAACTCGGCTCATAGCATCGCCATTGCGCTTGGGATCAAGTGTATTTGCGTCTTTAGTACGTCCAAGTCCAACTCTGACTTCAAATCCGACTCCGACTCCGACTCCAGTTCTGACCCGTTTGGCGGATGGAACGGTTATCAACTACGCATCTCGTGGCTGTAAGGCCTTGGCCGAGTTCACATCTGATCTCGCTTCATCCGATAAGGGTAAGCGACGTGCTGTTGGGCTCGCTCGTCCACCACCTGGTCAACTCGGATCAGCTCACCCACCAGTACCTCCCAGACCTCCGGCGAAGCAGCGCAAAATCAGTTCTCACCCATTTGATGCTCGCCCTGTGCCCACAAATTTTAGCCAGAGAGTGAAACAGAAGCATTCAGAGCCTGACAACGACTTAGCACCTGTTGCTGGGGATAAAAAGCGTGTGCTGGCTGTCGCTGCGCACAGGAATAACGCCAAAGCCAGACTGATGGAGATGGAATCGCAGACGTACCCGGAGTCCAGCATATTTGAGGACCATTTCACACATGAAGATTCTCCTGTCCCTTCGTCACTTCGGCGCTCAGGAAGCTCAGCACTTTCCTCAACTTCTGCAAATGCTCCACCTGGATGGATATCGTGCCCCCCCAGCGACGGCGTTGCCCCCCAAGGCCACTATCTAGACTAGCCAACACTCCCTCAAGTATCAACAGCATGGTGGACAGAGGAGGTAAGCGGCGGAGGTGAGAGGAGATCAGAGGAGGATACCTGAGGATACATTGTGTCGAGCGGCCAGCGGCGGGCGGCAGGCGGGAACGTGAACAGCATACTACTACCATACAGCATATTCCATAATCGAACTTTACACCCATGTTCTGAAATTCATTCTGGGATTCATTCTGGGATTCATTCTGGGATTCCCATAATAAGTTCTGTGAACCCATGCCATAGAGGGTCACGTCCCGCACTTTTGTTCCGAGATTCCCATAACCTCGTCTTGGGAGTCCCAAACTTCGTAACGCATACTTTGTCACTTCGTAGGGGAGACATGGAAGGCCACAATCGTGATTTGGATCTCAAGATCCAGAACACAATCATGGTTAAAACGGCATTTGGTAATCCATAATTCTCACGAACGTAGGGAGAAGTGCATTTAGACTACCTCAGGAATTGCAAAAATAACACCTCTAATAAAGGGCTTGCTACAGAAAACTGCCTTCAAGAATGCAACGAAGAGGGGCATCCTGCTTTATATATACACAATCAACGTACTTGATAATGTGATAATGTCCCTACGTCAAAACTAATCGTGGACAAAAAAAGTGGGATTAATCCTTGATTTTTTGTCATGGATTATGCTTGATTCTCGCAGGCTTTTGCGCACCCATTGCTTGATATGATCAGGCATAATCCATGACTTTTTGGGTCTAATTCATGATTATGTCATGTAAGATTCATGAAAAATCCGGAAAGTTCCTACAAATTGGGGGCAAATGCGAGAAAATGAAGTGTATCATGAGTATCCTAATGGCCATGGTAGCACTATCATAGGTCCATAACTCAACATGTTAGCATAAGCTCAGTCAAAGAGAAGTATCTTGTAGCATACCTGACTTTGATTTTGTTTGTGGTGACTTGAAAGATTTTCGGAAATTTCTCAAGTGGTGGTCGGGCTCTGGTCTACATGTTCGCATTTCGGCACAGCCACACACAGCCAAACGCTGAATCCAATAGGAATGTTGTGACATCATCATGATAACATGTTTGCTAATCATGTCTCTGTATGATGGCATAAAGAGTGGAATTTCTTTCCAGGCCGTAATCCATGATAATGTCAAGGACTATGATCCATGTTTCCGTCACATGATTTGTAAACCACACTAACTGCCATGATCCATATGTAATCCTTGTCTAATCCACAATATGACATGGATCACACCTTTTGTTAGGACTGAATGGGTTTAATCCTTGACAACTCGCATCATAGGGCAGGTTTAGTCTTGGCCATGGACCAAATTGCCCTTATTCCCAGATTTAGTTAAAACTCTTGCCCCCAAGTATAGAACAAAATGTATTATGAGTATCCTGGCCGATACAGTAGCAATAAGTATGTTCGTGTAACTCAGTTTGTTAGCACAAGTTCTCAATCACCATGAAGTCGCGTTCATACCTGTGCCTGGCAAGTTTGACCTTCCGCAGGCGCTACTGTATATAAATGCATTTGTTGTACACAGAGTAACTGTTACCACCACACGTACAGCACAACCACCGCATGTCGAGGATATAGAAAGAGGTGGACAGCACTTTTGCCATTCTTGCGATCGATCCTGTACAATGTATGGGTAGATATCGCACAGGCATATGGAGATCATCATCTTCTGGACAATTCGGTTGTGAGGTCCGACCGACAGTGCCCAGGGAATCACCGAGCGGTGCTGCAATTACCATGGCGCATGTGGCGTGGTACCATGCGCAATATATTGGCGGGAACATCAAAGGAGCTGCAACAATAGGAGTAGTCAAAGTTAAAGTTCAAAAGATTCCTATAGGATTTCCGCTCAAAAGCCAATAATGGCCCTTATTCTGACTACCAAAGTTTGATCTGCTTTTATTTTCTGGCCTTTTATTCCTTTTCTTTCCTTCTTTTTCCTCCTCTTTCCTATTCTCTCTTATATTGGGGGTAGTCAAACCTCTGCAAAAAATAACTGGTAGATTTTTAATCGCGCGGCTGCCAGGGCAACTATGCATAAACATTGATTATTTTTTTACTTTTTTTAAGGTGCTCGAGCAGGGTCATGAAAATAATTGCTCAAAAAACAATTGAGTATGGGCCAGCGGATGCGTCCAATTAGGAAATTTCTGCAGGTATCACTCAGGGTTTGTGCATGATCTGCGTAGCCACGTCGCTCAACCTGCCTCGAGGCAAACACACCACCATGGATATTCACGTGAGCGGGAGCTAACCTTCTGCTGAAAAAATACTCTGTCTATGTTTTGTAAGGGTTGGTCAGACCTTGGCGTATTATGCTCTGGATTATAATCTAATTCTCTGTAAATTTTACAGAGGTTTGACTACCCCACTTTAGAAGTCCACTATTCTCAATTTTGACTACCGCTAATAACTGATTTTGCAAGAGCAGGATAATAAATATTATGATGCATAAGCATAATAGCAAATACGAATGAAATACCAAGAAAAACGCCAAAACACAATCCTATACCGTACCAGCCAGCGTAGTTGCACTCACCATGCTTTGAAGCAGAGTGTCAAAAACGGAAGGTATCAGAGCTTATCCCCAACCCTGCCAAATCTCTGCTCCCACATTAACAAATCTCTTGTCAGCTGATCCATCATGTACAAGCTCTCCCTCTTCTCTTCAACTTCCGCCAAAGCCTGCGTGGCTGCACCTCCTCCTTCCTCCTTCACCAACACACCCGCAGTTTCAATCGCAGCAACGGCATCAGCATTTCCAGCCTCGGCTTCGGTTAGCTCCATCACTACCTTTCCACCATTCTGTGCTCGTGCTTTCTCAAGCAACTTCTTCCTATCCTCGCGTTCCTGCGCCATCTCAACTTGTGTGCGATGGATGAATTCAATGATACCAGCAACGCGCTTGCGCATTTCCTGCATGCTCATCTTCCCGGTAACTACGCGCGGTTTTGCCAATTTTTCGCTAGATTCGTGATTCGATTCAACATTGATCGATGCGTTGTTTCGGGCTTTACCACGATTGCCTGGGCCACCGCGACGTTTGGTATGGGACGGAGAGGCAACCGGTGCGGTTGCGGCGGTTGATGTTGCAACCAGCACCGGCTTTGAACGAGACGAGTGGATTGTTGCGTCTGAACCATCACTCACTATACTTCGTCGTTAGCCAGATTCTGGGCGAGGTATTGAAGGAACTCACGATGACCATCGTCCTTCTTCTTCCCTGCACCCTTCTTGTGGCTCTTTTTCGCTTCTGGCTTAGTACTCTCCCGCTCCATCGGTGGCTTTCTTTTCTTCTTCGGTTGCCGCTCGTCATGCACCCCAAACTCCTCTTCATCTTCATCGCCTCTTCCATTCTTCCTCTTACGCGAAGCATCTTCTCTATCCTCCCTCATCCTCCTACCGTCGGATTTGAAGGTTTCAGTATCATCCGGGCCGCGCTTCTTTCCGCGATTCCGACGTTCCTGACGTTCGGCTTCAAGAAGCGAAGCCTGGATAGCGGCTTCGTAACCGGCATCGCGAGAATTCATAGTCGAGCGGCGTTTGGGACTGTGCGAGCGGCCTTGCGGCATGGAATCTTTGGGCGATTTGACTTCACGGGGAGAAGCCCGGGCTGCTGCTTTGTTCTCGGCTTCGACGGCGGCTTGTTGTTCAATGTCGGCGGCGGCAAGATTGTATCGTGACCTTTTATGCCTGTATCCAATCGTTAGCTTTGCTCTTTCAGCGCGAACTTTCTGACACTACCTTCCGCTTCTCACAATGCGATGCAAGTCCGGCCTACACTCCTCACACCAATACACCTTTCCCTCAACCTGGCTCTCATCTGCAATGCCAACACATTGGCAATGCTGCCACACACCGCATCCCTCACAAGCAATCATCTGCGACGGATCGACATCGAGCTCCTCTTCGGCGCGTTGGTCGGCAAGACCGCAGATACAGCGAGTTACTTCGCTCTCTTCATCGACCGGCGCGTCGGGAGCCAGAGTTTCTGGAGGTGTGGTAAGTGTGGATAGAGATGACATGTTGTCTTCTTGAGTCAAAGAAGGGTTTGCCTCCGAACGGAATGGGCGGCGTGGCGATGTTGTCGCTGCGACACCGGTCAGTGAATCCGCTGCGACATGATTCCAACGAGCTTTACCCATCGTCCAAAGGTCAGATTCAGTCAGCCTCTGGCAGGATGTATGCACTGGTCTATCTGTTTCTTGTGACTGAATGCTGGATGTCTGCGACGGTGTACTTCAGCTGGTGGAGGGATCGAAGCAGCGCATTCACCCTTGAGCTTGTTACTGCAGCTGGGTAAGCGGCGGGGGTCTAAACTCAAGGAAAGCACGTGACAGAAACCCGTATTCTTGTAGCAGAACCTTGTAATATTTTGATTTTCGAGTAACGCTCTCTTAAACTTGTTCTGGCGTTGGTCAGGCTATCTTATGTGACCTCTCAATCGTCACTTGGATTTTTGGAGTTCGTAAGCAGTCACACCGGCAAGAGGCAACGAACTTGAACGAACCAACGGCCAACTCCAACTCCGACAGTTACTCATGTAAGCCATCTGTTGATACACCAGCACATTTCAAGCTTCTATTTCTGACTGTTTTGCACAGTTGAAACCGCTGAATATAGGGTCTTGCATCTCCAGAGATCGACGGACCATGTCTCCAGCGCCCCCTCTTCCGCCGGCACAGTATGCTGCTGCCGGTTCTGCTGGGCAAACTGGCCCCGGACCAGTTCATAACAACACGGCTCATCCGGGTGTTCAGACTTCGCCAAACTACCCCCATCGTTTGATCTTGCCTATGCCCAAGAGAAGGGTACCTCCTGCCTCGGCGACCTCGTCACCTGAGGCTGGAAAGGCAGGACTTGTCGGTGGTCCATCCACTCCCAGTCGAACACCGCTATTTCACCTGCCGTATACCTACCCTCCAGTTGACGGAAACTATCCTCCTCCGCCCGCTTCTTCGCCTAGTCCCAACGCATACACCTCCACTGCATCCATCCGTACGAGAGACGGGCTTCCAGTACCCCTTTCAGCCGTACAATATCAGTCTCCAGCTCAGCAGCAACTGACTCCTGGCCGCCAAGAGGTCATATTTGACAGCTCGGATTCGGAGGGGGATCTGGATGCGGCAGATAACTGCCGTCACTGCTCCCGTGGATGCTGCGATTGGTCAGAGGCGAACGCATCTAACAAAAAGAAGCGCAAGATCCCGGGATTTGCTGCACAGGGCGGCTCGAACACTGGTGGATCTGGTGCATCGGTCTCCTACCAAGGCGTTGGTGGCGTAGGCCGTACTGCCAGTGGCTCACGTCGCCGGACAAGCACTCGAGGTACTTCAGTTCCTCTTTCTCCGGCCAACCCTGCTGTCACCCCCTCCAAAGATCGTCATGCGGCCGTTGGAGTTGATGGTGAGAACGGCATTGTCCCGGAGGGTGACTTTTCATTTGTCTGCGAGAGCCCCATTGCCAAGAACCTCCCAACACCTGTTCCTCACAGTTATATTCCCCCGCCAATCCCTGAAGCTCCAGGTCCTTCACACCAAATGCCACCTACTTCCATGTCAGCACCTCAAGCACCTCCTCCTCCGAAACCTAACCCTCCCAAGAAGACACCATCATCGAGTCGTCTCCCGCCGCCGCGCACCCGCAAGCCTCGCCCTCAGAATTCGGAACCGAAGGAAATCTGGGTTTGTCAATTTTGTGAATACGAGGCCATCTTTGGCGAATGGCCTGAGTACCTTTCCCGCCTCTATGATAGAAAGGTACGCGAGGAGAGGAAAGCACGAGCCGAGCGTCGTCGATTGTTGGAGAAAGCAAAGATGGCAGGAAAGGGAAAGAAGGGATTTGGAAAGAAGAAGACCACTACTCCTATCACGAACAACAACACTCATGGCACGGACGCGAATGGAGCACCCATTGAAGGCATTGTGGACAGTGGTCATGCAGAAGGTGGGAATGGGCATCATATAGATGGTCCACTGAGTGAAGGGACTGGGACACAGAGTGAGCATGGGAGTTATGAGGGCGAAGGGCACGATAAGATACTACCGCCAGGACTAACTCTACATTCGGGACATCAGGCAAGGGTAGGCGCAGGGGCGAGGAAGGTTGTTGACTTGGATGACGGCGACGAGATACCCGTCCCTGAAACATTTGAGCATGGCGGGGTCGACGAAGATTCATTCGACTCGGTGGATTAGTGTGTCAATGGTCAAGACGGCGAACGACGTGGCCAAAATGACGGATGGCGGACGCGGGCTCATGAGAAACGACGATGAGGAGATACCACGATGAGCATACTCCATTTACCTACCTACCTCCTTTGTACCTCCCCAGGTGCAATCCTACCCTTTCCTCAGCATACACAGGCGCAAACACAAGCATAGCGTTACGGCATTTATATCATTATCACTAGCATATCGTCATCCCTTGCGACCGCGAGGCGCGTCTACAGCACGCAGCTCGAGGCGATTTTTGTTTTCTTTTTGTTATTACGGTTACGGCATTGTTAGCATATTCCCGATGAATGAATGGATGAGCATTTGAGGTTGATCCGTCTCATCTTGCAGGCCTTGGCAATCGCAATTGCCAGCTGAACGACTGGAAATGCCACACAACGATGTCCGTCCTGTTTTCCCTTTCACACCTCAAGTTCAAAGCGTCCTGCAAATCATGGGCTGCTTTCGCTGTCCACCCTACGTCGTCGCCGGCATGGGGTTCTCGAAAGCATAAGTAAGTGTTCAGCCGTGTACTTAAGTATACGTAGGTCATCTAATTTGGCAGGAGGGTCGACAGGTTGCAGCACCGGAAGAGGGCCAATACAGCTGAATGCTTCAGCTAAACTACCTAGGTACCCATACATTCGTATCTTTCGTCGACCTTGACGGACCAATATTCAGTATTATATATGTGCGAAATGACTACGAGGATGCATCCTCTCCACAACAAAACTTTATCAAATTCCTGCATCGACTTGGTCAATGACCACGGGAGGCCGGTCATATCTGTCCGAGTGTTAGCAGTGAAGCACATATATGACTGACCAAAACTTACGATTTCCAGTCCAGTGTGTTCTGGTACCATGGAGACGCAACGCTCGGTGCGATATCCAAAGTATTCCGGATGTCGTCCGGGCGTTCTACGAACCTGTGACGCAAGTCAGAGATAATAAATCGGGGTGAATGCGGAAAACAAACTGTAATCCCAGGCCAAGAGCGATGTGCCACGCAATATGACAGTGAAACATCCAACAGCCTGGATTGTCCGTCTACCTAACGTGTTAGATAGCTCGCTGGCATTCTGTTCTGTATTCCTCGTACCTTCCAGGCCAAAACCATGGACCCGCCCGGGGGACACATAGCGGTGTCACGACGTACCGGGTTGTAGCCGTCAAGGACTGCCGTTGTACTAGCAAGTGTTAGTACCCGTAAGATCAGTACAATATAACGCTCGTTACTTACTTTGTGAATTGAGCCGCCGACTGAGATAGGATATAAAAGTCATGTCCATGAAGATGCATCGGATGCGCGATGCCTCCAGGTGTCTGGATGACAAAATATACCCACTGGTCCTTCTGGGTAAAGGTGTATACGTTGTAGGACGGAGGATAGCTGAGATTAGAGCCGTACCATGCATGATTCTCAACAATGCCGAGAGTTGGCTAAACCAAAATCTGATAAGTCTAACACCGATAACCTAGATGTTGGAGGGGATACGTACGTTGCTGTAGTCAATCATGAACGAACTCTCTCCAGGGATAGTTGTGTTCAAGTTTCCCGGATCCGTGAAGGTCGGTGCTGATGCTGATGTCGTTGGGGAAGTGGCATTGGTCGTGTTCAGTGCTCCACGGACTTGAGGAGCCCCAGGAGGAGGCCCAAACCCTCTCGCGACAGCAGGAGCCTGGTCCTGAATGTAAAAAAGCTGAGACCGCGAAGGGCCGGAAGTGTTCCAATGATTAGTGATCATTCCGTAGACGAAGTCGGCCTGCAAATCGATGGGAACCTCCTTGAACAGCACAGGTTCCAACATACTAGCCGGCAAATCAAGACAGTTCTCCTGAATGTCCCACTTCTCCGTTACCGGATAGGCCAAGGGCGCTCCGGCGTACCGTAATACTCCAAGACCTGACTGCTGATAGTTTAAATTGAAAGCACAATGGCCCAGAACAGCGGGTTCAGCTCGTATCCAATAATTGTCAACGTCAAGGCTGGCCTCAAATATGATCTCGTAACGTTGTCCAGGTGTAACGAAGATGTGATCGACCACCACTGGTTGAATAGGTGTGTAATCCGTGCTGACAAGCGTAAAGTTGTGCTTGTCGATGCTGAAATAGACACTGTTCTCTCCACAGCTACCGACAAGACCCATCTTGTACTTCTTGCCCGGCTCGACAGTGACATTCAGGTGAGCACCGGTGATCGTACCCGAATTATTGAAGACATTCGTGCCGTTCAGGAGAAGGTTGACGGCATTTTCAAGCACGGCACCGGCGCCAAGACCGCTGTGCGAAAAGTTCCGCATAACCTGGAAAGCCGATATGTGACGCCAATCCTCAAGCATTAAAGGACCCAAGTCGACATCATAGTTGGCGCTTGTTGGGCCATAGACGGTAAGCGGACCCAACACTCCTTCAACATATTGCAAGCTGAAATGAGAGTGATACCATGACTGACCATAGTGATCGGCTTTGAAATGATAGGTGAAGTTTCCGCCGGGTGGGATTGGCGTCTGAGTGACACCTGGGACGCCATCCATATCGTTGGTGTTCAGCTGAGTTTGTGCGTGCCAGTGGATCGAAGTTCCATTGTCTTCAAGTTTGTTGGTGACATGAACCTTGATCTCGTCTCCCCAATTTGCCCAGATGTTCGGTCCTGGAATGGTACCATTGACGCAAAGGACTTGCCTTTCAAAACCATCAGGAGCGAGAGTGATGTTGACAATCTCAAGCCAGTATTCGCGGATGACACCGGTGTTTGGGGATTCTTCAACTGAATAGTAGTCTGTATAGATACTGTAATTACCCCAGCACTAATGACCTTGTCAGTACATAACGAAGACCTGATCTCGTGTGGGAAAGCACTCACCGAGCGGTTGCTAGCAGAGTTCTCACAATACGAGTCGGCCCTGCGCTCTAAGGGAAGGACGTGAGCAAATATGCTTTGGAAGAGAACGACTGTCGCGTTGAGAATGAGTAAGAGTCGAAACATGACGGCCATGGTTCGTGCAACGTCAACGACTGATCTGGAAAGAAGAAAGCTTGTGGCTTCCCCGACGTTTGTCGAACGAGTGGTTGAACGGAATATGTAGTCCAGTAAGCTCCATTATATACCTCGCCTTTGGCAATGGATATGGTGACTGTCGTCGAGCTTGCGCCGGCACCGTTCCGTTTGCGTGGGCACGGTTGCTCAAGAGCAGCAAGTACATACAGTACCCCAGGCTTTCCGGTACGCAACCGAGCGCGGCTGGTTCGAACTTGAACGCCGGCCGTGAGTGGTGAACCCCTTCGTCTTTAAATTAAGGATATCCAGAAATAGCTGTGGTCGGTTGGCGAATGGTTGTTTGGTACGTGGCATATACTGCGCAATGAGGTGTTATCAGGATGCGACGGTGCGAACAGTACAAGTATACCGATACCGGCCAGCTTTGACTCTCCTACGGTCCGAGGGCTAGAGGTCCGCTTCCGTGCCCGTAGACCGATAGATAAACCTGAAGCTTCGTCATCCTTGCTCCGATCTGCAGAAGATCACTTTTTGTGCTTGCTTGCCGCATCCACTCAGATATCTTCACGGCCTGTAGAATGTCGTTTCCCTATATAGCCGCTGGAACGAGACAAGCGATTTGTAGCGTACCCCAATTGCTGAAAACACGGATCAAAAATCAATCGCATGAAACGTATGGGGGAATTCGGCCAATTATCGAATTTGTCTCAGGCGTTGCGGCATATCCAATATGGAGCGTAGGCCATGGTCAACTTACCTTCATATATGATCAAGCCCATCGCGGCATGCTACGAACCCGCATTTGAAAGTAATTGGGATTCCGAATTATGAGCTGAAAAATGGTCCGAGAAGAACAGACATTGAGTCATCACTGCGACCCTGATCTCCTACTTTGCAGGTTCGACTACGTGAACGTATCGGGATCTTTATTGCGGACGTGCTTGGGCGATGTCACGTAGGCGTTCAACAACGCACCGACGTCCAAACTCGAGAAAACATACATTCAAAATCCGAACAACTCTTAACACAAATCTAATTCTTCAACCCCTCCGCCTGCGCCCTAACCCTCTCCCTAACCAACCCCTCCAACCCCCCTCCCTCAACTTCCTTCCCCCAATCCGGCCTCGGCATTTCAAACCCCTCCCCAACCCTCCCATACGTAATCCCCCCCAACCTAGACACAGGCTTCAACACATTTACATCAACGATATTCTTCGACGAGTTAAGCGCATCTTCGCGGACGTGAAAGTAGACACCCTCGAGGACGAGGAGGGTTCCGGTTTGTGCGTGCGGAGGGAGTTTGGAGTGGAAGGGTGTTGAGGAGAGGAGGCGGCATTCGATGCTGAAGGCGGATTCGGCGACGATTGGGGCTTTTACGACCTTAGACGGAGTTTGTGTCAACCCACTACGCCCTCGATATTAGCACGTGCAAAAAAGGGAGATGAGGGAGGATGTACGTGAGAGCCCATTCGGAGACGTCGGAGGGAGCGTTGATGGCGCAGTAGTTTGCCGCTTCGACCATCCACTCTGAGATAATATTCACCGTTAACTCTTTTGTGTCGAGGGCGTTTTGGAGGGTATCCTTGAATGCGCCTTGGCCGGACGAGAAGCCGACAACCAAAATCGGTGGCTATCCAACAATCCCAATCAGCATTTGTACGTAAGAAGGATGAGGGGGTGAGGGAGGACGCACGTCGTGATTGACGATCTGCGTATACGAAAACGGCGCCAGATTCTCTCCTTTCCCATCCTTCGAAACGGTACTAACAAACCCAATCGGCCTCGGCACCACGCCCGAAATCAACAGCTTGTAGTTATCACCGGGGACTCTTCCCTCCTCATACGGATCAATACTGATTTTCTGCTTGGTGAGGACAGAGGGGTCGGAAGAGCCAGAACCGGGGGTCCAGGCTGGGTTGGGAGATTTGGTGTAGGTGAAGCCCGGCCGGGTAGTGTCATAGTCTGGACGAGAGGCTTCGACGGATTTGAAGTCTTTGTGGGGGTTACTTCAGTATAAGTCAGCATATGACCACAGCTGGGGGATCAAGGATGAAAGACGCACCGACCGAGGGCAGCTTCCCACTTCTTGGTTGCTTCTGAAGCGGCGTTGGTAGACATCGTTCTTCTTGTCGACTGCAAAAGAAAACGGATCAATACACGAGATTGAGCCAGTTTGGAAAAGATGTTGGGGGGTGGATGTCGTCGTTACAGGGAGAATCTTGCCAGATCGGGTACTGCACCATCACTGCTCGGTCTGAGAACACTATACGTCGGCCAACTCTAAAGAGAGGGAGAATGATGGGAGAGCTCCGTTGACGCTGGACGACAAACAACAACGACCAATGCACCCGTCGACTCCGCAGACAGACAGGTTGACCAGTGATGGAGGAGCTGCGGCTCAACTCGCTCCTCCTCTGCCGTCATTCAGTACCCCGTTCAGCCATCGGCCATTGTCAAGCACCTCGCCATCCCTCGACTCTCAATCCAACAACAATGACAAAAAGACAGTTCCCGTCCAAGTCGCCATCCGCGTCCGTGACCTGCTGGACCAAGACGCCGCACACATCCCCACCCGTTTCCTCAAATCCTGCGTCGAATGCCACTCACCAACGACCCTCTCTCTCCCCTCCACTGGTCCGTCCTCCTCCACACCTGCTCCCACGAGCACAGGAGGAACGAGAAAGAGCTACACCTTCGACCACGTCTTTCCCCCACCCACAACCCAATCCCAAATTTACACCTTCCTCGCACCCGGAATCGAAGCATTCGTTCAGGGGTACAACGTCTCCATCCTCGCTTACGGGCAATCCGGAGCCGGAAAATCCTACACGATGGGGACCTCCTCGGAATCTTTGGCGTCAGAGGGGATGGGCGTCATTCCGCGTGCTGCTCAGCATTTGTTCGAGGTGTTGCCGAGGGGAGGAGGAGGGGAGTCGAGACCGGGGACACAGACGGGGATGAGGACGCCGCAGCCCAGTCGGTTGAGTATGCCGCCGTCTACCTCTAGTCCGAGGCCGGGGAGTGCTTTGTCACTTTTGTCGAATGCCACGAATAAGGGGGAGGGATGGGAGTTGAGCGTCTCCTACCTCGAAATCTACAACGAGACGATTCATGACCTCCTATCCCCCTCGTCGTCCTCCAGCATTGCAATTAGCACCTCGGCGACAGGGGTAATTCAAGTCACCGGCCTCGAGCGTGTGCCGGTAACGTCGGCCCGCGAAATATTGGAGGTATTGGAGAGGGGAAGTAAGGTCCGACAGACAGGCGAGACAGGACAAAACGAGAAAAGCTCTCGCTCACACGCCGTCTTCACCCTCTGGCTCACCCAACGCCGTCCACGCACAACAACCCCTCCTCCCCCTCTCACCGAAGGCGGAGCAGGACCAGGGATGGTGACGGTAGTGAGTAAAATCAATTTCGTGGATTTAGCGGGAAGTGAGAGGTTGAAGAATACGGGTGCGGTGGGTGGGAGGGCGAAAGAGGGGATTGCGATTAATCAGGGGTTGGCGAGCTTGGGGAAGGTTATTTCACAGCTGTCGTCTGTCCATCCTACTCCCTCTGTCTCGGGTGGGGCTTCGATTGGGGTTCGTCATATTTCGTATCGTGACTCAAAGTTGACACGACTCCTGCAAGACTCACTCGGTGGTACCGCGCTGACATACATGATTGCATGTATAAACCCAGCTGAATACCACCTCGGGGAAACGCTGAATACAATTGGGTATGCGCAGCGGGCACGGAAAGTGAGGGGGCGGCCTGTTGTTGGGGAGATTGGGGAGGAGGGGTGGGGTGTTGAGGAGTTGAGGGGAGAGGTGGAGAGGTTGAGAACGTCATTGAAAGGGATGCAACTACACGATGCGAAGGTGAAGGGTGTGGAAGGGGAGAGGAGGACGCCGGAGAGTGTAACGAGTGTTGGGCTGCGAGGCCAGTATGAGAGCTTAATCGCGGAATACGAGGAGACGATTCGCAAGCTTGAGGATAGTCTGTCAACCACGCGGATTGATCTGAGCACAACCGAATCCCACCTCCTCGACCGCGACCAAAAACTCGCGTACTCCGAATCCCTCAATCTCACACTCCAACAACGTCTCGCGAAACTCATGGAACGTGAGAGTGCGACGGAGGCTTACCTCCAAGATTTGGAGGAGAAGTTGGAGGGGGAGGTAAGTGCGGGTGATGAGACGTCCGCTCTCGTACAGAATTTAAGGGGTGAGATGGGGAGGTTGAGGAGGGAAGGTCAAGCTGCCGAGGCGTACATCGCGGACCTCGAAGAGCGGCTCGCGAGGGCTGACGCGGATGTGGAGGGTCTCACAGCACACGTCGAACGTCTCGAGAACGAGATGGAGTGTGATCGACGTGATGCCCGACTCGACTCCCTGTTGAAAGAGCTGGACGAGTTTAACTCGACCGGGATGAATGGGGAGAAGTTGGATGCGGCGGAGCAGATCGCAAAGTTGGAGGATGATTTGAGTGTGTTGCAGAGTTCGCATGAGACTGCATTGACGGATTTGGATGATATCAAGCGGAAGCACGAGGAGACCTTGAGGGAGTACGCAGATATCAATGATCGACTCTCCGAAGCTTTGTCATTGAATGCTTTCGCGATGGCGAATCCCACGCCGGCGCATTCGGCCGCGACGGCGACTACGACAACGACAGCCCTCATCGCAAGTACGAAAGACAAAAGTGGCATGGATATAGATTTAAAAGGCACGGCGGGAACAAGTCACCAGCCCTTGTTCTCGCCACCTACCTCGCTTTCGCTATCGCAGGAGTTGCAATTGGCTGGGGAGTCGCTGTCAACAACATCGGACAGCGCTCATACAAACATACATATTACTACTAATAATCTTACAATGGAGGAGTTGGAGAGAATCCTCAAAAGGAAAGAGGAGGGGTGTGAGAGGTTGAGGAGGGAGATGGAGGTGGTGAGGATGAGGGAGGGTTACAGTGCTGCGGAGGAGAGTGTGGTGTTTGATGCGGAGCGTGAGGGTGCGGGTGCGGGGGTGGAGAGGCCAGGTCCGACGAGGGCGGATACGAGTGTGTCAGTCTACCAGACCGCAGGGAATACCCCTTTGGGCACGCACCTCCCGTTGTCGAACTTGCCTTTGGTCGACGAGCCGTCCGCCGGCACAACATTGAGAAGCGAGGAGCTGGACGACACCCCACGCACCGGCTTCTCCACCCTCAACAACGCCCTCATCTCCGTCGCAAAACCGGTCCGTCTCTCCCGCGAAGTAAGCACCGAAGAATTCCACGGCGATGACGCTCGCCGCCAGCTGTACGAGAATATCATCCGGCAGTTGCATGACCAGCTACAGGAGGCCGTGCAGCGGGCTGCGGAAAGGGATGAATTGGTTGTCAAATTTGAGGGGATGGAGAGGGAAATGGAGATGATGAGGGGTGGTCGTGTTGCGACGGACGGGAATGTAAGCGTGGAGGGGGATGATAGTTTCCGGACGGCGAGTGAGGGGCCGAAGAGTGATGGTACCGACACCACACGAGGCCAGGACTTGAGATTGAAGATCAAGCGCCTCGAACAAGAGTTGCAGGAGACACATCACTCTTGGTCCCAAACCCTTGAACAAGAACGCTCCGAAGCAAACTCCCACCTCGCCCGTCTTCGTGGCCAGCTCTCCTCAACCGAAATCATCATAAAAGCCCACCTCGACCGCATTTCCTCCCTCGAAGACGAACTCCAATCCTCCCACCGCGAAAACGAACACCACAAAGCCAACACCCTCGAACTCCAATCCCTCATCTCCTCCCTCGAAGACAAAATCATGTTAGTTCAGAGAGACCGAGAGGAGGTTGGTGAGAAGTTGGCGGATGTGGCGAATGTGTTGGAGGGGATGCAGAGGGAGTATGCGGCGACGTTGTTGAGGGCTGAGGAGACGAGTGCGGCGGCGGAGGGGCATCGGAGGAAGGTGGGTGCGTTGGAGGCTGAAGTTCGTGCCCTTAGGGTTGATCGGGACTCGAATGGGGCGTATGAAACTGAGGCGTCGGGTACGAAGGGACGGTATCCAACCGGGTACAACCCCGACCGCCGTCCCTCCGCCTCCTCGGTCAACTCCTCTCCCAGCAACGGCAACGGACGACGCACAACGCTCAGTCTTCACACCCCTCCTCCTTCAATGCAGTTCCCTATCCCGATGAACCAACTTCCGCCCCTCCCCGCAAGTCCAAGTCCGAATGGAACGGGACGTGCTTCGAAGCTGAGGGAGAGCGTGGTCAGTAACGCCAGTAGCCGCATCGGGGAATATACCGAGTTAGAGGAGAAATTGGACAGGCAGGAAGCTGAGGTGCGGAGGTTGGAGGATCAGTTGAGGCAGGAGAGGAAGTTGATTTCCGCGTTGGAGGATTCCCTGACGGTACCTTGAGTGTGGTCTCTCTTTTAAGGTATAACTAATATCGGCGTACAGGAAACGGAGAGACTCGTTCGCAGTTTGAGGACGGACATGAAAAAAATCGAGACGGAGAAGCAGTTGTTACAGAGTCAGGTTGGGGCGATGCAAGCTACCATTGACGACATGCGAGAGGAGACAGCGTCCTACAGGTATGCCAAACCAGACTCCTCCACGATGCGTCTCGGGAGCTCATGGGTGATGGTAATAGGTACTCTCAACAAGAATTCGAACAGGAACGCGTGAACCGCGCTCGTGCAGAGGAAGCGAAGAGGGCATTGGAGGAGCGTATGATGGCTTTATCACAGAAACGGAAGAGCAAGTTTCTCGGGTGTTTCTAACCTATACGGAGGTCATATATTTCAATTGCTACATTATGGAGAAGGTAATCGTGGGCCAAGCTTCGAAAGGTTCGGGATCGACCATGTACATGCATGATCCCAGGCGACGGTCAGGCGGGTCTCCTTGCACGCGTCGCGTATACCCTCTCTGCTCCTCCTCTTGCGATTGCTGTGCTCCGCTCTGCCGTTGTATGTTCTGAACCTTTTGCCCAGTCAAGCAGCGTCGTCATCGTCTATCTATCCTTATTCAAGTCTACGTCGCATCTTCTCTCACTTCCCTTTGCGTGGTTCATTATCGGGAGATGCGTTGTTGCTGCGCGGTTGAAGTGGAATCAAAACAGACGGCAGCCACGTCCCCTAGGACGAAGAAAAACAGGGGAAGGTCCATCGTTCATCCAGCATTTACTCCCAGGAAAACACCAAAGGACACGTGAAAGGACCAGCCGACACTCTCCGCTCTCTTGACTCGGCCCATTCGTTTCGCCTGTTTGACTTCATCCGTCAACTCCACTTTTCGACCGCATACACTCCTTACCTTCTCTATCGCCCATCATCAACAGCGCTTTCATCCCAGCCGAAGCGCCAGACAGCACAGTATAATACAAGATGAACGGGTACAGCAACGGCTACACCTCTCCAGAGGCGCGTCCCTACAGCGCTGGACAAGGATACCTCTCCAACCCACCCACCACCGCCCACGGACAACAACTTCAAGCACGACACGTTGAATGGGATATCGGGGTGGTCATCTCAAACCCGTTCTGGTTGATTACGGGAAGTGTCGCGGTCGTAAGTTCTCAAACCATCAATGCCAAGTGAGGCTTGGTTGCTGATATGGGATTTACAGATTGCCTGGCTCATTGCCTTCATCGCGTCCATTGCTGGCGACGCACAATCTGACTTCCCGCATTTCGCGTGGTGGGTCATCATGTACCAAATCTGTGTCATCGCCGCCGTTCTTTGCGCGGTTGTCACGTCGACTATTCCTGAATACACTCTTGCAGTACGTTTTTCTGTAGGAAGATGGTTACAAACCGCTAATACAGAGCGTACAGTTGGTAGGATTGGTCGTGACCGCGTTCTCATGGACGTGTTCGATTACGAATACCCTCATCTACTCCGACTCATCCGCATTCTCCGCCGCAGGTGCTGGACACCTCCTTCTCTCCATCATCAACGTACGTCTTGTCCTTCTCCTCGCTTTCAAACACCCTTGCTAATGTTGTTTTGTGTAGCTTTTGTGGATTCTGTACATTGGCACCGCACCCACCGCATTCCCCCGCTCCTACATCGACTCCTACAGCATCCCCCACCTGCCATCCTCCACAAACGGTGGTGGTCCCGCAAGCACACCCTACCCCTTCTCCTCCTCATACGCAACCCAAAAATCACCCCCAACCTCAGCCGCCTTGCCCCTCCCCCACCCCCACGTATCCGCACCCCTCGAGTCCACCAACCAAACCACCACCGCAGTTGAGGATGAAACCCTCCCGGCCCCAATGGAATACCCCTACCGCGCAAAGGCAATCTACAGCTATACTGCCAACCCGGAAGACCCGAATGAGTTGAGTTTTGCGAAGGGTGAGGATCTGGATATTTCGGATATTAGTGGGAAGTGGTTTCAGGCGAGGAAGGTTGGGGGGGAGGTCGGGATTGTGCCGAGTAACTATGTTACGATTTTGGATCGTTAGGCGACCGACATGAGCGCGAGAGAATGGCGGGCGGTGAGAGGTTGAGTGAGTGAAGTTGAGGACGCGGTTGGCAGATGTGAATGCGAAGGAGGGAGAGAGTGTGAAGGACAGAGTGGACTCGAACTGGGGGGTGACAAGTTGAGTGTGCGAGGACGTGCATATACAAAGAATAGCAGAATATGGCAGCGGATATGGACAGGAGTTTTGCTTTCTTGGAGGAAGCGCTTGATCTTTGATGGGATGGATATACGTGTGGGTTGGTATATTTCGAAATTTCTTTTTGCATAGTCAATCTATATAATATCCTTGACATACTGTATTGTGCTTTGTCTCTCAGTTGCAAATTGAGATTGGTCTCGGGGTTGGTCGTCGTCGAAGATGTCATGTTGCACGGAAAGATCGGGGGATGCGGGTGTAGCCGAAACCTTAATTGAGTTGCGACAGGAAGGGAAGAGAAATGATGATTGAAGTGAAGAGGAAGAGGACTACGATTGAGCATTTCTTTGCTCCGCAGGCGAAGCGGTTGCTCTTGGAGGGATCAAACGAAGCGAAGAAGGTCGATCCACCGAGTCGCCACCCACCCACCGCGAAGCCTCTGTCAACAAAGCCATATGATGTGCCAGAGATACCCGGCCTAATAGTCCACCCAAACTTCATTTCTCCTACCGAGGATCGCGCCACCATCACCTTCCTCGACACCCTACCCTGGCGTAACGACCTCCAACGCCGTACCATGCATTTCGGCGGAACATATTGCTACGGCCATCACGTCGGTGAGGGCGGGAAGAAAGCTCCAGGGATGCCGGGGGAATTGGGGTGGATCGTGGAGAGGGTGGTTGGGGAAGGGATTTTTGAGAGTTGTGATCCGCCGACGAGTGAGTAGATGTCTCGGTCACCAGGGCTACGAGAGGGTGAGCTGACAGTGACGTGGTGATAGATTGCATCGTGAATGAGTACGTAGGCAACCAAGGCATCAACGCCCACGTCGACAAACTCACCTGCGGCCCCACAATCGCCTCCCTCTCCCTCAACCACGGCTGCTACTTCAAATTCTACGAACTTCAATCCCCTCACGACGGAACGGTTTGTTCAGGCAAGAACAAAGACGCACCGAGAACCGGGAAAGAGGTAGAGTTGTGGGTGCCGAAGGGGAGTTTATTGGTGATGAGTGGTGATGCGAGAAGTTTGTGGCAGCATGAGGTGCCGAGGACGATGAGGGGACGGACGAAGTTCAGTAGGAGGGTCAGTTTGACGTATAGGGCTATGGGGAGGAAGGGTAGTACTTGATCTGAAATATATATATAGCTTCTCGATACCTAGGTAGTGATTGCCAAACTGCATCAATTAAGATACCGAACATAACGGATGGAATGATGAGTGTCGCCATAGACTGATTATTGTACTCAAGGGAACGAAGCATGGGGACCGTTGGGGACCACGATATCAGAACGCCGAAGAGTTAACCATTATACTAGACAAAAAAAACCTAAGGAAAACCAGAAGGTGAACAAGAACACACCGGCGAGCCGTCACATCCCCACCCACAATAGACATTTTTGAAGATGACCCAGATATACTTCCAAGGCCCACATCTTTTCAACTCCCAATTCCTCCAACAGAATGCACCCAGTTTCCAAAGGAGGACTCCGTCAAACAGCACACCCAAACCCGAAAAGAAAACCCAAGTAAAGAACGAATAATTCCCATGTAACACAAGCGCCATCAAAGACACAACGTCATAGATCTTTTTTGTACAACCTCCACTCCGCAGAGTACCTCCCTCGTCTTTCACCAACGATCTGCGTAATTTGTAGCTCCACTCACTTCGCCAACGACACCAATAAAAATGCCGCACGCATCCCAAGAAAGTTTTGCTGATGATTTTTTGTGTGCTAGCATTGTAGCTTTTTTGTAGTTGATGAACCGAAATGCAGGAAAACAGCGCCCGGTATCCGAATAAGAAAATCGAAGTAGGAATGTCGATGCCCGTGCCGAGAACTCGCAATAACGAAAAACGAAACGCCCAAAAGTAGTAAAAAAGACAGGTCCTCCCAGCAACCCAACGAAAAGAACGAAGAACCAATAACGTATGTACAATCCCAAACGAGTAACGCCAGACACAATGACAAGCCGTTCTTTAACCCCAGACATCCAAAACACCAGTCAATCCCTTTCCTCCCAAAAAGATTTGCTTAGTCCACTCTCCATTAGCGCCTCCCTGTCCGGCAGAGACGCTCCTCTTCTGTTCACCGGCACCTGGCGCGTCCTCAAAACCCGGGTATTGCAACGGGCTCTGAATGGGCCTGGTGCCAATAGGGGCATGCTTGCCACCGATGCTTCCGTTCCTTTGAGCCAAAGGGGCACCAGTGTCGGGGGAAGAAGCTTGCGTAGTAGAAGCCGCCGCGGTATTGTTGCTCGGGTCGAAGAAAGCCGAGAACTGAGCGCTAGCAGGAGGCGAGAGGCTGCTGTTGCTCTTGGTAGATGGCGCACGCATCTGAGTAGGGGATCCAACAGGCGCAGGTGCGCTGGTAGGAATCTCTTCCCTACCGGCCAAAGGCTCGCTGCCAGTTAAGTACTCAAGTCCAGGCCTAGGGCTAGGGCCACGAGTGGACATGGCAGAGATGGGGTTGCTCCTAGAAACACCCCTCAAGTCATCCTCCTGATAAGCAGGTCCGTCCAAGCCCATGGACCTAACCTGCTGCTGAGGCTGTCTCCTCGCCAAAAGTGACTTCCTCTCCTCATCGGTGTATCCACCCTGGTGGTGGTGACCAGCGTAGCCAGCAGGGCTATGTCCCCTAACCTGAGCATGCTGCTGCTCAGCCATCAACATGTCCCTTTCCCTGAGAGCCATCTCCTCCCTGACCCTCTGCTGGTGAGCCTGCTCCTGACGGGCGACACGCCTCTTCAAGTGCAAAAGCTGCTCGGCCTCACGCTGACGCATGTTGCCAATACCCATTCCGCTGTGAGAACGCTGGTGCATGTCCATATCGTGAGCGTGGTGAAGACCTTGAGGGATTTGAGAAATGTGAGGGAGCGAGTTCATGGGGAGACCGGCAGCGTAGTGGCGGGAAGGAACGGTGTGGGCGATACGAGGGTCCCTCTGATCATAACCGTAGGAAGCTCCAGGAAGACTGGGAAGGTTGGTCTGACGGCCAGGCTGAGCATACAACTTGCCGGTCTTGAGAAGGTTGTCGACAGCCTTTTCAACTTCTGTAGATCAAAAGGGTTAGCATACGTCCGATGACAGGCGTTTGACAGGTAAGTGACAGCTCATCCGGAAAAATGCAGCAAAACTTCATTCAGTAAAACAAAGACTGCTCATTCAATCCCAATGAACTGTATCACAATCCAACATACCTTCCAATTGCGAGTGAAATGCCGCACTGCCAGTTTCTCCGTCCTGACTCTCAGCCTTAGCATTGGCAGCAGCCTGCTGAGCCGCAGCAGCCTGAGCAGCAGCCCTCGACTTATCGTAAGCCATCTGTGCAGGGTTCGAAACACTCTTGTCCGAATATCCCAACCCGCCTCCACCTGACCTGGCGGACCAAGTGGAGGAAGGGTGATCGACGTAAGCAGCCATGAACGGAAGACGAAGGAAGCGCCGGAAGTGTTGGTATTAGAAGATATTCGAGGGGGGATCGGTATGAACAGTCAAGTCCTTCCGATTTGAAGGTGCTGTGGTAGCGGAGTGGGGGGTGTCGTGGGGGGTTGTTGTTGGTTGAGTTTGTGAGGTGGCCGTGCTGCACTGAATTTTCGAGGCGTGCGGTGGCCGCTTATTGGCTCGAGGTGGGGGGCCCGTCAGAGGAGGAAGTCAGTCACGCAGGAAACGGATTACACTGGGAAATATGGCATTGAATGCCTTGTGTTTTTACTGAAAACCTCTTCTGCCCGTGGCCTGCTCCCGGCCTCGCCTCGTTCGCTGCACCTGTAGCTATTTATAGCAGGGCGTGACCGTGAGTGCATCTTGACATCTGAGGAGGACGAGTGCTATTGTTCGTAGTAATGGAATTCTACCGTTGTTGACCTTGGAGTACGCCTGCCATCTCGAGGGAAGTCCTAGGGTTAAACGGGGTTGATGTTGAGCATTACAGTTGACGCCCTCCCAAACGTATGGGGACATAGTTCAAAGACAAGGTAATAAAGCAATTACAATTCCAGATTATGATAAAAATTATCCAAGTGAAGCCCGTATCCCAAAATCACTCTCAAGAAAAGCCAACAACAAGGGTATCCATCCCAACCACTATAGTCCCCACAACCCATCCGGATCCATTCCCATTCGTGTAACCTCAACCTCTACCTCGCCAAACCCGGGTATATGTATGCGTCTCACATCATCATGACACCAACAACACCAGCACCAACCATACCAACCAAACTCACCGCCAAGGCCCCCGCACCGCTGGCAGCAGATCCACTCACCGTTGCAGCAGCAGCACCGCTGACCCTGCTGACACTCGATCCACTGGCTTTGCTGGCAACAGCTGCGCCGGTCGCACTCGCACTCGCAGTAGAGCCCGTTCCACTCGCAGAGGCAGTAGCAGTGGCGGAAGCGGAAACGAGCATTGCGTTCTCGACAGCAACGGTAGCGACATCGATATTACACCTCGACTGGATCGAAGAACTAATACTCGCGTACTCAGCAGTGCCGTTAAACCCGTCATAGTCTTCTCCCTCCTGCTCCCCAACCTCCAACGCCAACCCAATATACCCAACAACACAGTCGGAACAAACAACACTGTCGGGCAACATATTCCACTCCGCTCCGTCCTCGCTGGTATCGTTTGAAATACTGCCAACCGCATCGATCCAAGTTTGATTCGTGGAAGAGAGGACGGCGCAGAGTTCGTCTGTGGAGGAATCGCGAAGACAGTAAAAGTTGTAGTAGTACAACTGCTGCCTCGTTTCATTCGCGGGACTCACATCACCATACACCCCAGGACAATGCCTCGCCGCTCCCTCCACCAACGCTTCCATCCCAGCTAAACACTCCTGCGTACAAAAACTCTCCAACTTCGCGACACCGGCCTCGGTGAAACCACCGGTGGTGGGTGAACCGATGGAGTCGGTGTAGAAGATGGAGAGGTCGCAGGGGATTGTGGTGTTGAGGGTTGCGAGGCAGGCGGCGGGGAGGGCGGAGGTGTTGGACCAGTCGGAGCCATAGGTGTCGAGGAAAGTAAAATCAGCACGCACGCTGTTCACGGCGCCGATGGCGGCAATGAGGGTTGAGAGTTTGAGGAGCATCGTGTATGTCTGCGGATACTGTAAAGATCGTGTTTTCTGAAAGAGAGGGATCGAAGCCTTTATGATGTTGACAACATGAACTGCTCCGGCTTTTAAGTCCCTTCATCTCGGCGTATCCGAAGGGCGGAAACGGTTCTGGATCCTTGCGTCGGATGCGCATGGGAGCGCAGCGCGGGTCAACAGGTTGGTGGGGTGAGTCGGTGTCAGATAGAGACGGTGTAAGGAATAAATTAGAGAGAATTGGCTGTATCATTCTCAGAGGTATAATTGACGTGCGAAACGTGGACTCCCTTCGAATCCGGTCATTGCGGCGTGCCTGGAGCAGAGGGTAACCATCTTGTTGAACTGGAGAGGACAATCACCGCAACACCCAAACCATCAACCTTGCTACGACGACGTCTGAGACGATGTCCACTCTAAGCCCAAACCAAAAAGACCGTCTCCGCATGTCACGTATCCCCTCCGACACAGGTCCCTCAATTGCTACCACACCAGCGAGCGCACGATCCGAGGCTGCGACGGTGAGGAGAAGACGCGCGTTAAGTGTGCAGAGGAGGACGTTGTCGCATACATGGCATTCATACGTCGAGACTTCTAATAATAACACATGGCGTACGTCCCTTTCCCTCTCCCTTCAATTGCGATTGAGTGTACAGCGGGTGTGTGGATATGACAGTGCTGATCATGAATGCTATGTAGTGACGCCGTTAATCGTGATTTTGATCATGCTCGGCTTATTTGCGATCAACCCGACCACGACAAACCCAATCTACCACTTCCTCTTCATCTCTTACCCCGTTTCCGGTGAGCCACCGCGTCCTTACCCTACCGAACCCAGCATTTACCACAACAATCCCCAACTCTATGGAAAGGGACTCTACGATATCGCATTCTGCGTATTCTACACAATCGTGTTCTCGTTTGCGCGAGAGTTCGTGATGCAGGTTTTGTTAAAGCCGTTGGCGAGGAGATGGGGAATCAAGGAGGGAAAGAAGATGAGCAGGTTTTTGGAGCAGGCGTATACGTTCTGCTACTTTTCCATCTCTGGAACATTCGGATTGGTTCGTTTCTCAATCCTCCCATTCTCCTCTCATCGACATCCAACTAACAATTAACACCAACATAGATCGTCATGTCGAGGACTGATATGTGGTTCTTCAACACCCCCGCATTCTGGCAGGCATACCCCCACCGCGCCCTCCCTCTCGACTTCAAATTCTACTACCTCCTCCAAGCCTCCTACTGGCTCCAACAAGCACTCGTCCTCCTCCTCCAACTCGAAGCCCCGCGGAAAGATTTTAAAGAATTGGTATTGCACCACATCATCACCCTCCTCCTCATCGGCCTCTCATACCGTTTCCACTTCACCGCGACCGGGGTAGCGGTCTTCATCACCATGGACGTCTCCGACGTCTTTCTGGCCTTATCCAAATGTCTGAATTATTTGGACCACCCCCTCGGCACCCCCTGCTTCGGCTTCTTCATCCTAGTCTGGTTCTACTGCCGCCACTACCTCTCCGCTCAAATCCTCATCTCCTGCCTAACAACCTACAACAACCCCCCCTACACCCCCTTCCCCGAGCCCATCGACTGGCTGAACCAACAATACAAGTGTTGGATCGCGAAGCCGATTACGGTTGGGTTGTTGGGTGCGTTGTTGGGGGTTAATATTTTTTGGAGTTGGTTGATTTTGAGGATTGCGGGGAGGTTTGTGTGGAAGGGGGAGGCGAAGGATGAGAGGAGTGATGATGAGGAGGAGGAGGAGAAGAAGAAGGGGGAGTAGGGGGAGTGATTCGTAGATGATGATGAGACGTATACGGTATTGCCATGGAGAACACTCTGCCTAGAAATCGTCAAAATAATACACGATCGTTGCCCAATCGTGACGCAAACACGAACGGATATGAATGGGACGACTCGACGCGTGGGCGGGCGAGATGAAGGGAGAATATCGAAGAAAGGAGTTACGAACAATTTGCTACAGCAGCGACATTTTTATACGCGAAACGAGTCATTTGATAAACCTAAACATTTCATAACAACATACAAAACCCGCAAGAAATGCAGCAACACAACGCCCTCGAGCTGCCACTATCATACAAACGTATTCCACCCATACCGTAACCCCACCTAAATCGTCATCCTGAACTCCGGATGCCTATAACCCAAATCCTCGCCATCCCTGACCTCCGCCCACCTCTCATTCCTCCCCCCCGCATCCCTAACCTTATTCTCCCACCGATTATACCACACAGTCCCCGCCGTAACCAACCACGCAACACACAGGAACCCCAAATTGATAGCATGACCCGTCTTATACCCCGGCGCATCCTTAGTCACGTACGTAAATGTAGCCACGAACGCCGCCATATTCGCGATAGCGAGCTGGAGCGCTGTCCCCGTTGCGCGGGTATAATGCGGTGCGAGGTTGTTAGAGAGCCATGCCATCACAGTGGGGGAACCGGGGAAGATTCCGATGGAGGCGAGGAAGGTTCCAACGTATTTTGTGGTTGGGTTGGAGGATGTGAGGAGGAGGAGGTAGCCGGTGATACCGAGAGGGGTTGTGAGCATGATGAAGTATCCGCGGCGTTTGAAGCGGTCGGAGAAGTGAGCTGTTGTCAAGACTGAGATTGCGCCGCAGATGTAGGGCGGGACTGACAACAGTTGAGTCTTGGTGGTCGAGGCGGTGAAGGTCTTCAGAATCGTCGGCTAGACAGAAGTTAGTAAGAAGGAGGGAAAAGGGAACAGGGAGGGGCATACCAAAAACAAGGAAAACGAATAGATCGGTGTGATCAAACAGAAAAAGATCGTGGCCGTCAACCACGTATTCCAATTCGCCACCGCCCTCCAAACCTGCTTCCCCTTGAACCCAGCCCCAGCTTCATCCTCCCTCGTCACGCCTCCATCCAGAATCAACCTCTCCACCGCAATGTGCCTCTCTTCGCTCGTGAGGAATGAGGCACTGCCGGGATCGTTGGGCAGGAAGAAGATGGTGATGACGCCGAAGATAACGGTGACGATACCTTCGATGATGAAAATCCAACTCCATCCAAGTAAGCCGCCGATTCCGCGCATCTGTGCGATCCCACTCGCCAACAACCCACCAAAAGCCCCAGACAACGGAGCAGCAGTATAAAACAGACCCACCCGATACAACAACTCATGCCTCCGATAAAACGTACTCAAATACAAAATCAAACCCCCCAACAACCCTCCCTCAAACATACCCAGAAAAAAGCGTGCGACCAATAGTCCCTCATAACTCTTCACAATCCCCATCAACGTTCCAACAACGCCCCACCCAATCATGATTCCCGGCAAGAAAATCCTCGGTCGAGCGCGTTTGAGAACGAGGTTCGCGGGGACTTCGACGATGATGTAGGAGACGTAGAAGATTGCTAGGGCGACGTTAAATTGGGTTCCGGTTAGGTGGAGTTGGGTTGTTAAGCCATCGATGCGGGCGTTGCCAATGTTGGAGCGGTCAATGAAGGCGAGGAGCCAGAGGCCGAAGATCCAGGGGATGATGTGAAAGTCGAGTTTACGGCGGATCTTTGCTTCGAGGATGGGGTCGATGGGTTGGTCCGTACGAAGGGAGACGGAGGGGGAGAGGGTTGCGCCGTCGGTTGCGGCGACGTTCTCGACTTGTTCGATCTTCATTTTGTCCATTTCGTGGTATGTTTGCTGTTCTGCCATCTTGGTCTTCACTCTTCCTCAACAATTTCAAAGATCGAGGAGCAGCGGGTCGCCTCTTAAGCACCCAGGATCGCCTCCGTTACCCCACGCTCGCTCCCATGTTCCACAGCCGCGGAAGGAAAGCTGGATAAACTCCAATAAGCGAACAAGCGAGACGCCCCGCACTTCCTCCACAGCTGATCCGCATGCTTCCGCTATAGTAATGCGGGGAAACCTTATGTGATCCACCGGGAGATTGAGGAGGGTGGAGCACCAATGAGAACGGAAAGGTGAGAGCTGGTCGGGCGGTACAGTAACTGTGATGGGGGTTTACGGTTATTACGAATTGAATTGAGAAAGAGATGTCTCCTTGATTGATCACAATTGCTGGGTCAACAGGCGTCGCCAAAATCATCCGGTGCTCGCGCTAGGGAGCCTTGCAGGATTTCCCCGCTGCTCAGCTCGGGCAATCCCGCCGTCACCAACACCTTCAATTCCCATCGATCCCGTCGATCCCATCAACTATCTCCCTCAAAAAGACCCTCCTCTCCCGTCACCAACCCTCAAGCAACAGATCAGAATGGCAATCGGCGACAACCCCGAAAAACACCTCGACGCAGAACAGCACGTCCGCCGCAACCCCCACCCCGACTTTAAAAAAGTCGAAGCCTCCCGTCCAGACTGGGAAGAAGATGCTTCCCACTCCTGGCACTACACCAAAACCCGCTCTCCGGACTGGACGCCCGGATCCGGCGCCAACGATGACGTATGGACGAAAACCGATACCGTATCGATTGATCCATACGAGGAGGGCCGTCGTGCGGTCGATAACTACAAGTTAATGATCTCCGGGATCGTTCCCCGTCCCGTCGGGTTCGTCTCCACGATCAATCCCACCACCAACGTCCCGAACCTCGCTCCCTTCAGTTTCACCCAAATGGTCAACCACGACCCCCCAATCTTCGTCATCGGCTTCGCCTCCTCCATCGCCGAGGCAAAAGACACGCTGTCGAACCTCCTCACCACGAAGGAATGTGTCATCAACATCATCTCCGAAACATACATCGAAGCCGCAAACTACACCGCCATCGACGCTCCCTCCCACGTCTCAGAATGGCCACTCTCCGGGCTGCATCCCGCACCCTCTGTCAACGTCCAGCCCAGTCGGGTTGCTGAATCACCTTTCAGTATCGAAGGTACATTGTTGAATGCGCAAGAGTTCAAGAATCCGAGCGGAAAGGTGACGGGAACGATGTGCACAATTCAAGGCGTCTACTTCCACATCCATGCCGCCGCTCTCAACGCCGAGAGAAATATCATCGACCCGGCGGTTTTGAGACCGATTTGTCGGTTGGGAGGGATTTCGTATGCGAGGTTGACGGCGGGGTTCGAGTTGCCGAGGCCGGATTATAATAAGGAATTGGAGGGGGAGAAGTATGGGGAGGAGTTGAAGGAGGCGGCGGGGATACTTAAGGTGCACGGTGATAAAGAGAGAGATGCGTTGGTGGGGGAGAAGTTGTAGGTAGTTATATTGGCACCATATCATAGTGAGAGGATCAAGAGAAGACACACGGGCACTCATGCCACGAAGATACCAAAAACCAACCGGAAATCCAAGCGGAACCCAGCTCCCCTGCTCTAAAACCCTACTACAATAACTTTCTCCCTTCTCGAGCTCTCCTGTCCATACCATCCTCGGACCGTGCGTTCCGACTCGTCCCTACGCATCCGTCATGGCGTGTGCTCTAGTGGTGCAGATGGGAGTGAAGCTTAGTCAGAACGGAAGACTTTTACGAAAGAAAACACTGCTGCGTTAAGGGAGGACATTCGTTCAAGACGACGAGGTTTGTTCATTACGAAGAACGAACCGCTCGACAGATCACTCCGCCCCACACGACTCCGCTCCTCCGCGCTATACGACACGACCCGGGTGACAAAGACGAACAAACGACAGACGACAACCAACGACTAGGAGGATGATTTCCCTCCGCACAACCTCCTTGACAATCTCCCTCTCCTCACTCCTTACAAATGCCCTAACGACCCTTCTCGCCCGTCAATTACCAGCAGACGATTATCTTATGAGTGATGCGTTGAGTTGGTATGCGTGGTTTGCGGTGGGTGTATCGTGGGTTGGGGTTTGGGGGGCATGGCGGGTATGTATCTATCTTCCCCCATCTACCCACTTCCTGTGTTCATCTACCGTCGCGAGGGGATGTGGATGGTGCGGTGCAAGTGAGTGAACATGGCTAATGATGCGTTGATAGCGAGACGCAACAAAGCTATCCTTCTTCTCCGCCTACTACACAATCGAAACAATCCTCTCCTTCCTCCTCCGCACATTCTTCATCTTGTGCATCTTCACGTTTCAGCAAGATCTTTGTACGTTTTTTACGCGGACGCCGAATACTTTCTCGCCGATTCATGAGCATATCCCACACGGACCTCCACCAGCGCACCATCACGCCGCACTCGGGGGTCCCGGAGCAGGGGTTTACGAGGGACAATTTGGCGGAGTGGTATTCTTCGACGGCCCCCACCTAACCGAACAAACCTGCCGCAACCTGGTCGAGACCCTTCCCATCGAATCCCTCGTCTCCATCTTCCTCGCGATTGGAGCCGCGGTACAGGTTTTGGGCGCGGTTGTTGTGCATCGGTATGCGAATGAGTTGTGTACGCGGACGGAGTGGAGGGAACAGAGACGGAGGAGGAGCTCGAGTGTGAGTAAGGAGGTATGGAGGGTAGAAGAGATGGAGGAGGGGTTGCCGGCGTATGAGCCTGCTGCTCCGGCGTATGAGAGTGAGGAGAAGAGAGGACAGGGGGTCGAGGTGCCGTTGCCGGCGTATATGGATATCGCTGCGAACGAAGCAGAGGAGCGGGAACAGCAGGAAGAGAGCGTGCAGGAGAGCGTGAGGGTTCGTGGACCGGTTTGTGCCGGGGTTCATTGTGTTTGGTTTGAGGAGGATGATTTGCATTTCTGATGGGCACTCCTTGTCATGGGTGCTTGACGGATCCGTGAGTGAGTGTACGATGGAATTGACATACGATGCCTTTTGCTTTGTTTCTCTTTGAGTGTTTCTGCTCGGGCAGTATGATTTACTGGTTTGTATCTTTTGTTTTGTTCGTTTTTCCGGAGTTCGTTCAGCTTGCAGTTGTCTTTGATGCATTCATTTTACGGGTTACATTATGATTAGGGATGGGTTGGAAGGATAGGACACGGCTAGGTCATTTTCAATGCTTTGCTTTTCTTGAATAACGTCCCTTCTATGTGAAAGCGAGCGTGGTAGGCTGTGTGTTCGATGTGCAAACGACCTTGTTGTCGTTTCGCCTTTAGCTTCGTACGTACCGAGACCTCATGATCCGGCAGTCGTTTGAACTGTGCCGTAATGGGGGACAGTATCTGAATTCGAAGAAAACCGTCGAAGTGAGAGCACCCTTCATCACAACGGCAACGAACGGCACGCCCTTTCCTTGATCACGGGCATCCTGACAGATCACCACGATGTGTCGCTAGCACCCTGTAGAGCCGTTAGCCTCGCCCATACGGACAATGGCAGCGATTCTACCCCTTTCACGTCGTCTCCCGCTGACAATACTCCAATAACGCCATCATCTCCTCCGCCTGCTTCTTCTCCAACTCATCCTTTTCCTCCTTGTCTGCCTCACCCGACACAACGAGCCTGTAAGCGCCACTCAGTCAACCAAACTGTGAAATAACACACTGCAGCTCCAGGCGCTTACCTCTCAACACGATCGACAAACTTCTTGGCCTCTCGCCGTGCTGTGCTTAGAGAGTTTCCCGTAGGATCCCAGGTGCGGATCAAAACTGGGTGAGAGATGCGGGAGAGCCACCATCTACGACAGCTTGTGAGCAGATCATCCCTAATTAGGATTGTGAACGTACATGCTATTCCAGAAATCTTTCTCCCTTCGATGCAATATCGCATGCCTACACCCACCATTAGCCTCCTCCAGCTCCTCTTCTCCGCTCTGACCTTCAAACTACGTACCAGTAATCAGCACTGATCTCCCCATCCATACTCTGCGCAATTTCATGCGCTTCATGTAAGTTATCGTTCCATACGTGTAAACCAGACTTGAAGGTGTTCTGCTTCTTGGGGAGTTGAGCGATCTCGCCGGTGAGCGAGGCGTCAAAGACGGAGGTTGGGCAGAGAGGAGGGAGGGAAGTGCGCTTTGTAAGTTTGGAGGCTAATGAAGACATTTCTGGATTGACCGAGGTGAGAAAGTCCGGAATCCAGGTGCTGCCAGTCCTACGTCGGCTGGACGTCATCGCGCGGTATCGTCGAATGCATGGCATAATCAAAGTGTGAGTCACAGTGGGTTGAAGGAGTCCATTGTAGCTATATATTCCGTGACCAGCACTCAACCTTCATCTCACATGCCGGCCGCTTTCTGCTCAACCCGGATCCGGGGCAACTGTCCACCCTGACCTCCTCCCTGCTCCTCGCACTTCACCCAGCAATCCTTCATCTGGTGATATAGATGGTCTCGTGTGTGCCCCCTCGAATGGTAACCGTAGAACTTCTCGCGCAGAAAAGAGTCCTCCATCGCGGCAGAAAGGAGAAGGATCGGTGAATTCGCACGTATTCCGGTCGGCAGTGATCGGAGCGCGTATGTGAAAAGTACGAAAGCGACGAAAAGGCACACAAGCATTGCCATGAGGAATAGACACCCCACCACTTGACGGCTATTCCAGCGACAGGTTTGTAACCAGTGGCTTCGAGATAAGGACGATTGCCGTAAAAAGAGCTCTTGTATAGGCATAAGCATGGATCACGAAGGTCACGTTCGAGGACTGACCTACCAAGAGCGTGCGAGCTGCACCATACGCAGCGATTGTGAGTTTGGACTCAAAAGCCGTTGAGTTGAGAACCCGAGTGTGCTCATCCACGGGCCACGACAGAGGAAAACTGCGATAGTCGACATCGTTTGAGCCGTCGCTCCGGAGGATAGTATCTCCCATAATCCATGCAATTCCGTTTACCAAATACTGACTCATCTGTACAAGATACTGTCAGGTAGATGGTCAGGATCGGTGTTGGCCTAGGCTTACCATTCCTAGCAAGCCCACTTGGTCCGTAGGATGACCTGCTGTCCTGGAGGTTTCGTTAGACCTCAACGTACAGTTTTGTAAGTTTCTCTGGACAAGTTGACAATCTCCAACGACCTCGTCCATTGTTGAAGTACATTTCATCACATAGGCCCATCCCAGTGTTCCATTGTCGGTCGACGTCAAGGTCTGCATATAACGCGTTATGTTGCTGCCAAAGTTGCCAGGGACTTTGCCGGCAACCAAAAATAGCAAATTGAAATTGCCACTATCGTCGTAGGTAGTATTCACATCAGCACTTCCGTTCCTGTGCATGATTATGATGGGCGTGTTCATGAACCGTACTAATTGATCAACCTGCATATTGGAAGTATTAAGACTCACGTTTAGGACTGGAACGTGCCCCCCCATATCCAGGTTCAGACTGATGTTGAATGCCATTTCGTCGACCGTTGTGCACTGGACCAAAGGCATAGCTCCCTAGTATCCATTAGACCCTGTGTTTGAGAATGGCTCATCGTCTCACCTTGATACCCCTCCAGGTCTCATCTTGGGTAGAATTCTGCTTAGTCGCAGACATCGGCCACACAGCCCCACTCTGAGGATCCTCCACACTGGTAGTGTTCAACCCAATCGCTGCCTGAACAAGCATGCTTTTGGTAGGAAGTATAATCCTTTGGAGATCAAAGACACCAACAAAACACCTGCCTTGTTGTACGTAGAAATCGTAAGATCGGGATTGTTGGGATACCCAAACGACTGATTACCGAAATGAGCAGTAACGTTTGAAATGAATTGGAGACCGAGCTTCGGATATGGTGCTTGATGAAGGACGGCGCCGGTGGCTACCAAAACGGTAAGATATGCGACCATGGTAGCCACCGGTGCTTTCGATTGAAGCCGCCTTGCCCACCTAACCTTGTCAGTTAGTCGTGATTCCATCGTCTAACGACCATTACGTACCACATTGAGACTAGAGTGCTCCAGTACCGAAAGCCTCAATCACTCAGTGCATCGAAATCACAAAGTGAAATACCCCCTCGCTGAGCTTCCATCCATTTCAGCTCCGTCTCAAACTGAACCAAAGCCATACCCAGCAACACGACCAAGATCCACCCCACACTGCTTGTGACAAGAGAGATCACAGTATCCACGGCAGCAATGCTCCATGACTGAGGACAGAAGACAAATACGCCGTCGCGAGCCGTGATATCATTCTGTGATGCCAGCAGGAACAAGCCAAAGCAGATGAGCAGCAAAACGACAATTACGAGGGAAACCCAGGAGAAAACCTCCGCGGTGCTCGCTTGCTTTATGACACGAACCATATTCAAGCCTTTCGCGCCCCGGTTGACACGCATGGTCATAGAAGCGTACTCAGCGTCAGAGACCGTCAATAGGGGCTGACCTGAATCATCGCCGGCTATATAAGATACAGCAGGACTCGCAGACCGACTGGACACAGCGGAGCCATATTCACTGGGCGATAGACTCGATTGGGGTGGTAATGGACGAAGTAAAAACGGCTGAGGTCCAACATCTGATAAAGCTCGCCGATGCGTCTTCTTGTGCGCTAACGAGTTGACCCACTCATGTTCTTCATGCTGTGTGGAAAGTGATTCGGCATAGCCATATGTGTTCTCGTCAAAAGGACTTTGAAAAGGGTTAGCCATCGTAGTCGTGCGGATCAATCAGATGCTGTATATATCAAAGGACCTTCCACACTTGAACTCGAAGAATCAAAGATATGGTCATCATATATAGATTCAGCAAGTGCAAACACAAAATAACCGGCCCGCAAATATGCGGGAGAACCGAGCCATATGGCACTCGGCCGTTATGGTCCGCGAATAATTCGTGCGGACGCACGGTGGCCGGCTTCCTACCGAGCCAAGAGAATCTCGTAACAACAGGAAGCACAGCGCCTCGATCATGATTATCTCTGCGAACTAGCTCGTTCGGGCAATTGCATCGAAACAGAGATTGGCTGAGACCCTTGGTATCATATGGGCAGGGATATCGACCGGGCGTGCGAGACGCTGCAAGCCCAAACCTTAATCACACCAATTGCCCTAAGGTGGCCAATTATGTATGAGGTACGTATGAGGAACTTGGTTGATAGTTCGTAAACATGCTGCTATTGTTCTCAATCTTGCAGTCATCTTAATCGGCACCTTGCACGAAACGAACTGGTAAGGTCTGATCCTCCACGCCCATCGCTCGCTCCCCATTCCGATGCCACGTATCTGGAGCTCTGTTCGTCTCGAGTACTGCACCAAGTTTAAAGCGACGATCCCGGACCTTTCGAACGACGTCCTGTCTCTTACAACCGTCCGTCCTTGCAAGCTCCTGGAGTAACTCAGGGTCAGAGGTAGCTGTAGTTAACAACATCGCCGGTGAATTTGCATGAGCGTTGATTGGAGAAGACCGAAGAATGTAGTTGAAAGAAATGAACGCCAGGAAAAGGGCGAATAGCAGGAACACCATAAGGTATGCACCCCATAACTTGAAGGCTATCCCCGATCTGTGCTCGTAGCCTGTGGCATTCGTGTACGTGTTGACTCCATAATAGGAATTCAGAAGCGTCTTAGCTGCTGCATTGTGGGCCAATTGCAATTTCTGAGTGAAGAAATCAAAACTAGGTAGCGGCACGCTTTTGTTGTCGATTTCAAGAGGAACGTTCGTCCACAGGAGAGGGTACGTCCGATTCGCAGGGAAATCATCAAGGTCTGGGTTGGCCATGTGCCAGGCCATTCCGTTAACGAGATACTGACTTAGCTGTGACGGAGGTCGGTTAACTTTCTCGGAATATGCGCCATGGAACTCACCTGACCCAACAAACCAGGTTCGTCTGGAACGGGATGTTTGGACACCCCAGTCGCGTTATCCCGAATCACACAGTGTTGCAACTCGCGGCCAACCAATTCGCAGTCTCCATTGACTTCTTTCATGGCGAAGGAGCATTTCAGTACGTATGCCCAACCGGCGAAAGTCCTGTTACGCCCATCGATATCGTACCATTCAGACGGTTGTGCCCAATAAGATTTTGTGATATAGTCCGGCAAGTCGTAATAGTAGCTGCCGCTGACTATACCTGACAACATAAAGGTGAGATTGAATTGGTCGGTTGTGTTGTAAATTCCAGACTGCTCCGGAAGGATGATACCGATGAAGGGAGTATTGTGAAACTGGGACAGTTGAGTGAGACACGTGTCCAATCGACTATAGTTGACCGAGAATGCCGGGATTGACTTGTTACTTTGTGAGGGAGGCCAGCCCATGTAGAGCACAGGATCCGGTACCAGTTCGCAAGTCACACCAGGTAATGCTCCGGTCACATTATACCAGGTTTCGTTCAGAGTGGCATTGCCAGCGCCAGCAGGAGTCGACGGCCAGACAGCTCCGCTCTTGGAATCTTCGACGCTGCTTGTATTGAGATTGAAAGCAACGTTCAGCATGATACCGTTAACCGGTAAAATGATGTTTCCCATGTCAAAGATTCCCGTGTAGGAGCTATAATTGTACTTACTCACAACGAGACTGTCATTCGGGTATCCAAAAGCCTGTGCTTCAATGACGCTCGTCTTCTTGAAGCCAACCTTTGGGTATGCTGCCTGGTTCAGGATCACTCCAGTTGCGATGAGGCTGATCAGGTAGAAGAGCATACAAGTCGCTAACCATCGGGATTGCAAGCGACGTGACCACCACATCGATGCGAGCGTTGTCCAATACCGGAAACCATGATCACTCAGCCCGTCAAAATCACCAAACGCTATGCCATTTTCCCGATAAGCTTCGATCCATTTCAATTCGGCCTGAAGTGCGATGAGCGTGACGCCCATCAACGCAGCAAGGATCGAACCAATCAATGAGGCTACCAAAGATATGACAGTGTCAACCGCGGCAACGCTCCAGCCAGAGGGAAAGAACACAACCACTTCATCACGCAATAGTAGATGTTTTGCTCTGGTTGTCAAGACCAAACCGACGATGAGCAGAACGAAGACCAATAAACACAAGGCGGTCCAAGTGAACAAGTCGATGTTTTCCACTTCTCCCCATATTTTTCGAAACGGCGAGCTGGGCGTGATCACGACCTCGGAGTGCCCCAGAATCCTTTCGTCGTCGGCTCCGAGAAGAGAATTGACACTGTCGTCACGTGGATGTTCTGTCCTAAATGGCGAGGGAGTACTTCCACCTGAGACGCTCGATCCAGCATAACCGGGAGAGTAATTGTCATACGACGGCAGAGATCTGAGAGGAACAGGGCGGGCAGGTGAGCTAGAAAGGGAGCGGACGTAGGTGCGCCTCGAGACAGACGGATGAAGATAATGATCCGCTTCGCCATGACGACCAGACCTTTCGTCAAGAGCGATGTCGTTGTAAGTCTCGTTCATGGAGTCGGTTAGAGACGGCCAGGTAACGCAGACGATCCATCTTATAACCCTTGAAGGCTGTTAAGCCGTTAAACGACCTTCATCGACAGGCGCCTCTTCCCGCCTCGCATGCCACATGCCAACCTTCGGGCCGTAACGACGGGAAAGAAGGGTTAAGCCACCGTCCTGCTGAAAACAGCAAACACGTCGAAGAAGCGGCCCTCAGGCGGCGAAAACTTCAGAACATGAATGCTGATTTGTCCGCTAAGGTGGTATGGAATCCATCCTTTCACGTTCAGTACGATCATTGCGCTTGAAGCTTCACGACTGCGCGCAAGCGAGACTGCAAGGGCCCGCAAACCCGGACCCCCGACAACAACGACCTGAATCCTATCAGGCTGTACGCTTGTCATTCAGCATTTTACCGCCATGCAAGACTGCTTAGACAATAGAAGCGACAAGTCGTATGCCGAACATGAAGTCCTGGGCGGGTCCTCAGTACATTGTGAGTGTTGGGCGGTCGGTGCTGATGCATGTATGCTGGTTGAAGAGGCCCATGCGTGTCAAAATGCGCGAAGGCCAATTCAGAGCAAACATCTGGAGCCAGCACGGCGTACATATACACACGTCGAGGCTCAAATGGCTTTCACAAAGCCACTCACGGTGGTTGCCTCGCTCTGCATCGGTACAATGCGCATTTTCTGAGGGACATGGCAGCGTTCACTCTCATTTCGCGATCGGCGGTTTCTGAGTACTGCGGGCAACGTTCAAACCGCCTGTGTGACGAAGAGCTTAGCTGTGAAGCATCATTCTTCGAATTTTAACTCCCCCTTGGTCCTCGGTCTGTTTGCTCTGATCGAAGCTCCACTTGTCTCCCGGTGGGGTCTCTCCTGTGAGCGCGACGGGAGTGCCCGCAGCACAAGGCATTCTCCTTGGAGTAGTGGTTGTCAGCATGCACGGCCCCGCTTGAAACTGTATACTGAGAATGTCTGCCGAGGTTCTGACATGTGCCGCGGCTTAAAACTGGGAACATGCGGCCCTTCTTTGATGTTTAAGGGACTTGCGTTGAAATGCCCCTTAAACATAGTTACGGGCCGTTACGCAGACTTTCCGTCTGTCTTACTACTGCGGCATGCAGTATGGCAAAAGCGAGGGGAAAAAATCTTTTATGAGTTGTGGAGGTGCCGCCAATTGTGCGGGACGTGATCAAGAACCATTGCCGGTGGATATCCGTATAGTTATCAAGAGCGTGTTCAGCCGGCGGCAGAAACGATATGAATCCCGTCAGAAGAGTCAGCGAATGCACCGGAGGTCTTAAAGTCCTGTGGATGACGCTCATCTCGTGTCCACGGTTTGTACGGGCGTGGGGCAACGAGGAAAATACGAGACGCAGTACAGCTACATTATGATGATAGGTAAACATGCGACGGCTACGATTGCCTACACTTAACTCAAATCAGAGAGGGTTCGATGATGACGAACTATATGTTCGCCTCAGTCGCTCAACAGGGGTCGACCCCCACCATGAGACAGCAGAACGATACATACGGGTCTGAAACGTCGGTTCTACTGCTAGCGACGAACCTGGGCGCGCAGCAACGATCGTCTCGGGAAAAAGCTTAAGCGTTTCAGCACATCAAGAGCTTTCATCGAAATTTCAGATGTGACCTCGAGATGGCAGATAGCCGTGTCGTTATGTACTTTAAAGATTTATGAGACATTGAGTATGGATGGAGGATCTGTGCGAGTGGTTCTCCACGGGTGACATCCATTTTCGCGGGTGGCTTTGCTACAAACATCAGGTCACAATAGCAATCGTCTGGTATACAGAATTGTATACCTAGGTACTGAGGCACATTTCTATGAGCGACTGCCCTGGTGACTCCTGAGTTTTACGGTTTCCCACCCAACTGCGAAGCGCGGGTACATGCAGCCGGCTCATCCCAGGGCATCTGAGCTCGGTTGACGTGCGTCAGCTGAGCGGATATCTGCATTAAGAGGCAAATCCCCGAACCTTAATTTGGCGATACTTGTGATCTTCGACTTACGTAAGCGAAGGGCATCTCATGTTGAGTAAGCGGCGCTTACCTTTTAACTTCGTGTTGCACGGAGAACTTGGGTTCGCAATTTTTGGGCTGGCCGAGAATGACGTTCGGTGAGGAGACTACGGCGGAACTATGCCACGTCTATGGAATGATATGGCGAAAGAGCTGCGTCTACCACGCTTTCACGGGTCTTATATTCTTCGATCTCATCGAGACATGTGTTTATCTCTTATCATTGCGGGATGGATGGGATGAGGAGCATGCATTGTCACGTCAAGGGTCCTTTATTCTTGACCTCCCAAGATTATCCGAGTTTAAGTTAATCGGCTTCATGGTGTACGTACGGGGGCGGTCAAGCACGCGTGGTCTTCAGCTGGAGGATTGCTAAGCCTGAGTCACAAGAACGCGATACGAGGGATGTCGAGCCCTTCCCGCGGTCATCAGAATTCGAGAAATTAAGGTGCACCTTAAAGGTTCCCGGGTCATGACAAAGAGCTGTTGTCCAAGGGTGGCATGTTTACTGCCTGTATATGGGTACAATCCGATCCTTACGGAGACCAGTACGAAAGGAATTCGCGACCACGGGGAGAATGTGGAAATGAGGAGATGAGGGGAATGTGAAGAAGGATAAGGAGCTGCCCTAAGCTTATGTGCATTTTAAGGGGAACAACCATATGGTACGCCCCTACAACATCGCACGAAACGACCGGCAATGACTGTCTCCTCCATTCCACTCTCGCTTCCCGCTGGTCACCGTGGAAGCCTATAAACAGTCTCCGTCACCCCGCCCAAGCTGTTCCTCATCAACACACTCTCATCTCTCAATCACTTGATACTTCGTTCAATCAACATCTCAACATGAAGGTTTCCATCATTGTCGCTGCTCTTTTCCTGGGAGCGTCCAGTTTTGTCGCTGCGTCTCCGGTCCCTACCGTTGGGACCACCCCTGGCGTTATTCCCGCCCCTCCCCCGAGCTCTTCACCGCAGTCGGGGGGTTCCACGACCGCTATGGGTGGATCTGGTGGATCTGGTGGATCTGGTGGTGCCGGTGGCAAGGCCAACGGAGGTGACGGCGGTGACAAGAATGAAGGTGGCAAGAGCGGTTCTGCGAAGGCGTTTACATCTCTCGTCACACCATCAGTCGGGAAAACTGCTTATGATTTGTAGCAGTAATGACAGGGGAAGTAGCGCTATCGCCGGTAATGTTGTCGGTAACGGTGGAGACGGCGGTTCCGCCTATGGTGGTGATGGTGGTGCCGGAGGCAATGCCCGTAAGTCTTGACCTTCCATTTGCCGTTGTGCGAGTTCCCAATGACTAACTCACTAGGCGCCTCGGCCGGGAATTCGAACTCCGGATCCCGTCCTGGTGGCCGCCCCCGTAATTAGTCGCCGTTGGTACCTACCCGAGCAACAATGTCAATGCTGTCAATGGTAACTCAGTCAATGTTCGTGGTGGAAGATCTTTAAAGTAAGTTGTACCTAGGACTGGACGTGTCTGGACAGCTTATTAATTAGGTGACTACCTCAGGCAAAAACAACAAAAAAATGGTGGAGTGATGGTATTGTAGGATTATTGTCTTTACTTCTTGTTGAATTGATTTTTCTGGGGCAGGTTTGCTGCTTCCTTTGCTGCTTCCTCTTTCTCTGTACGCGAGGTTATGTTGACGTTGAGTTTCAATATATCATCTATTCAGACACATTGAGCGTGAGAGCTTAAGAATCCTGAGGATTGGAAGTTCTTCATCATGAGCTGTGCACGAATACCTGTAAGCGATTCAACATGATAGCCAAAGCTCGGAGATGGTCAGTTCACAGGGGAGCGAGTTGTTTATCAGCGCTGGTAGCATCGTGTAGCTTGAGTGGCTGGCAGTGCGTTCCGCCCAGGGAATCGTGAACATCTCGTCCCATGGGCAGGGAGAAAGGTAATGTCCGTACATGTTCCGCAACTGTCCACCTATAGCCAATCAAGATACATTCAGAGAGAACCTGCTCATCTGTATTTGATCTTTCTAGCAATCATAAACGATACCAATGGCAATATATCGGCAATCGAACGAGCGGTCTACCTCAAAAATGCTCCTGCTCTGCTTTGCTCTCCTCCCCACCTCACCTCTTCTCCACATATGCCCCGATAGCCCCTTCTTCCTAGAAATTCTCCTTCCCATACACAAACCTCGTCCCATCCTTCCCCGGCTCACTCCACTCATTACACTTATTATGCAACGTCTTACTCAACACCTCCGGCCCACAAAAAAACACACCCACATCCGTCGCCGGATGCAAACTCCTCACACTCTCAAACACCCTATCCCAATCCGGTCTCCCAAAATTCGTAGGGGAGCGAAGACCAGTGATAGCGTCGACCGTAGCTCCAGCATCTTGGATCATGATGTTTTGTGCGTCGTCAGGTTTGATTTTGAGGGTGAGGTAGGTGTGTATTTCGATGAGGTGGCCGATATCTGTTACAAATCTGTTAGCGAGGCTCCAATATGGATCCTGGGCGAGACAACTAACCTTGTGCTTCAATCGCCAATAACAACGACCGGAACCACTCCAGACTTCCAAAATCCCTAATCACCCAAAAGAAATACACCTTCGCCAACCTTCCCCGTCCCTTCTTTCCCAACCCACCAACACGATACCAAATACTCTTCAGAATACTGGCAAAGGGCGTGACACCAATTCCTGCACCGACGAGCATGGCGACTTCATACTTGAACACATCCTCACTGGCGGAGCCAAAGGGTCCATCAATCATCACGCGGGGAAGAACACGGTGGAGGGCGGGGTCGTCCATTGATTGCGATGGCTGCGAGGTATCGAGACCAACCAGACGAGACGCACGAGGATCACCCCGAATATCGCCCCTCGCTCCACCCTCCTCCTTCTTCGTCTTGTTGTCAAAATCACACCCCAACCTCCTCGCGAGCATCGTCGTAAAATCACCTGTTCGTCGAAATCAGCCTAAAATCCACAGGCATGATGAGCTTCCACATACCAACACAACGGATATGCACACTGATGAACTCCTCCTCCGGCGCACTCGTGAGCGTAAACGGATGATACTGCACCAAACTGATTTCGGGACAACAGAGGAAGATGTACTGTCCAGCCCGCGAATTCACATTTTCTTTCTTGATTTGGATTTCGCAGACGCGGCTGGGGTGTTGAATGACTTTCCTATTTCCAATCACCGTCAGTAACAGGAGAGGGGTGGGGAGGTCGACGTACGAGATGTAAGTGCGATGCGTCCCACGCCATTCCCTAGCCGCACGCTCGAGTCCGTAGATAACCCCACCAACGAGCCAATACTTCCAAAACACCCCAATCTGCGCACAAAACGGTGGACGATCAGGTTTGATCATGCAAAACGCTCCCTGTGAGCAGTATGTTAGCCTTGTCAGCCTAAAAAGACGTTCAGATCATTTCACTCACATGAATCGACCACGCTCCAAAGAAGACGATGAAGAGATGATGCGTGCTCCAAAACCGGTCATAGCCGCCGTTGGGTTTTCGACGCTGTTTTTCGACTGCGTACCACACCATAATGCCCAGTGAGATGAGCATGACCCACCCCGACGCCCCCGGTCCCGTCCGGAAGTTCGCCAACAACCATCCCTTAACCCCAAGATTGGCACTGGCCGCTAACCTCCCAAAATTGACAAAGTGTGCAAAGGTATGAACCAAAGAGAAAAACACAATACTCCACGCCACAGCCTTATGAAACTCGATATTCGCATCGAAGGGAATAACACCATTCAAAGGTGTCCTCCTCGCCAACGAGATCAAATTCCTACACACAGGCAACAAGATAAGGGCTACGTCGACGTGGAGCACGAGGGCGGCGGAACGGGCGATGGCATAGGTTGGGCCGAAGGTTGCGCGGGCGGTGGTGAGGTTGTCTTTCACGGAGTAGTTCATCATGCCGAAGGAGAAGACCAAAGCATGAAGGAGAATGAATACGCCGTAGGTAAGGCGGCTGGCACCTACTCCACGACATTTAGCACTCGTTCAGTGATGGATGAGAATAAGATGGGGTAAGAAGGGGAAAGCGTACCTTCGTTAACCATCCACTTATCCAGCCTCTGCCCCAAACTCAACTCCGCAACCGGCGTCAGCTTTAAACTACTCCCATCACTGCTCATTGTGACACTCCTCTGCATGACAGTCGTTAAATTCCTCTTGCTTGACATCTTTCCCAAAATTGCGTAAATACGAAAATCACGAAATCCCACGGGGCTACACGAATCCTGTTCGTTGAGTTTGGCGGTGAACAGACCAGCTGTTCAATGGATGGGTATGAGGAAGGAGGAGAGGAGGAAGTGAAGAAGAAATAAAGCTCAACGGGTTAAATTGATGGCAGGCAGGGGGGGGTTTCGGGACTCGGGGAGGAAGGGGAGGAGTGCGTCAGTGTGTTTCACGTAACCTGGACGAGGAATGATCAAGGAAAGACAAGGGCATAGAAAACATAGATGCTTCCCAGAAAACGAAGGTAAGAACTCGGCAAAATGATGACGTTTTTCAGGGATGTTACTATTAATAGCATCACACCCCACATTTGACCATAGCGTTCATCAACAGCAATCGTCAGCGATACGTCCCGTGTCAACTGTGCAAGTATTTGGTAGGTTGCCTTCCTCTTTGCAGGACAGTCTACGTTCGGTACCGACAAACCGCCCACAGATTCCAGTTACACCCGACCCCCGTCCTCCGCAAAGCAACTCGTTACGTTACCTTCATCTCCTAAGTTTACGGAGGTTCAGAGCAATTGGATATCATTCAAGCACAAGCATGGCTTTCCTAATCGCAAGCCTAACAACCTTCGACTCCCGTCTCCGGCGCATCGAACACCTCCTCTCCCCACCTTTAGCATCCGCAGACGACAACGACGCACCCGCGACCACCTCAGAAACCGAACCACAAACCCTCCAATCCCTCGTCGCCCGTTTAGCGGCCTTAGACAAGAGCGTCAACACCCTCCTTGCCGGCATCGACGTCAACGCAATACAAAATGGTGCCAATCCTAAGAAGATGGGCCATTGGAACATCTAGCTAACGACATGCACAGTCATCCCACCATCGTCCCTGACAAGCGAGGAAGAAGACCTCAGTATCGAGCAGAAGAGGGCAATCATCACATCCCCAAACACCCCCGATATCCGCCAAATCACCTCAAACCTCCATACCCTCCAATCGCTCCTCCCGATCCCCACCGTCCTACCACTGACTTCATCGGCATCACCGTCAAATACCGCAACAGCCCAGCGCTTGACCGACCTCCGTCGAAAATTAGAGGAGGATGCAGCCATGAGTAACCAATTGCGAAGACGAACAGTGGAGGTACTCGAGGTTTATGCACAAGGCGTTCAAGAAGTTAATGAGTGGTGGGTTGGGGTTGAGCAGAGGGGGAAGATAATTGAGAGGGGCTTGAGGGCTAAGGAGGATGTTGAGTATTGAGGTTATCGAGGCAGCGGAGAAGGATGGACGAGGCCGTTGAAGAGACTGACGATTACCTGTTTGTGGCTCACGAGGAAATCATGATACGAAAGATTGCATCTTTCTTGAGCGATTTGGGAAGCGAGATGGAAACCTCAACGGGGTATTGAGGACAGGCAAACTCCGAGCACAGATAGTGGCCTATCATATATACCAAACGTACTGCGCAACAACAGAGCATTGACCCACTCATACTCATGGGCTTTAGAGTGGACAAGAAGTTATGACATGTTTTTCGTGTTTTCGTCTAATATTACGTTCCTTATCCATCCCCTCATGAATCCAATCGAAACGCCATAAAGCAAATCAGGTCACTCACTAATCACAATAAAACGAGCTCGTACTGTTGCAGATAAAAAAACAAAAAACGAAAAAAAAAGATAATGGAACCGAAACCGACGCCCAGCTGACCATGATCTTTTGCTGTTGTGACGCTATGATTGTTGTGTGCAGTAAAATGATGCCGTCGTTGTTATGGTCTGCGAAAACAAGAGACAATGAAAACAAAGTACGTATGCCGACCGACCATGGCCGGGGTCGGGTAGGCAATGATAAAGTACAGTAAAAGACATAAACGCCGGTGGAATCCAAGCGAACCGAAGCGATGTAGCCAAAAGCATGTGCATCCCAGCAAACCTTAATCGCAACGCTGCAGCTTATTGAGCAGCAGTAGCGGTGGGTGCAGCAGTTTGCTTTTCATCAGCAACAGCCGCTGGCTTCACATCGGGCTTCGTCGCGCTCGCGCTCTTCTCCGTCGGTCCCGCAACGGCAGCACTGCTATTAGCGGCCTGGCTCTGGCTCTGGCTCTGTTCAGCCGCCTTCTTCCGGGCCTGGGCATTGTTCTTCTTCCGGTTCGAACCGGACTTGTTCTTCCGAGATCCTGGCTCCGAGAACCCATCGCCATTCTTGCTAGCAATCGAAGCTTCACTGCCGGCCTTGGAGGTAGGGCGGGTAGCGGCTTTGTCGGGAGCAGCGGCTTGTTTGCCATTGCTGCTCGCAGGGCGAGAAGCGTTCTTGTTCTTCTTGCCCTGTCCGCCACCAGAGGAGTTCGGACGGGAGGTGTTCGCGGAGTTATTGGCAGAGGAGTCCTTCGACTTCTGGTTCTGGCTATTGCCATCACCCTTCTTGCCCTTACCCTTCTTCTGAGACTCCTCAGCCTGATTCTGCTTTTTCAGCTGGTTCTCATGAGCACTCATCCGCCATGCAGGGACGTTCGTCCAGATGACCTTCGAGCTACCTCTGCGACTGCGGGTAGGCGAGGTGTCAGAAGACGCCTGGATAAGAGCATCCAGGTCTTGCTCAGGCGAGAAAGGAGCAGGCGACACTGTAGTCGCGGGCTCAGGAGGAGGCGTCGAGAGAAGGTTCGTAGTAGAAGACGCAGCAGACTGCGAATGAGCCTTGAGCAAAGCACCAGCATAGGTTCTCGGCGCAGACGGCAAGTTCGCAAGAGCATTATCCGTCTCCGGGCCCGGAGCAAGGACGATCGCATTGGCAGGCAAAAGCCCATTCCCAACAACGATATCCGCAAACGTCGAGTTCCCGCGTCTCAAAGTAGGCGGCTGGCTCGAGCTCCGAGCCTTCCCCTCAGAAACAACAGTCAACCCCTTATGACGCTCGCCCGTAACAGCCGCAGCAGCCATTTCCTGCCTAAGCCTCTCGACTTCCTCCTCGACCTCGGTAGCTTTAGCCCACTCCTCGCATTCCCTCTCAAGATCACGCTCTTCCCACCCACCAAAGACGGACTTGCCGTTATCACGCTTATTGTTATCGTGTTTTGGCGGCGTCGTCTGCGGTCGTTGAGGAGGAGCCTGCTGAACAGGAGCAACCGTCGTCGTGGCCAAACTACTCCCAGAACTCGTCCCAAGGCTCAAGTCAGAATCAGAATCACTCGCCTGCGTCGTAGAGCTCGTTGAGATCTTGTTGCTCATAGCCGCACTCGCTCTCCTTCCGCCACCGGGGCCGTTCTGCATGTTCGGAGCACCATTAGGTCTATACTCCCGCGCACTCGAGGTACTCGAGTAACTCTGTCGTCGCTGACCCTGACTCTGAGATCCAGAATCATGGTGCTTCGTAACCTGCTCAATATGTCTAACGATATTGCTCCTCGGGCTCGCGGTGGCTTCGAGAGCAGCGGGAGCACTCTCCGTCACATTGGGTGGGGGCTGCGCACTCTGCACGGCATAGTAGACTGGAACACCATCGGGTCCGTAGACGGGGATATAATATGTGAAGGTCTGTCCCGCAGCAGCTGCCTGATAGATCGGATGTTGCCCATGAACTGCAGAAATATCCCCAGTAACCATAGTATTCGGCACCATATACACCGGTAACGCCGCTTGCGCCGCAGGTCCAGCCGTCTGCCGCCAATTGTTCATATTGGCACGATTCGGGTTCGGATGCGAATTCGTAAACCCATGACCTTTCTTGGGGATAATATTGTTTGCTGCCCTCGGGTTCGGGTTCTGCCTCCATCCGCCCCTCCCGGTCCACTTCTGCTGGTTCGCGTATCGCAACTGCGGTTTCGAGCGTTCCTCAACAGGAAAAACATACGGCGCACAACAATCCTCCACACTCGGTCCAGGCTGCACCTCACTCAAACACCCAAACGCCCGGCGAAACTCGAGACACAAGCCCTTCACACTCGTATCATCCGCCGTGTTGCCCAAGTTCCTGATAGTATTGAACGGCTCCTCAACGCACAACCGATTATTCTGCATCAAATGCCATGCCTTCTCTTCTTTATCCAGCAAACACCCATGCCGGACCGAGATAACGTGTCGATCATAATCGAACTCATACGCGAACCGTCTGAAGAAGGCATACAATAACCCACCAAGCGACTCATCATTCTTATCCCCAAACCCTCTGAGAGATTCCAAATCATCAAAGAACCCAACATCGACACCATCGACAATCTTTTTCTCATACGGTATCCGATGTAAACACGGCAACACAGGTGGATCCCGCATCTGCAGAAAGTTGATGATCATACAGATCCAGGTATACGAAGTCAACGTCCCCCCACCCGCCGCATCATTCAGAATCCGACGTTTGGCCCAATACTTGATAATCATCGCCAACGGCCTCACCCTCGAATCCAGTTCCACATAGGCCTTGACCAATTTCGTATTATGCAACGCCAACGTATTGTTGACATTCATATCACACGCAACCATCAACTCCGCATCCCAGACCTTCACAATCGGGACCTTCGCCCCCGGCACACACACGACCCTCTCCATCCCCTTCGCACTCAACACGCGTGCAATCGCACAAACCTTCAACCCCAAATCCTCCCACCCAGGCCAGATGATACACACGTCGACGTCACTCGTAGTCGTACACAATAAATTCTCCGTACTCCCAAACGTATGTACCTGGATATCCTGCCCAGGCCACGCTTCATTCAGGATACTCTCCAGGCGTTGGACAAACATCGCTCTTCGCTCATTACTGTCTGGACTGGGTAATAACCGCTCATACAACCTTTCCACATCCACACTCAACCGATCCTCCTCCTCCCGCGTCGGACGCTTCTTTAACCCATCTTTCGGTGCGGGGAGTTTCCCCGTTCCCAAAGAATACGGGATACGTCTCCGGGCATTCACGAGTGCCGTCTCGTACATACACTCCACCATCTCCGCACACTCCTTATGCACCTGCGGCTCACTCCGTGCACTCCGCGGGCTCGCACCGCCAGCCCCCACAGGCGACGGCGACCGCGATAATGGGTTATGCAACGTGACGGGATGAATGCTCGGTGTGTTTGGGAGGGACTGGGAGTTTGTGGATATGAATGACATATCCCTGTTAAACGATGGTCGGCGGGGTAAGGCGTTCGGTCCTTGCGCTGGCTGTGTGGTGACCTCCGCCACCAACGTCCCACTTCCTAAATCAACTCCTCCGTGGGTTTGAGTTGTTGTTACGGGAGGTATAGGCGGTAAATGCGCATATGTCGGCCGCTGATGCGGTAGCATACCCGTCGTTGCTACTGCTGTTTGCTGAGGTTGCTGTTCCGGCAAATTCTGCGAGTGGCTTATTGCGTCACTAACAAAATCTCTAGGCATACCAATCTTTTCAGGACCAATGTCTCCTGCTGGAGGGGCATGTGCTTCAATCATTGGTGGTGGAGACGCTATTGCCGTTGGTACTGGTGCCGGTGTTGGTGCATGCGATGATGAAAATATCGACGACGGCATGCTTGAGCTTCACTACACGTTGGCTCTGCTCGTGATGTGTAGACACTCAGGAGAGAAATGCGTAGAATGGAAACTGTCGTGAGCTTTCAACGCTGGACTGAAGCTTGGGAGTAAATGCTGTCCGTTCGCCGTCTCGTCTCGCCTCGCTATGATTGTAGCCGTAGCAATGGGTATCCTTCGATGCACAACTTCGTACTCTGCGTTGATATATGCGTTGCTGTTTGTCCTTGTCGTAACGTCTTCACGGCTTAACCTCCGTCGTATTGGTTACTTGACTTTTCCGAACTACCAGATGCGCCTGACTGCACGCGCTGCTCAAGTGAGGCACCGTGGACGACTGAGGCCACACACAAAACTGCTGAGGGAAACGAGCAGGGGGTGTTCTTTCTGTAGGATAGGATAGAGACGGGCCGTTTCCACTTCAACACGCGTGCTCGTTTTCTGGATTCTACACTGGAGGCGGCCGGCGGTGGAGCTCAGATGAAATGTAATGCACGCAGGGCCGAGGCGCCGGGAGGGACAAAGAAGGAAGAGAAGGGAGAGGGCCGTTGGAAGTAGCCTCATCGTAATCGTACGAGGGGTCTGGGACTTTTGTTTGGTACGGGAACGGTACATGGAGAAAGAACTTGATCAAAGGTCCCTCGCGAGCCATCTCGGTCTTCCCATAGGTGCATTCACCCCATGGGATAGGCAAAGTGACATATGATCAACCATGTAACCCCGTCACTCTCTTACCTCGCACAAAAGCCTCTGACGCTCGCGATCGACACACGCCTTTTTACCCGTCTTTCACCTGGTCAGCAGCCGCAAACGTTCCCGCCTTGTCCGCGGAGTTCGAACCGATACCATTCAACTGTTCGTGAGATTCGACCTTGCGGGCCCTTCGCTCCAAATGCCCACCTCACATTGACGTAGACTCAGACCTCCCCGGCTTCCAAACCGGTATGGGACGAAAGCACGTATCCACTCCTCGTGCCCCCCACATTCATCCACGCCCAGAGACGCAGACAGCGACGAGGACGGCAAGGAAGAAGACCGGGATGAGGATTCATGGCTTGCAAGTCAAGGATATATATAGCATTCAGTGGGACAAATGATCTCGGCTGATATGATCCGCGCGCTGATCACGCAATTCCCAAAATTCACGTGCACACGCATCACAGTGCACCAGACCGTCAGCCGGGCTCCGTGGGTACGTGTCGACATTACAGGGGGCGAGATCTCTTGCTGGACTGATCGCTGCTCCTCCTACACTCTCTCCCTTCATCTGTATACCCCCTCCGTCCACCCAGTGCAAGAGATCAATCAGATGAGGCCAAGTCGCCAATTACGAACATTATTGCGAGGATTGGAGAGGAACGGCGGTGCGGTGCGACGTCTCCACGCCTCCGAAGTACGACGAGGCCCTACGAATCAACCAATGTCTTTTCCCTGTCTGGACGCTCTCGAGTCCCGAACAGCAACCCTCTCCAACAAACTCGCATTCACCCCGCCCGAGCTCACCTCCCCGGATCCCACCTCCTCCACATCCTCCACCGGCACCGAAGGCGCAAACGAGCCCTCCTACGGCCGAATTCAAGGCGGGTACAAAACCTACGAACACAAAGAGCCATACCTCCTCGATCACGGCGGGATCCTACCGGGGTTCAAGATCGCGTATGAGACGTGGGGTGAACTCAACGCCGACCGATCCAATGCAATCTTGTTACATACCGGTCTCTCCGCCTCCTCCCACGCAAAATCACACCCAGAAAACCCGAAAGCCGGATGGTGGGAGCGATTCATCGGGCCCGGGAAAGCGCTGGACACGAATAAATTCTTCGTGATCTGTACTAACGTCCTCGGAGGTTGTTACGGCTCCACCGGTCCTTCCTCACACGATCCAAGCACGGACAAGCCGTACGGAACTACCTTCCCGATCTTAACGGTATGGGATATGGTCCGCGCGCAATACCACCTCCTCGACCACCTCGGTATCGACACCCTCTGGGCATCCGTCGGATCCTCCATGGGCGGAATGCAAGTCCTCGCAGCCGGAATCCTCGGTCGACGACCCGACGGCACCAACCGCGTCTCCCGCATCGTCTCAATCTCCGGCTGTGCCCGCTCCCACCCCTACTCCATCGCCCTCCGCTTCACCCAACGCCAAGTCCTCATGTCCGATCCAAACTGGTCCCGCGGTTTCTACTACGACAAAATCCCCCCACACATCGGTATGAAACTCGCCCGAGAAATCGCCACAATCACATACCGCTCCGGTCCAGAATGGGAACTCCGCTTTGGGCGCCAAAGAGCGGACGAGAGCAAGAGTCCGGCGTTGTGCCCAGATTTCAGGGTGGAGACCTATTTGGATCACCAGGGTGAGAAGTTTTGTTTGGAGTATGATGCGAATTCGTTGTTGTATGTTAGTAAGGCGATGGATTTGTTTGATGTTGCGCAGAAGCAGCAGGAGGAGCTCCGTGCGCTTCGGGCGAAAAACGCGGATCGTTTGGCGTTTTTTGAGGAGCATGGGAGATTACCGGATACCGACGAGGTTGTTGAGGCGTGTACGTTGACACCACCAGCAAAACCCTACCAAGACCAACCAATCCCAACTCCACAACAGTCCGCAACCACACAATCAACATCATCTCTCCCCCTCCTCTCCCCCGACCTCGTCGCAGGCCTCGCCCCCCTCCGCCAAATCCCAACCCTCGTCCTCGGCGTTCAATCCGACATCCTCTTCCCCGCCTGGCAACAACGCGAAATCGCCGATGCACTCAAATCAGCGGGGAACAGAAGCGTAACACACGTGGAGTTGAGTGAGCGGGAGAGTATGTATGGGCATGATTCGTTTTTGTTGTTGGTTGAGGAGGTGGGGGGTGGGGTTAAGAGGTTTTTGGAGAGTAGTGGGGGAGGGGTTGTTGAGGAGGGGGTTGATGTTGATGCTAATGTTGGGTGCTGAGCGATCGTTGACCCCACGATACTTTGGAGGACGCCGAGGAATGAGAGGGGGGTTGTGGAGTACTTAAGATGATTATGGACGCGTTGAGGATGATATACCATGTACTTCTACTTCGATTTGGGACATCTTGAGCATTTTGTACGGGTTTTCTGATCATGAATCGAGGCCCCAAGTTCCCCATCTCTCTCTTCCTCGCGCTCCACTAGCTCGTACCGGATCCGTCTTGACTGCATTCCGCGGGAGTCGACAGAGCACAGCCAATGAATTTTTCCTTCCAGCAGACGTTCTTTCTCTCGGAAGATGATGGGTACTGGCTGTGAGCCGAGCTTAAAGCGTTGGACGATCCATTAGAACGTCCTGGAGACTCTCAACAGTCTTTCATTTCTAGTTTAAGGCAGTCGAGCGATATTTAGCCACAATGTTGTCACCCTGAAATAAGACATCCCGGTTGGAATTGGGAATGGAGATTCACTCTTGCACTGGATGGGAACAAGGACCTCTTGCCGATTGATCACAGGAAGCCCCTCTTGAGAAAATGTCATATCTCGTTGAAGACGGATACTGACTGTGAGAAGGGCCCTGTCTTTTCTTTCTCAAGTCGCACAGCTATGTTTCACCGTGGTAGCCGGGTTAAAGAGACATTCAGTGGAATTGAGAATGGAGATTCAGTCTTGCAACGGGACTCTCGTAAGTCGATTTCAAACAAAGCCCGTTGACTCGAATGCCATATTCTGTTCAACACCACAGTTCTTCACCGGCTGTCCGCGACGAATGCTTCACTCAACACCGGTATCCCCATGCTTGTGCAATGCCACACCTCTTCCCTCGTCTGCCGTACCTCTAGCTAAAATCACACCTTGCGTCTCGAAGTCCTCGAATTCTCGCGTCACAACCCCCCCAACCCGGCCAAAGCCCCCCTAATCTCCCTCCCCAATCCCCTCCTTGCGATCCCCTCCAACTCCTTGACCTCCCTCCCCACTACACCCCTCTTAATCTTCCCATCGATCTTCACGAACATGTCCAACAAAAGCGTCTGTTCTGCCCTGGTCATCGCACTTGCTGCTCCGGCCGTGAGGGTCGATGCAGAGGATGATGATGCGGACGCGAAGGACGATTCGCGCGAGATACCCGCCGACGATGGTGGACGACCTTGTTGGGTGGAAGATGTGCTGGGGTCAGAGGGGACGAGCGATAGAAACGCGGTATACATCTCCACCAACACATCCAGCAACGCGACAACCACAACCCCATGCTCCGCCCCAAAAGCCGGGACTTGGACACCACCCACACCCCCTTTCCCCTCCCCCGCCTTCCCTGCTTCCGCTGCCATCGTCGTGGTGGGCGAAGTTAGTGACGCAGTAGAGCCTTTTCGGAAGAACGATTTCATCTTCGCTTTCGTGTCCTGTTCCCCACCGGGGGTAGAAGACTCTTCATTCAACCCACCCGTGAGCGTCTCCCACTCCCTCACAACCCCCATCCACGCCCTCGCCATCTCCTTCGCCCCCTGTCCCGTGCTCCCCTGCGACTGGTACGGAAAGTCGAGAACACACCCACATGCCATCCCCAACACGAAATACCCCAACGTCCGTCCCGGCGGAACTTGAGACGTGGCATCATCGAGCTCCGACGATATGATATGGTACGTATTGAGCCAATTCCCACCTCGGCGTTCCCAGAATGATCGGATGTACCCTAATGTCTGGATTCGTTTTTGGGCGACGGCTTGTATGGTCTCCAGCGGATTCTTCTCGTTGAGGGGGGTATAGGCGTAGGGTGAGGTGAGGGAGGCGGAGGCGTTTAGTGAGAGCGTGCTGGATTGGGTATTGTGGGTATATACAGACATTGCGATGATTGTTGGTGAGTTGTCAGCCAAGTGCTCTCATTGCAACGACCTCGTATGCTACGATCCCTATTATCCCGACAGCTGGCCTTCGAGCAAGAGAGCATTGCACCATGACAGATGGCAGATAATACAGTTCAAGCGATCTCCATGTATAAGACGACTCGCTTCCGCTGGGATGGTGCAGCCATTGTGCGCGCTGCCGTCATGAGCAATCCAACCAACCATCCAACCGTAAACCTCTCGCAATGGCAAAGAAAGCTCACAAAGTCAAGAAACTCCCAAAGGACCAAAGGCTGCACATCTTGCTCTCCAATGGCCGCTTTCCCGTCAGTTTGGATCTGGCGAGACAGTTGCATAGAATGGGACATACAGTTTTTGTTGCGGATCCGATGGTGGGCTCCCTCCCTCCCTCCCTCCATGCATGCGCAGAGTGATGGATCAGTGCTCACTCACTACGTTCGCAGGAATACCACGTCTGCAAATTCTCCCGCTGCGTCCGAAAATCATTCTACGTCCCTGCCCCCCACTACGACGCCGCCGGTTACATCTCCGGTATCCGCGACGCCATCTCCTCCGCCTCCATCGACCTCCTCATCCCCATGCACGAAGAAATCTTTTTCCTGACCCAACACCCCGATCTGCAGAAAATCTGTTTCGCGCCATCTTATGCCTCTATCGTCAGTATGCACAACAAATGGGAGTTTTCGAGGGTGATGAGGGCTTTGGGCATCGATACGCCAGAGACGAGAAGGGTTACGAGTATGGAGGATGTAAGGAGGGAGTTGGGGGATGATTTTGCCGGTGGGAGGGAGTGGGCGCTCAAGCCTGTGTTTGGGCGAGCCAGCTCGAAAGTCTATCACCTGAAGCCTGGAAAACCCCTTCCGGACGACTGTGACGTCGCCGAAGACAACGTCTACATCCTCCAAGAATGGACACCCGGCCGCCAACTGTGCTCCTACGCCGTCGCGCGCCGCGGTCATGTCATGACCTCAACAGTCTACCCCGTCCTCGACACAATCGACGGCGCCTCCTCCGTCTACTTCAAGGCGATCGAGCATCCACCCATTATGGACATCATTGAGAAGATCGTTAAGGGGACCGCGTGGACAGGACAGATTGCGTTTGATTTTGTGGAGGGCGAGGATGGGAGGGTTTGTGTTATTGAGTGTAATCCGAGGAGTACGAGTGGGATTCATTTGTATAAGGGGACGCCGTATTTGAGTTCGGCGTTTACGCTGGGTCCGGCGCCCTCATCCCTCTCCTCCCCCTCTTCTACCAACAAACCCGCCACCACCACCACCCAGCCCCCACCCTCCGCCCGCCGCCAAGTCATGCCCGGCATGCTAATGTGGTCCCACTCCTCCGCCTCCCTCCACGATTGGCTCACCCACCTCGTCAAACTAATGGGAACCCGCGACGTGACGTTCAGTAGACGAGACGTCCTACCAGCACTCATGCAGCCATTTTTGTTGACGAGTTATTATGAGATTTGTCGGGAGAGGAAGTTGGAGCTCAAGACGATGTTTCAGGATGATGTTGTTTGGGTGCCGGGGAGGGAGGAGTTGGAGGAGGCGGAGCGGTTGAGGGAGGGGGAGAGGCGGGGTGGGAATGAGAAGAGGGAAGGGCTAGGGCATAGGGTGGGTGAGGCCGTTCCGACGTTGAATGTGCCGATTAATGATGCGACGGGGCCGCTTGGTGCTAGTATGACGGCGTTGACCGTTGAAGCTGGTGTTGGTCTTCGTCGCCAGTCATCCTCGGACGAGAGGTTGCGGAACGTCAATCCGACTTCCCCCGCCCCCAAGGGCGAGAAATTCGAGGGACCCGGGGACGAGGAGGATGAGAGTGTAAGTGTGCTTGTTAGGAGGGCGAATGAGAGGTTGGATAAGGAGCGGGAGGGGTTGGGGTTGAAGATTTGGGGGTCGGCTTAAATTTTGGACTAGACAGTGACAATGACAATGACAGAAGAGGAAGAGGAAGAGAGGGAGAAGTAGATGATGCGATGATTATTGTTACCCCATTGGAGCTGGATGATCGTCTCTTGAGGAGTTTTGCTGGTGCTGTTTTGCTGCCTCCGTTTTCTTATGATTAATGATGATGAACTTCTGATAATCCTACGCTGTCTACAAATTTATATGGCCCAATTTCGGGACGGAAAGGGCGGATGCTTGGGGGTGGGGCACGTGCACGTGGGAAGGAACCCCATGTACGTACGAGCACGACATCGACGTCTTCGCAGTTCAACGACCGTACAAAGGATTAGGAAGCAGGATTAAGCGAAGCAAGAATGACAGCAATGATGACAAGATTGGACTTGAGCATGATCAATGATCTGAGGAGTGCGGAGGTGCCGTTTTACAGTGTGTCGTCTCTCCTCTCCTCCTGCTTCTCTCAGGTGGCATTTGCTGATAGTAGGACGGCGTAGTGATCTCGAATCTGATGCACGAACCCGACATCTCAAAAATAAACTGGACTTTGATGCACGCACGACGAGTCCAGCGAGAGAGTCGACGGTTGGCCGAGAAATTACGTCTTGAAGAGGAAGCATCGAAAGCCCCGCCCGAAATCGCTGTAACTGAAGTCGAGGATGATCAAGTGGTGGTGGAAGAGACAGAGAGGAGCCGAAGGGTGTTAAGGGCCTACGAAACGCACAAGATGACACTCTGGGGCCGTGTAGGCGAGGAACTTGGGGTTGGTCCATCACAGGCCGAGACGAGTGTTTTGGATGCGTTACGGAGGCGGGATGTGGTTGTTGCATAGCCTCTCTATTTGTGCTTGGGGTATCATATATCTTATTCATCATCATCACTATCGTAGCCCATAATCATATCATAACACCTTCCAAAGGGAAAGTAGAAGGGGAGGGGGTTAATGTAGCCCAGCAATCTCCTCAACACTCTTCAACCCAACCCCCCTCCGTCCCTCTTCCTCTCCACTCCCACTGAGTGTCCGTCTCCTACCCACATGGGGTGGCGTTGCGCGGAATCTTGGTGTCTCCAGTACCTTCCTTTGCGGGGACCACTGTGCTTCGGCGGCTGCTGTGAAGCTGGAGCTGGTAGTGGCGGGGGATGAGGAGGCAGAGGCGGAGAAGTAAGATGACGATGACGGTGGTGAGGGATGGGAGGGAGATGAGATGAAGTGCTGCGTCAATAGCGGACTCCCGGACCCCGGCACAGGAGAGTAAGGCCCAGAGTGTGATCTTGGTGGTGTAGATGGAGCTATCATACCCCAAACCACTCGTCAGCTTCACCGAAAAGTCTCTATGACATCATGAATACGAAGTACCTGACATTCGGTCTCGCTCTCGGTCTTCACGAGCTTCCATCGCGGTGACGACAGGGTAGCATCCCTTGAGCCCCACCTCCTCACCGTTGATCTGTCCTTGCTCACTGTTTGTGGACATGGCTATGTTTCCCGTTCTTACACCGACGTATTCCTGAAGGGTAATGGCCATCTCACCGCAGTCAGGGTGTTTGCTTGGTGTGGGGATGGCCACGGGGGCAAGGACATGTGCTCACGCTGCGCATGCGGCCAGCCGAAACGCCGGTAACCCAAACTTGATTTCTTTATGACTTTGAGCAAGAACGAGAAGATTGACACCAAGGAGCGTAAGTTCATAATAGCGCTTTCGCGCTTGCAATTCGTGCTTTCCGCGATGGTGGGCAGCCTCTTGGGTTGCACTGCCATCCTCAATGCTCCACTAGGTCAGCTTGATCATCCGCTCTCATGGTTTGCGTGCTCGGTTTCTACCTTTTTGGGTGGAAGTTTCTTGTTCGACTTGATCTTGGCGACACAAATCACGAAGCTACAGAAAGATGCGGATATGTTCTTGATCGCTGCGATGGCGAGCTGGCTTGGAATGGCAGTTGCTGGTCCTCTTTGGCTTTCACTCCAGTTTGAAAGTAGATGAAAAGTGTTATACGCATGCAGTCGAATGAAGTAAAATTGCGACAGTATTGATGTTAGCAGAGGAAGGAAAAGAAGGAGCTGTATTGACGATTAAAGCTGACGTTGTGTTCTCCTCTTGCTGCATTCATTATCAAGAGCTGCGGAAGCCGACCGGCCTGTATGCGCATCCCACGGCAGCCACTCTTGATCTCCACAACCAACCGCGCATACATCCCCTCCAGCACAACAGCACCACCTCCCTCCACTTTTCTGCTTATTTTTGTGCTCGAAATCTGTATCGCTAACCATGAGGTGCACAACCCTTCTCCTGGTATTGTTCGCTTTCTCCTGGCTCCTCGGAACCCTCTTCCTCCTCCTCCCAATCTCATTTCACCACCTCTCTTCCTCAACCACCTACCCCTCCTCTTCAACCAACATAGCTCGCGTGGGTATGTGGACACTCGTCATCTCATCCCTTCTTTTCACGCTCTACAACATCTTCTTCGTCTCCCTTCGCTTTTCCCTCTTGATCTTTTTGGTGTTGGTTGGGTGGTGGGTCGATTTCGGCCTCGTTGTCGGGGCGGAGGTCGCGAGTCGGGGGGTGGTGCCGTTGGGGAGTGGGGAGGGTGGTGTGAAGGGGTTGGTTTGGGGGTGGGGGGTTTGGGGTGTGTTTACGGGGTTGGTTGGGGGGTCTGCGGTTTGGAGGGGGTGTATGCGGGGTGTATGCTGTGGTATGTACTGCATTTTCGATGGTGATCGGGCTGGGAGTGCTGACTAGGGGTGGTGTAGGTGGGAGGAAGAGGGATGATGTGGAGCATGTCGTCCGTCTCCAGGTTTCGATGAGTGAAATTGGACGTGCGTCGCCTACGACGGATGATTTTGATTTGCGGTGTGATGGTATGTTCATAGATCGTTCAAACTTCAGAATATGTGTTGATTGAGTGCTCTCGATGATTTCACGATCGGGAATGCGGAGTACGTTTACCGGTACTCGATCGAAGATCCTCCTGTGCCGGTTGTTGCCTCTGCCTTGCCGTCTCCACAGAGGAATGGGCAGGGAAAGAAGGATGTGATGGTCGTTGCTGGTGAGAGCTTGAATCCCGAGCCTGTAAGAACAGGGTTGACTCTACTCTTACAGAATTCGGCCGATGACGGTATATATTACGGACGATACATTATGCGATTGTGGAGGTATGAGCTCTCCAACGACCGTATCCGATCCATGGGATGGAAGCTGATGGATACTCATGCAGTTGTCCATCGTTACTCCGGAGAGTGCGTTCGAGACCCCTGTGACTCGCTCGATCGTAGCTACAAGCAAGGAGAGACATGCGTCGGTTGCGGCGAGGAGGTCAAGCATTGGGTGAATGGAGAGTGGAAGTGTCCGCCTCTCCTGGATGTGTATTGAGATCGGGGATGTCGCGGAACTGGTACGTAATCGACATGGCTGAGTTTGACTCAAACATGACTAGTAGCTTAAAGAGCAACGTGAATGTCCTGCGCGAGATGAGGGTGCCTGTTTTCATGTGAGTGCGAGGTTATGAGAATGGAAAAGTAGCGATACGTACAAGGGACGGTTTCCCTTTCGTCTCATCAAGATTCCTTCCCGTTGCATCCGACTGCGCCAATCATGCATGACATTGAAATACCGCGTCCGCTGTGAACAACAAAACACAAAGTAGAACATCAACATCTTCACCAGCAATCACATACAACGACTACGATGAATCCACCAACAGCAACAACAACAGCCTACTCCTCCCTCCCCACAGATCTCCCCCGCCATCCGACTCCCACCCTGATCACACCCGACATGACAGCCGGCCTGCAGCACCCCCGCCCCGAGAAGCTCCCTCCAAAACCCCTCAAGCCGAACCACCATGTCCTCGTCGCAAAGGCCCGGTTCTGGCGGTTTCTGATGCAAATCGGTATGGCGATCCATAAGGTCGCTCCACCACTTCCACTAAGTCCCGCCTGGGAGACCACGATACACGTCCCCAAAGACCCAGCAAACGGCGAGAAAGGTGGAAAGATCCCTCTAGCCTTCTACGCGCCCCGCACCCACCGCATCTCCCTCTCCCTCTCCCACCCCGTGTCAACAGTGAAGAGACCCCTCGTGGTCAACTTCCACGGCGGCGGCTTCACGATCGGTAACCACCACGACGATTGTCGGTGGTCTACAGCCCTCGTACAAAACTGCGGTACAATCGTCTGTAGCGTCGGATACCGTCTGGCGCCCGAGTATGCGTTCCCAACGGCTGTGGAAGATGGCGTTCGGGCTATCATGTGGTGTTATGAACGGAGGGAGCAGCTAGGTATCGACATCAGTAAAATCGCCATATCAGGCTTCTCAGCAGGCGGAAACCTCTCCATCACAGTCCCCTTACTCTTAGCCCAAAAGCTAAAAGACATGGAAAACCCATGCCCCGGCCTCAAGATCCGAGCAGTCGTCGCACACTACCCATCCACAGACTTCACCCGTACCCGCGCCGAACGCCGAGCGTCGAATCTCAGGCCCGATCTTGGGCTTCCGCAGTTTTATACTGATTTGTTCGATTGGAGTTATATTGGGACGGATTTTGGGCATGTTTCGCCGTATGCGGCGGATCCGCTGCTTTCTCCGTTGAGGGCGCCGGAGGAGGTGTTGCTTGAGGGGTTACCTTCCTCGATTCAGATTATTGGGGCGGAGTTTGATGAGTTGCGGCTCGAGGAAGAGAAGTTTGCCGAGAGGCTCCGGAGTATTAACACCGCCTCGAGTGGGACGGGCATGAAAGGCAAGAGGTTCCGCGTCGACTACGTCCAAGTCAAAGGCGAAGGCCACGCATGGGATCGTGGTGTCGTTGTCGCGTGGGGACGGAGAGGGGGGTTGATGAAGGAGGTCTATGGGCGGGCTTGTGAGGAGGTTAATAGGGCTTTTGATGAGGACGAGGAGGCGTTGGAGGGGAATGTTGAGGTTGATGTTTGAGAATGGAAGTGCAAGGAGAAAGGAAGTATGGGGTAAGAAGGAGGAAGGGAGAGAGGAGGGTAGGGACTTTTGGGGGGATTGCGGGGATAGACATGCCTGTACGGCTATAATGGTTATGCTACACTAGTGATGCCCTTTGATATGATATTTCTTTTCGTGCCTTCGGTGCGACGCTCACTTACACTCCTGATCTGTATCCATGAGGGGAAGGATAGGCATGAGGAGGATCACGATTCACGGAACGCAAAAGAAGGATGTTATGTGGCTACGGGGATGAACCATGTATCCACCAACATTCTGATTGATCCTTCTTGCGAGCGTGGGACAAGGATCACCGGTACCCTTGCTATCGGTTGCATCGTCGGGTGAGAGCTCGAGGTCCGGTTTGAGTTTAGATGCGAGGAGGGATGAGTGGGTATCAAGTCCCACCACTGTCTTCCGTTCCCAGTGCTACGCCTTTGACAGAGGAGCGAGACGCGCACATCCATGAAGACCTGAAAGCGCAACAACTTATGGAGGCTTATGAAAGACATAAGCAGGGGTTTTGGACAAGATTGGCAAGAGAGGTTGGTTACAATGGTCCCGAGAGAGCCGAGAATGTTGTTTATGAAAAATTGTTGGAACGAAGGGAGGGCTTGAGACGGCAATGAAGGTTGCCGCATGGACCGGGGGTGGGTGAGGGGGCGGGTGACCAGGAGAGGCTCGAGAAGCCGTGGAGGACTGGAACTACGGGAAAGTTGTAACGCCAACTGTTAAGGCCTAGCAGGTAAAACAAATCATTCCTGTGAAATATATTGGAACCCTCTTGGGTTGATAACATTCAGGTTACGATCCCTCGGCTCCATGGTGAATGATAACGGATCAGTGTTGACGGATAAATGGTGTTTTCCTAGAGAGGCCAAGGTTCATTTTCCCACGCATACAGTCATGCTGCTTGGAAAGTTATTAATTGGAAAGTCATTAAACTGGGAACGGAAGACGGCAGTAACGTTCTATCATCTTCTAATCACCCTGGCACCTCCACCAGTGTTACGAATCACTCAATCCCCCAAACCCTAAAAACTCATAACCAAAGAGCTTTTAGAAATGTTAGTCAGTTACGGCAGTGACATGTCAGGTCGGCATACAGCCGCATACCGCTGCTTCGGGTTGTGAAGTGGTGGGAGGGGAGGGGTGAGTGAGTTCGAGCCTCCTAGGAAAGTCATTTGTGGGCTGAGGAGTCGGTAATGAATGGGCTGGTAGGCTTAGCGTAAGAAAAGGTAATTGCTTTGTCTGCGAACGGGAAGGGAATTCGGTGGGTGTCGGAGTGGTGGAGTTGGTGGTTATGGGTGAAGTGGTGGGAGGGGAAGGGTGAGTGGTGGTGACGTAGACGCTGGGTCGCGGGAAGGGACGAAGTGAAGCGATACTGGCAGAAGATCCGGAAATTCGATGTTGGCAAACTCGCAACCTGCGGAGCCTACCTGAGGATCCGCAGAGAGCACGTTTACCGACACGGAATTTGCCGTAGCATTTAGCCGGCGCAAAACCTTAATTGCGTTTCGAACGATCGAACAAGATCGCGGAAGACGGTGAAGGATGGACGAGTGTAGCAAAGTAGCTTTTCAACGGGAGAAACGAGGCAGAGTGAGGGAATGGATGCGCTGGCGGTGGGGAGACGGGTATCGACGGAGGAGGGAGGCGAACGGTAGAGCTGTGAATCAAAGGTTAAATCTGTAATAGGTAGTAAAGACAACGCTTTGAACCCCATCGTACAAGGGAGATCTTGCAAACCAGGGGCTCGTGCTGCATAAATTCATCCCGGTGTTTTGGTGGGAATTTTGATCCCTAGCGAGGAGGAGGCGAGATCAGCTCCAGGACATCGCATTCATCTCCAAACCTTCTCAATAATCCCATTCGAAAGGGATCAGTGCCCTGAAGATGAGACGAGGAGGTATAGGCGAGATGTAGGTGAGGTGTACGCGTCCAAGTCCACCAAGTCCGCCTTGGGAGGGGAGGTGTGCTTGCATCTGCATCCGAAGAAGAAAACCTGTCTCGGAGCACCCGTTCCAACCCATCCAGAAAATACATGCACACGCCAAAAATCAATCCCAGTTCCCATCCATCTTGTCCCCTCGCGCCTCTCTCCCACAGCTTCCAACAGAAAAGCTGCACCGTATGTACGCTCATGTCAGCAGCCCACCGGCGGCCCAAGCGCAAAAATAAATGTGAGGAATCGCACGAGGAAGTACTCGCGCCCGAAGATGCAAACGCAAAGACACTAAAAGGTGGAGCGTAGGTAAAGTTGGGCAGCTAGCGGGTGTTGCGAAAATGTCTAAGAAGTTCGGTGATTGGTGCTTTGGCCTTCTCTCCGGGATTCGAAGAAAATGTCAAGGGCTCAGATCTGCTGTGCAAAGGATCAGGGAGAGCTGTTGGAGATCAAAAGTAAGAGCTCCTTGAGGGTGCTTTGATGACTCGATCTCCCACATCCCCACCCGCTCCTTTGTCCGGCTGATCTGCACCCGCTGTGGTGTGCCGGATTCGGATGTGGCCATGGTCTCGGAGTCATCCCTCGAGGAGGGAGGCACACCCTAACCGATCCCGCCCCGCACACACGAACAAATGGAGCGATTAGGAGATGTCATCTTGCCGGAAAGGCGTGAGATTGTGCAGGACACCGCAAGGGACGTTCAAACCTTATTGTCGACGACCATCGACGAGGATGGAGGGATGTTATGGAGGATCAAAGGGAAGACGACGAGTATGGGGATGAGGGAAGGGTACCAAGAGGGTCTTGGTGGGTGGGAGAAGGTTTGTGCGTGGCTTGTTGGCTGCTTTGTCTGTGCTAGTAGGTGGGGCATCGTCTTTCTTCGCTAAACAGCGGAATGACTGCTCCTGCCGGATCAGCGGCATCATGCTTGCTCGACATGCCCCGCAAAGGCTTCAGAATCCTTCCTGGACACCTTCAGAATGTTCTTATCGCTGTCGTTGCTGTCGACCGCGCTCCTCCTTTTCAGGCTCTCCCCTCCTCGCCCACTTCTTCCCCTCGACTCTCAACTCAAGGTAACACTCCCTTCTCCGCCCTCAGTTACCTGGAAAGGCTCCCGAATCCTTCTTACGAGTACCAAGAACGTCGTCACCGCTGTTGCGGCTCATGGTCGCCCTTCACGAGCCAGAATCACCTCGCCTCCGTCAACTCCTCCCAGCATCCTCAACTCACCCCACGGCTCCCTAACCTCGCCCTTGTTCGCCGGACAAATCCAAGCACTATTCATACAATCAGAAGAAGCCCAACGAATGCGTCCACCACCGCTTAGAGCTCGGATTGCTTCTCGACTTCTTTCGCGAGGTGGACATGTGTCCGTCGGAAACGACAATGTATTCCCGACAATCAGTGGCTTTGGAGATGATTGTGGTGGCTGACGAGCGATGTTGTGCAGTTTAACAAAGATGGTAAACAACCTCTCAAGTGTGCCTCTGGCGAATTGGTCATGGATGTTGTCTTACGGTGCCGTTGTCGGTGCTGCTGGCGCGGTCGTCGTGGGTGCGTTGCTGGATACGTACCCACCCTCTCTTTCGCCCAGTGAGGCCTTCCAATGTCGTTTTCGAGATGAGGAAAGGTGATGGAGAGTCGCTGAGGTCGTGGATTGTCGTCCGTCGCCGTCTTCCACCTCCGTGTTTTAACATGCCCGGCTCGTCTTCTATCTTCGCCCCGTCCCACGGCGGAATTGTTTCTCGATAAATGACGCCGAACATCATCATCGGCCATTTCATCCAACACAGAAACCACTCTCGAGATATGACTCGTCATTATCAACCATCACGATCATATCATTGCTGCAGCGAGCGGGGTAAGCAAGATCTCGAGAGCTCCGAGCGCAATCAAAACAAGTGAAGGTCGGGAAAATGGTGATGTTTTGATTTGAGAGTGTTCTTTGGAGATATAGAGGAGCGGGTGGGATGCGAGATAGGGCGGGATGTGTGGATATGAATATCGGGAGTGGGGCGTACGCCTGGTAAGAAAAATGTCGGTGTGGCCGGCTGGGGACGACAACTGACTGAAATACGCCAAGAGGAGCGTCGAGAAGATGTGAGAGGTAGTGTTGAGTGTTATAAGGCAGTACGGTGAGTGTTGCTGCGGTGAATTGACCTTTTTGCAGGGGTGTGGGTGTCGATGATCACGGGCCGTCCAGGTGGGATCGACGGATGTCGACAACCAGCCTGTCAAACTTTTCGACAAGAGTCAGCAGTATCTTGCGACCTTGCTGCCATCTCTTCTCGACCCTCTACAGTCCTCTCAGCCTCTTCCTCGCTTTCGGTCTCATGGGGGAGTATTATGGTCTTCGAGGAGGCGTGATATTCCGGATATCTGTCAGATCGCCAGAAAACCCAGGGCAACGAGAGATACTCTTCGAATTGTTTGGCAAATGGTTTTTATGCATCGTTTCAGCTATCCCGGAGCCTTCAGACTGCCTTTCTCGATTACTAATTCCGCGGAATGGCTCAGCCTTGCATGAAATTTGGGACGGTCTGTGCTACAAAAGCTGAAAATCTTTTCTCGAGCGACTTCTCCCCCCACCCATCTCGATCTACTCGAAGAAGAGAAAACATTTACCAAGAAACCATACATCATGATGAATTTCAACGCGTTGCTTTCCACCGCTGTCGACTGGTACAACAACTTGTCCAACAAGTCCGCTCAAAAGACAAGTGCTTCTTTTACTACTGAGGATCCTGCTGGCCAGGAGAATCAGCATTTGTATGAGCAGGTGATCTCCGACTTTACGGAGGTATGTTTGCCTGCGCGCCTTAACTTTCGTTCACGACTAACGGTGTGACCTTTTAGACTCTGTTTGATTTCGAGGGAGCGTCGTCGTTCACCCCCAGCACGTTTTCTAATATCGATGACATTCTTGAAGCTTACCGTCCCGGTGCCTCCGCCGCCAACTCTCTCGACTATGGAAGTGTTACCGTTAATAGCTCGGTTCTGTCGACCATGCCGGTTGTTGCCCCCATCGTCCCTTCGCACGCATCTGGTCTCCCGACTCCTGCTAGCAACACCGCTGCTGAGGCTCACGTCCGTCGTGAGTCGACGTCCTCTTTGACCTCTACAACCACCCAGTCCCAGACGTCGATTGGATCGACGCTTCCGTCTTCGTCCCGGGCTCCTGAGGCGGTCACTCCCGTTTTTCCCTCCGGTAAGCCTGTGGCCGCGAGGTCTCCCTCTGTCAAGTACTGCCCCGCCCCCAACCTGAGGGAGAATCTGCGCAAGGCCATGGCTGTTGGTAAAGAAGATCAAGCCGCGCCCGCTCCGGTTCAAGAGTCTGTCCGGCCTGCCGTTACACCTGCGGAGGTACGCCCGACCCCAACTCCGCAGGTTTCTTCGCCTGTTGTCCCGCAACATCTGGTCAACAAACACCTCGCTGTTGGAAGCGAGGTCAACACCTTGACGCCGCCTGCGTCCAAGTCTGAGGCGAGGAACGTCTTCGACCATGCTGCCCGCTACGAGAGCCGTTCCTTCGGTGCGGGTGTTCCTCAGGGACAACGCCCTCGCAACAATTGGACTCCTGCACTGAAGGCTCCTGCAGAGGGCCTTAAAAGCACGCATCAGCCCGTCACTCTCCTCTCTGCGGGCATCCAGGAGATCCTTAAAAAAGAAACGGACAAGGAAATCACAATGATCCCTCCCAATGCAAAGGCGCGCCTTGTCAGGAAGCCGATAACGGAGCTGACCACCAACGACATGAGAAGCGGAAGCTTTTGTGTCCCGATGCTTCGCCTATTCGTGAGGCTACTCACAGGGCAGGAACTTTTCGACGTCAGCGAGAGGAAGAGGGATCGGGCGAAGCTCTTGCCACTGGCATGTCAAATGTACTGCGACCACTATCGCCATGATCCTGGTCGTGCCGATGAGATCGAAAAATGTCGGCATCGCGATTATCAAGTCGCCCCTCAGAAGAAGAAGAAGGCTGAGGAGCCAACACCTGCTCCCTGCCCTCCTCGTCCTCCCTCTGCCAGTCCCGTTCATCGAGTGATGGTCGGCACAGGTGCAAATGCCGTCAGTGCGTCTGTGCCGGTCGCCTTGAAGCGCAAGGCGGAGCAAATGGAACCACTTGGTTCCCCTCACCCTTCCAAGCGCCCTATGAGCGAGGCGGTTGTCGTGGACATGGAGGTGGGGATGTCTGATGCCCCGGAGCACCTTCCCGCCGCCCCGAACTCCCCGTTCCTCAAACCGCATGACGGCTACCCTCTTCCCTCCGCTCCGCACCGGTCTCAAACTCACGAGGCGGGTCGTGTTAATCAAACCCTACAGAAACGGCCTTTCGATAAGGTTGGCGAAGCGTTTGCGTCCTACTTGCCCTCCAAGCGACAGAGGCTTGAGGAAACCGGAAGGTTGCCTCCCGCTCCGGAGCCCCAGCACCAACTCCTTTCCCAGACGATGGCTCGCTCGTACCCTACAGGGCAGTCATATTACGAGCAGCAATCAATTAATTGTAATCAATTCGCCGGAGGGCATCTTGTCAGTGGTCAGTCGATGGGTGGGAATCACTATCTTGGTTATCCCTATCGCGCGCTGGGAAACGTATCCTCTGCGGGTCACTTTTGGAGAGAGCTACAACAAGCCTCCCCTTCTCCTCCACACCCCCACGGTGCTGGCCCACGTGTAATTTGGCAGGGGTCGGAGGAGAACATGAGACAAGATGTACGAAATGCTTGGTCTCGGGAGCAAGGAGGTTAACACTTCAAGAGGGCAACAATGAGGTGGAGGATCAGTTTTAGGCGAGGTTGTCGGAGTTTGGGGTTATCTGAGGAGGTTGAGGGAGGAGGTTGAGGAGGTTGTTGGGTTGAAGTTCCCTTGCATGGAACCAGTTTCCAAATATTCCGAAAAATACGTTCTCGGGGGCGAAGGGCACCTACGCAAGTCGGAATGGCCCTTGTCTAGCAAGCCTTTGCAAGGACTCGAGTTTTACTGGTACAGTCAAACACCTCCTGCCGGACGGCGGCAGTGGTCGTGACTTCCAAGGGGGAAGCGAAGAAGAAAAGAATTCGAGGTCGTGGTTAAGAAGTTGTGGGGGTTGTCGTTGTCAAGGATGAGACACCCACCACTCAGCTCCTCCGATATCTCTATTCACGGGATCGCGCACAAGGAAGCTCCTTGGAGTTCGTCAGCGAAAGCGTCTGCCTGGTGGCCACCCAGACGTGTGTAGCAGCTCCATGTGAGAATTGATCTGTGTTGCGTGAACGTGGATGGAGTATCGAGGGTTGGGGGGTGTGGTGTCAGGGTATGGGTGTGGGACGAGTATGCACAAGGCCTTGCGCCTTTTACATACTTGTCACGAGGCGAACGTGTCTCATCGTTGGTCAATGCAGAAGAATCCCCCAGGCGGCTGATCACCGCATTGGGTTGGCGATGGCAAGACGTTGCTTGTTCGCTTTAAGTCTTCGATATGCGCATTGATCTATTGATGAGATGTGGACGCTTCACCGCCCTATGCCCTTTGAATCCTGCGAGCAGTCGCCTTTTTACCATTGACTGTTCGTTATCTTTTTGATTTGCATTCTGGAGTTTTGGGTTGGCGTTCTGGTTGCTTTCGTTGTTTCGGAGTTTATTATCACAATTACATTTGCGGAAGAACGTATATGATGACGGCCAGAAGGCTTACCTGATACGTCCGCTTTCCTTCTTCAAGGGTTCCGCATATTGGAGGTGTTTTTGGTTTTTGGTTTTTGGGTTGGGAGTTTGGGGTTATTGTGGGGCTTCGTATCCGATGACAGCCGATTGCAACGGCTCTTGGGTACTTAGCTTTCCTTGTGAAGCACAACCTGGTATAGCTGGATTGGCCAAAGGTTTGCCGCATGGGTTTGGGTTTGGTTTGTTTTTGGGAGTGTGATGGCATTGCGGGGCTGCGTATTTGAAGATTGCCAATCGCGACAGCACTTCATTACGTTCGCTTTCCTTCTTTCCGAAGGACATTCTGGCGCAGCTGGTCTGGCCATGGTATGCCGCATGTGTTCATGTTGTGGTGATGTTTTCAACACTTCTCTCTACGTGCCCGTCTTCGGTCTGACACCCTAAGCCATGGTTTAGGTTTCTTAGCCCGTCATGGTTCACATCCATGGTGTCTGAGATATTTCAGACCTAGGGATTTGCAATTGGGGACGTATGCACCATGGAATTGTGCCGGTATCTGTCCAGGTTCGCGTCCTTTGTCATGATGGGCTACATTGTCTTCATGATGGACATCCATGATTCTCATCATGATGTCCCGAACCTGGAGTTGCAACTGGAGGAAGTGAGCGCATCATAACATCGTCTACCTTACGACTGCTTTCATGCATATGTTGGACACCCCTGATCTTCATCATATGTTGAATCCTACGGATTCTGGAAGTTTGAGAAACTGTTTCGACCCCAGTCCAGTTACTCATCGACACGGGACTCGACACCGGAGCCCGTGGCCCTCGTTCTATGAGCTGCAAACTTGCCAATTTTGCACTTCGGAAGCGGGAAACAAAAGACTTTACGCTCTAGTATTCTTTTTTCTTGGGAGGGCGACCTATGTTTTATGCGCTCCTCCTGAGGGATCGGTTCTGCACACCGGATTTATGCCAGAAGGTCTACCAGCTGGCTCTGGTACCGGTAATTTGGTCTCCTAATACACATTGCTGCTTCGCAAACACCGTTCGGATCTTCTCTTGGGCTAAGTTATAGTCATTTTGCACCAACGCCTGAATGACGTCAATATTGCGGGAACCTGAGGCCTGGTGGTGTTCGAATTCACATCATACTGCGGTTGATAGTGTTGAGTGCCCTTCTGCGACGGGTTGTTCCCTATGCAACCCTTGGCGCGTTTCTCACTCTGCACAACATCGACCGCAATCGAACACCTTCGCACATGCTGCCTCAGGCACTGCAAACGCGAGTTTCTTCATGACTAGCTGCACTCTACTTTGATGTCGCTCCTATAACGAGAACCTGGGTATGTCGAATCGGTGAAAGCAATTGTGTTGGACTCTACGGACTTGGCCAGTTGGAGGAAGTGCAGGAATTTACAGACTGGCGAGGTACCAAGTCAGTTCGACTATGGGAATTCATCGGTGCTGGCTTTCTGTCTCGAAATTCACCCGTCCAGCGGTTACTTTGGTAGGTTGATTTGATGCTTCCAATGTCCCTTTATGGTTGCAACTATTCAGAATTTCTTGGGCCGAGTGATCATGTCATGAGTGCACCTCGCACGAGAACAACTTCGCAGAAATCGTCTCGCATACCGCAAAAGTTCCCAGCCGCAGCTCCTATTCTTCGGATGTCGATCGTTAGCTGCAACGTAGTTATGCCCAATTATTGAAGATGCTGATAGTCGAATCTACGGACTTTACGATTGCAATTGGTGGAAGTGGACTGAGTTATTAAAGTTCAGCCGATGTTAAGTCACTTCGACATTGGGGAATAAATCAGGCGGAGCAGCATGCGCTCCTGCCCGACTGCTGCGGCGTATGACGCCAACGCGCACGTAGTCCATACGATACGGGACGGCGAGATAGACAGTATCCGGACCTTCTATCCTTCGTCTCATCCAGTCAAGAAGACGCCTAACTCACCGTATTCAGTCTCGAAGGACCTTGTGCCTTTCTTCCGGTTGCATAAGTCCTCTTGCACGACCCTGTACTCCTGCTGAACACGACGCGATGTCCCAGCGACCACTGCCTCCTCCTCCCGTAAGTCCTTCCTCATTTTATTTACTTTTTCTCTTTCAATTAGCTAGGTATTAATATCGAGATCAGATCCCTCCAAAAATCCCCCTCCATCAGCGCTATCCGTCAGAGTATCAATACCACGAGCAGTACCCACATACAATCCCGGAGCACGAACAACATCCGAGTTTTCAGGAGGAGAGGCCGTTCGAGGATGCGCATCATTACTATGAGGTTCCGTTTGATGAGCATGGGTCGTATGGCGAGGCATCAGCACCTGCGCATCCTATGCAGAAGCCACTTCCTCCACCACCGCGCCAAGGCTATGGGCGGAGTTCAGTACACGATACTAGGGCGGGCTTTCCTGAAGAACGTCTGGAAAGAGAAAGATCTGTTCATTTGCATCCATTACCCCCAGCCCCAGGCCATGGACAACACGAAGCATACGATAACGACAGCTACAGCTCCGGCCAAACCCCTCAATTTGAATATCCCGCCTACCAATCTCAACCTCACTCGCCCCAATACTCCTCCCCGTTATCTCCATCATATTCATTCCGTCTATCACCTGGGTTACCGATGCCCAGTTCTCTGAACAATCCGACATACCAATACCCCTCACCAGAGCCACCGAGTCCGGCCGAGAGTACCTACTCATGGGGATCTACACCTTCCAATTCCACCGCTCAAGAATATTTGGCGTATGCGAGAGCGGGGTACACGGGGCATGAGCACGGGAGGACGCAGCATAGCTCGTCCTTCTCGTATGCGGTAGATGGGAGGACGCATATCGGGGCTATTGGGGCCGTGGGTGCCCCTGGACCAGCACCGCTGAGGGCACACTCGGATGCCAGTTGGAGACGGCCGCCGCCGCCTCCGCCGCATAGGATTGCGCCTGAGACGCCAGGGGAGGTAACACAAGGTGCGAGGATTGATCGATGGGCGACGACAGGGGGGTCCTCCTCGACGGCGGGGGGAACGTTGGGGCCGCGGCCGTCGTTGCCAATGTCGACTTCTATGGCCAAACTGGATTTACCCGAGATCCCGGGTACCCAAAAACCTCTCTCGTCCGCAGAGTATAAGTTGTGTACCGAACCCTGGGCCCTCTCCGCCCTCTCCCTCTGGGCGTCCCTGATCCTCCCGGGCGCCCTCACGCGCAAAGACGTAGAGGCCGCCCTGACGGGGTTGTTTACGCATACAGTGCCAACGCTGAGTGAGAGAGAGGCGGGGAGAATGGCGGCCATGGTGGCGGGAGAGTTTGTCAAGGGGGGTGGGTTGGAGTGCGTAGATGTTGGGAGTGGGGTTTATCGGTTTAATACAAAGGGGGAGGGGGTGGAACAAGGCGTAGTGGCGGGGATTACGGGGGGTGGGTGTTATTCGCCAGGTTGTGGGAAGATGGTCGATGGAAACTATCAAAGCCCGGGCAGGTGTTACTCGCCGAGGTGTTCGAGGACGCTGAACAAACTACGGGCGGCTCCTGTGGCGGAGGTGGGTTTGGAGACCGAGAAAGATTGGGCGACATTTTATGGGGTCGATGTTGAGGAATTGAAAAAGACGGGGATCAGTGAGAAGGAAATCAAGCGGCAAAATCTGATCCATGAGTTGATTTCGTTTCAGGTCGATTACGTCGCCAATCTGAAAAATATCCTGATGGATCTGTTTCAGACGGAGTTGATGAGGAGTGTCGGGGTTATTCCTGGGAATGAATTGGATGGGTTCGTCAGGGCTGTTTTTGGGAATGTGAGGGCTGTGTATGAGATACATGTCCGGGTTCTTCTTCCACGATTACAGGCGAGACAAAAGGAGCAGGGTCCTGTGATTGCAATGATTGGGGATATCGTACATGACTTCATCAACGGTGCTCGTGTGCCGTATCTGACATATGTTCCTGGTCAGCGTACGGCGGATTATAAAGTCCGGAGGGAACTGGTGAGGAATGCCAGGTTCAAGGAGTGGTTGAAAAGATTTGAGGACGTTAATAAGGGCAAGATGAAAAGGTTGGATTTTTTGGGATGGCTTCTCAACCCTGTGCAGCACATTATGAGGTTTGGTCTCCTTCTTCAGGATATCTTGAAAAAGACTGATGTGTCGAATCCGGATTGGGATCTTTTAGGGAGTGCGGTCGAAGAGGTTGGGGCCCTGACGAGGTTGGCGGATGCGAAGGTTGATGTCGTTAGTAAGAAGTTGGATTTGTACCGGTTGAGTGATGAGTTGCTCCACCTGTACAAGAACGGGGAAAAGTCGGATCTGAAATTGGGGGAGAGCGAGAGACGTATCCTGCATCGGGGTGAATTGCAGAGGCTTAGCCGAAGTGAGCTTGCGTGGCTTCCCATCCATGCCATCTTGTTGGATAACTATCTGATTATGGCGAAGGCGCAGAAAAATAACCTAGGAACGGCGTTGGAGATGCACAAGAAGCCCATCCCGATTGATTTATTGTCAATTGAATACTCCTCTCAGGAAACAGTGAGGAAGTCGAAGCTGGGGATGATGGGGTCGACTACGGTGAAGGACTCGGGCCTCCAGAGTCCAACGACGACGACGGGGTTTAGAAGGCCAAGCTTGAAAGGGAAACATACGCATTCTGCGAGTACGGTTAGTGATGAGAGTGAGCACACCTTGCACCGGCCGCAGATGGTGCACTCCGCTACAGTCATCCCTGAGAAACCGTTACGCAAGACGGATATGGCGCCCTTGGTCACTACGATCTCCAATAAGGAAGGTGACCGAACGATTTATCCATTTGCTCTGAAGCATGCAGGATGTAATGGCGGTGAATTCCAACTATTCGCGGAGTCGGCTCAGGCAAGGGCGATCTGGATTGAGAAGATTCGGCTAGCAAAGGAGGCGAGGGCAGAGATGTTGCACAAACATGCTACTGAGCCGTTTGATTTGCATATTCTCGCGTATAGACTGTTCCGCCCGCTTCCAACGTTCAACGGAGGAGAAGGAGGCGGACGTGAGAGTATCTTGGTGAAGGGGAGTAGGGTTGATCAAGCGGTGAATGAGGCAAAGGCCAATGGGACGTATTCGTCGTCGCAGAACCCACCCAGGGGCCAGCAGAGTATCACGTGCGCAACTACCTTTATTGCTCCGGGTGGTGTGAAGCTGTTGGCGTTGGGTACCACGAGTGGGGTTTGGCTCGGTGACCTAGCCAAGTCCGGGAAGACAGTGAGTAATTGGCGGCAATGTCTGTCAGTCCCTGCTTCGGTGTGTCAAATGGCTGCACTTGAGGAGTTTGAGTCCTTTATTGTATTGCATAAGAATACTGGGGCGGCAAGTTCGCTGCTTGCGTACAAAATCGAGGAATTTATCGCACCGCTGTCGGGTATCTCGAAGGTGGGACAGAAGTTGAGTACGTCGTCGAATGACATTGGGTTCTTTCACGTTACGTTAATGAAGGATCGTACCCTGGTCATTTACAAGAAACGCAAGGGTATCGAGTCGACTTTCAAGATGATGGAGCCCGTTGTGAGTCGGGCGGAGACGAAGAAGAAGCACTGGTATGGCAAGAACAAGAATATGCCAGAGACTTTTCGAGTGTTCGATGAATTTTACGTGCCGTCGGATTGTTTCGGCATTCATTGTTTCCAGAAGGTGATCAGCATTCGGTGTCCCAAAGGTTTCGAATTGCTGGGTTTAGAGACAATGCATTCGGTTCAGTCTCTTCCAACCAAGGAGACTCTTAAAGATGAACAGAAGTCCATCATCGACGGCAAGCCCCTTGGAATGTTCAAGCAGGACGACGGCTTTGTTCTGACGTACGAGAAAGGAGCCGTTTACATTGACAAGTACGGGGGCATCGCCCAAGGGCGGCCGTACTTCAGATGGGCCGGTCGCCCCAACAGTGTCACCATGCACGGCACCTACATCATCGCCTTCGCCAGCGACTTCGTGGAGATCAGAAATGCGGAGGATGGACTCCTCCGTCAAATCATTCAAGGCCGGAACATCAAATGGCTACAAGAAGAGACTGGGAACGAAAAGGAAAATGTGATGTTTGTTATGGAAGATCCTGAGTTGCGGGGGTACCAGGTTGTGGTGCAGTTGGATCTGGTGAGGGGAAACAAGTCTTGCGATACGGAAATCTAAATATTGGGGGAACGGGTTGGTATCTTTTAGGATTCGAAGCATAGGGTAATGGTTTGGGTTTGGTACGAGTATTTCTAGCATTTTTCCAGGTAGCAGAAGGAAAACATTACACTGCCCAGCGTCGCCGCCAATGATGAGGATCGTGAAGGCCGCCGCACCGAGCATCGGAGCACCTCTCCCTTGAATAGAGACCTCAGAGAACGCTTTCGAATCAAAGTAGATCGCTCTCAACATTACTACACATCGACCTTTCTCCCAACATTGCTGACTTAAGGTTTGTACGCCATAATGCAAGTGCCAGCGACCTGCAGCTGCCCAAAATCAGAGGCTTACACCAACGACCAGCCAGGATTCACGAGAAGGTGAAGCTCTGTTGTTTATTCTCCATTCATTATCGGCCGTCAACAAGGGCTTGAATATTCCGTACTGCCCTTCTGCTGCCTGCAACCCGTCTTTTGAGCGGTGGTGTGGTCGCGGCCGTCAACAAGACATCAACAGACGCTCAACACGACCGCGTCGGCGACATCAGCGTCGTGCTTCCTGTACGGATTGTGGTCTATTAAAGTGCTAGGAGCTAAGAGGAAGTGTTCATGACGGACCCTTACGCGGCACGGCGAGTCGATGCGCCAAGCTCGCAACGAGAAGCAGCATTCTCAGATATCTTCGGCGCTCGACGAGCCGCTGCGCCCGCTCTGTCAGTACAAACTCAACATCAACAGTCGCAGTCGGCATACCAACCCGCATACAACGGGGGTCATGACTACGTGCAATCACCTCAAACGCACTCCCTACCACCAACACCTACGTACCCCGCTTACAACCCTGCCCCACAACCGTATGTGCAAGAACGACCTCATACGGGCTTACCTGCCAATCCGCGGTTGCCAAGGCCTGATCCATATTCCGCGGTTTCGTATGAGCAGCATTTTCATGAGGAGCAGCAGCACGGATTACAACCACAAATGCCGAGACGAGAGGTCCCTGTGCCGAAGCCGTCACCGCAGATGCGAGGGGGTGAGTATGGCCATGGGAGATCGCCAGTACCCACTATTCCATATCGACGGCCTGTACCGACCCATGCGCAGACGTCCCCAGCACTAAACTCTGATCCATATCGGACGCGGTCACTGCAGAGCGGGATGAACTACCAGCATCCCCAGCAAATGCCTCAACACCAACACCAGCATGTTTCTCAGCATCCATTCCGCCCCGTCGTTCAGGTCCCACCGAAAGGGCAGGGCGCTCAGGGTGATTACTTTGATCAGCGACCACAGGGGCGGGGAGGTCTTGCTGCGACCGCACAGGGTAGGATAGTGCCGGGTCGTGCACCTGCGCTTGGATATCCACAGGAATCTGGTCGTGCTGCGACGATGACTGCGCGGGTACCTGTACCACCCTCGATGCAGGGATTGACGTTGACGGATAGTCCACCGATTGTGGAGAGTCCCGAAGAAGTCGCGCCTCGATATCCGTCGACGAAACAGAAAGAGGGCAAGATCAAGGACGATGTGACGCAACGGAAGGTTTCTGTACAAAGTTTACCACCACAGTTGGGATCACCGAATATGCCTGGATCGAATGCTGATCGAAGTTTGTCTTTTTCGGGAACGACTCAGAGTACTTTGCTTGGGTCTGAGCGCCGGTCTTCGGTGTCAGGCAGTACGAATACGGTGAAAGGCTCGTATAACGCCTCGAACGCTATTCTTACTACGTCGCGAAGAACACCGTTGGTGTATCCTGCTCTTCTAAGTCGTGTGGCTGAGGTCTTCCGGACGCGTACGCCGCTTGCACCGAAGACGAAGGATGGGCTTACCTACCAGGACGCGTTTCTGGGATGTGAGGCCGTCGACGTGATCGCGTACATTATCCGTACAACGGATCGTAACTTGGCACTTTTGTTGGGCAGGGCACTGGATGCGCAGAGATTCTTGCATGACGTTACCTACACGCACAGGTTGAGGGATTCCCCGAACGAGGTTTACCGATTCCGTGATCGGTTAGCGAAGATGGTGCCTGAGGCTGATGGGAGGGGACATCCGAAGCGAGGAGACACGATGGATTCGTTGGAGGGGGTCATGGTTCCTCCAAGTCCGGCGATTGGGGCGCCCGTTGAAAAGGACGAGGGCGCAGATTTGCCGAATGGTGTGTTTACTTTGTTGACGGAGTGTTATTCGCCGACTTGTACGCGTGATCGGTTATGTTACTCCATTGCCTGTCCACGCCGTTTAGAGCAACAGGCACGACTCAATATGAAGCCACAGCCTGTGCTGAGGAGGACTGAGAGTCAGGGAAGTTTGGGCGGTGATAAAGATGACCAGGAACAGAAATTGTGGATTCATAGTGTGAGCAAAGAGGTTGCGGATAGTGTTGATGATCGGGAGAAGAAGAGGCAGGAGGTTATCTGTGAGTGTATTTACACCGAGAGGGATTTTGTTAAGGACCTGGAGTATTTGAGAGATGTAAGTACCAAACCTTGTGGACGACATGCTGTTGTGGGGGTGATGCTGACTTTGATGAACAGTTCTGGATGAAGCCATTGAGGACGATGAACGTTATACCCGAACATCGACGCGACAAGATTATTCGAACTGTATTCTCCAATGCGCTGGAGATCCATGCCGTGAATTCGCGACTCGCGGATGCACTTACGCGGAGACAGAATCAGAAACCTGTCGTACACAGTATCGGAGATATCTTCCTCGAATGGATCCCGCATTTCGATCCGTTTATCCGGTATGGAGCGAACCAGTTGTACGGAAAATACGAATTTGAGAAAGAGAAGAGTTCGAATCCGTATTTTATGAAGTTTGTGGATGATACGGAACGACTGAAGGAATCGAGGAAGTTGGAGTTGAATGGGTACTTGACGAAACCTACAACGAGGTTGGCGAGGTATCCGCTGTTGCTCGAGGCTGTGTTGAAGTATACTGCGGATGATAACCCGGATAAGAAGGATCTGCCAAAGGCGATCGAGATGGTGAGGACGTTCTTGTCTAGGGTTAACCAGGAGAGTGGAAAGAGTGAGAACAGGTTCAACTTGATGCAACTGAACACACAGCTGGTCTTCAAGCCCGGTGAGCAGTTCGATCTCAAGTTGACGGATGAGCATCGGCAGATGATCTTCAAGGGTGCACTCAAGAAGAGGAATGTTGGTGCTACGAATACGGATTCGAGCAGTGATATTCAGCTTTTCTTGTTTGATCATTCGTTGTTGATGGTTAAGTTTAAGGTTGTGTCCAAGCGGGAGCATTACAAGGTTCATCGGAAGCCTATTCCGTTGGAGTTGTTGGTGTTGACGCAGTACGAGGATCCCACTTCGAATTCGCGGACGCTGTCGAAGAGACCGTCGTCATCGCTTCTGCCGGGTGCTTCGGTTAAGACGTCATCTTCGTCCCTTAACCTCCTTCCTGGAGCAAGCAAGGACTCGAGCAATAAGGGCTACCCGCTTACGTTTACTCATCTTGGTCGCCGCGGATACAACATCACCTTGTACGCCACGACATTTGTGAGTCGAAGGAAGTGGATTGAGCATATTGAGGCCCAGCAGAAGGTGATCAAGGAGAAGAGTCACGTGTTCATCAAGGGTGTCGTTTCCGAAGGTTACTTCATGGGCAGCAACAGAGTCAACTGTGCGGTTCCCTACGAGGGCGGCAACAAGCTTGTCTATGGTACGGACAATGGTATCTATATCTCTGACCGGATCGCTGGTGTTGCTGGTGAAGAACCTATGTCTGCTCCACCTGTGCGTGTCTTGCCTGCCAGCAATGTGCAACAGATTGAAGTACTGGAAGATTACGGTCTTCTACTTGTGTTGGCGGATAAGGTGCTGTACTCTTACGCTTTGGAGTCTTTGGATCCTAACGATACGACTCTGGCGAACAAGAGGCCGAAGAAGGTTGCTGGACATACCCAGTTCTTCCGTGCAGGTGTTTGCTTGGGCCGAGTTTTGGTTTGCGTCGTCAAGTCGAACTCCCTTTCGTCGACGATTAAGGTGTTCGAACCTGTTGCACAAGCGCCGGCAGGGAAGAAGACTCCTGCGTTCAAGAAGTTGTTGCAGAACAACACTGAAACGCTGAAGATGTTCAAGGAACTTGCTATCCCCAGTGAATCCAGTTCCGTCAGCTTCTTGAAGAGCAAGCTCTGTGTTGGCTGCGCGAAAGGTTTCGAAGTCGTCTCCCTCGAGAACCTCGAAACGCAATCTCTCCTCGATCCCGCCGATACCAGTCTCGACTTCGTCAATAAGAGGGAAAACATCAAGCCCATCGCAATCTACCGCATGAACGGAGAGTTCTTGTTGTGTTACGACGAGTTTGCGTTCTTCGTTAACCGCAACGGATGGCGTGCTCGTCCTGAATGGATCATCAACTGGGAAGGCATGCCGCGGTCAACGTCATTCTACTATCCCTACATCCTCGGCTTCGACCCTAACCTTATTGAAATCTATAACATCGAGACCGGTGCGTTGGTACAGGTCGTTCCCGGTGTGAACATCCGGAAGTTGAGGGATAACGAGGGATTGAGTGGTGAGATCCTCTTTGCGTGCGATGGACGGAATGGTGGTGATCGCGTCGTCGGCCTCAGGCTCGACAAAGAAAAAGTGCAGATGAGGGAGCATGTGAGGACCAACTAAGTTGCTGGTTGTTGAGCTTTGCTTGTGAAGGGTTGTTCTTGTCATTTTTGGTGTCTCGGCTGTGGGTATGTGTTCTTGTTTCGAATATCGCACGGTTAACTTTAATCTGGGTTGCGTGGTCTTTGCTATTTACATTAGAAGGAAGCATTTGGCGAATGGGAGAGGCTTAGTTATACGTAGTACTAGTTGGGTTGCCTTTACTGGGTCATCAACTGAAAGAAATACTTTGTTATGATTGATCTGAGCCATCCGTTACATCTCGGTCGAGTCTGTCCCATATCTGCTTGGTAAGGAGGGCAATTCGTCGTTGTTGGAGTGTGAGAATGAAGCGCTCGATCTGCTACTAGTGTGCGAGGTCTGGTGCGTCGGATCAGATGAACTCCTGTGGCTCCGGTCCGGAGCGGAAAAGCCCCCGCGAACTGATGATTGAACCGAATAGGTGAATGAGTGTTGTCTTTGTATTACGTTTGAAGTGAAACTCAGATCTGGGGATGATTCATTGATGTTGTATTCAGTGTAATTTGTATCTAAGTAGTAAGCGTGAGCTATGTTCCTCAGCGAACATAGAATCGAGAGCCGTGATATCGATTCGCAAGCGTGCTGTCCCATATCATACAGTCGAAGTCAACTCTTCCCTGTGTTTCCAATTTCACAAGGCAGTTTATTACCCAACCCCCCCCCTTATGCACACTCTCTTGCCTTCTCATGCTGCATGTCCAAGCCCAGTTTATCTCCATTGGCTGTAGTACTTCTCCTCCCCAAAACACTTCTCAACCCTCTCGACCACCTCCCTCCCCCAAACCTCCTCCACACTCTTTCCACCCTTAAGAACCTCCTTCTCATGCTTCTCCGCCTCACTCTTCACCATACAAACCGTGTTCTGTAACCCAACTTCATTCTCCATCGACCATCTGCAGAGGACGATGCGGGTCGAGTGGTGTGGCGGAATAATCGATTTCCCACGGAAGATCTCCTCAATGAGGTATCCCGCGTCCGCGTTCGAGACGGGGATATGCGGCGTTGTGGTTTTTGTGATACGCGCATGTTGTTCCGCTAGCCAGTTCTTTGCGGTGTCGTAGGTTCGGAGACGGTCCCGACCGATGATGGGGTCGGTAGGGTATCCGGCAATAGAGGTCATAACGCATGTCGCCATAGCCAACCCGAACATTCCTGGCATGGTACCAAGTACTGGAAGGATACGCACGCGGAAATTCTCCATGGCACTCAACTCTCCGACCTTGCCCTTCTCGTACTCCTCGCGAGGAAGGTCGAGGAGCTTGGCTTTTCTGGGATCGGGTTTCTCGGTGGAGAAAACCACGGTAACCCCCGTCGTAATGCCGAGTTGTCGAAGACGGCGGCGCGTGGTGCGGGAGAGTGGGTCTTCCAATGTCTGAGAAATATCCGCGACGGAGAGTCTTGAGGGATCGGATTTGAGTGCGGAACCCATAGAGGAGATCAGGGGGATGGAATTGGAGTGGCAGTGGTGGATGAGTGCGATCTTGGTGTCGATGTTGTCGATGCAGTCCAAGACGTAGGTGGGCTTGTCGTCGGAGGAGGAAGGGAAGGAGAGGAGGGAGGACTGGGATTCGGCGGTGAACATCTCAACAAGGGCTTCAATCTCCGCCCACGGCGCGATCTTCTTGAGATAATTCTTGACCGCTAGGACCTTCGGAGTCCCTACATCCTCCAGAGTTGCAGTCGCGTGTCGGTTGAGGGAGGAGAGCGTGACTTGGTCGAAATCGATCAGACGGACATGCGAGGCACCGGAGCGGACGAGCATCGTTGCGGCCCATGATCCGACACCGCCGAGGCCGACGATGATGATCCGTGCATCGCGAAGTTTGGAGAGACCTTCTTTGCCGAGGAAGGCGAGGTTACGGGATAATTGCTCTTCGATGAGGGATTCTGGGTATGCCCTGTGCAATTGATTAGCCAAATGTCACCAAAAACACGGGATGAATGCATACTCTGGCACAGACTTGTGACGGATTGGAGCAGCCTCAGGAATCGACTCCTTCAGCTTCCGTGTTCTGACCCGTCGGCGTGTCTCCTGGTAACCCAAGATGGTACCGGCGGTGACTGCGGACGCCGCGACGGCTGTCAACGCTGCCCGGCCATTTGGCGAGGACACGAACGCCGTAAAGGAGTCAATGGAGTCTTGTAAAATCATTTTCAAGGTTCGAAGTTTTTTGAGAAAATCGAAGCTCAGGAGTACCGAGATGACCGAAGATGCCGGCCACAGCAGGGGTTGCAGACGGCAGCCCCAGAGATAACCGCCAAACCTTAAATTCCCCCATTCATCAACAACCCAAACGAAGGGTTCTCTTGCTCCCTTGGCAGCTGCAACGCGATTCTGGCTCCTACACCCCTCCCTCGCCTCGCCGTAGTCGATACCGACTCCTCCGACATCGCTCTCCAAGTCCTGCCAAGCACCCGACCATCCATGCCTTCCACGGCAGCCTCGTACCAATCTATCCCGACTGCGCGACCGACGACGCCGAGATTAGATGGAGAAGCACAGTTTCTGAGTGATGCTTTCGCCTCTGTCCCACCATCGCGGACACCCTCCCGCGCATCATCGTTTACGTCGGCAACACGACTCCGCACATCGGCTTCGCGGAGGAAGGTGGGACACAAGGAGGGTACGGCGTCGATATGGTCCTCTTTTATCAACCTAGCAAACACGATCTTGGGAGCGGGGATCTTGGCCATGCCTCACGCACTCTCATCAACTGGACTCGCACTCGGATGTTGCGCAATTGTCTTCGCGGGTTGCACCAGCTCACTCGGGCTCTACCTCCTCTCACGCTGCGCAACGCGTCTGGAACCCGGTCACGCATCGTTCTTCGCCCTCGCGAAGCGCACATACCCTAGTGCGGCACCAATCTTCGACACAGCCATTGCGATCAAATGTTTTGGCGTGGCGGTGAGTTATATGATCATCATAGGTGACCTAATGCCACAAGTCATCGCATCAATTATCTTCACGCCCTCTCCCTTTCTGCTGGAACGCGGATTCTGGATCAGTGCGTCGCTGCTGGTGATTATCCCCGTCTCCTTTTTGCGACGTCTGGATTCACTAAAATACACCTCCATCATCGCACTCTTCGCCGTGGCGTACCTCGTCCTCACCGTCGTATACCACTACATCCGCGGGGACACTCTAGAGCAGCGTGGTCCCATCAAATACTGGGAATGGTCTGGACCCCGCGCATTGTTGTCCGCCCTTCCGGTGTTCGTGTTCGCAAACACCTGCCACCAAAACATCTTCTCCATTATCAATGAACTCGCCCTTCCCACCCAACGGCGAGTTAACACCACCATCGCTCTATCAATCGGCACCTCAACCTCGCTGTACCTCCTTGTTGGCATCACCGGTTATCTTAGCTACGGCGATAACGTCGCAGGCAATATCATCTCCATGTATTCCGGCGGCCTCGGACTAACCCTCGGCCGTTTGGCTATCGTCATGTTGTTTCTCTTCTCCTACGCACTACAAGCACATCCATGCCGTGCTTCACTGGATAAAGTCATCACGTCCCTCCGCTCTCCTCCGTCTTCTGTCATGGAATCACCACGCTCGGTACGGAGCATGACGGTTACTACACAGATGTCAGACGCGAGGTTCAGTGGGTTAACGGCTGGTATCGTCATCTGCTCTTACGTCGTCGCGATGCTCGTGACGAGCTTGGAAAGGGTGCTGGCCTATGTCGGAGCAACCGGCTCCACCACCATCTCCTTTATCTTGCCCGGGTTGTTCTACTGGGCCATATCCCGCAAATCCGGCCACGCTCTCGTCAAACAAGACGACCCCCAATCCTCCTCTGACTCGGATTTGGATAGTGGGGAAGATGAGGACGAAGACGATGTCGTGAAGAAGAGAAAGACCAAGAAAGGTGTCTGGATGAGACGCATTGCGTTAAGTTTGGCCAGTTATGGGGTTGTTGTTATGGGCGTTTGTTTGTGTACACTTTGGGCTGGGGTTGGGAGTGGTAGTCATTAAGGCGTTGCATGGTTCCCTTCGCTGTTCCCCTCCTTCACAATGGCAATTACAACTACATGGCGACAGTTATACACGTCAATTGATTGAAGCGGTGTCCAATCTTCCCACGGTCACCGACATCGTCTTACTATACTTATACAGCCTACTCACTCGCAACATGAAAACAATTCGCGTTCAATTATCCTCTCTCAGACGGCTGTACTCCAGAGCATGGGTGCCCTCGATCGACCCCTACATCCCCCCACCTCACCTCGCATCGGCTCCCCTGACCATATCGAGGTCTGAGCGCTGCGTAAGAGTACAGCCAACTAAGAAGCTCGCCAAGACTCCTCGACGTCGAGCATCAACGAACCCAATTTAACATCTAATTAGCTCTTATAAACAGGAGGGATTGCCATTGTTTGAGTGAGAACGTTGGTTCTTTTTTCATTGGATACTGCTCGCTGGATCGAGTGATATCAACTACGCCGACACCGACATTTGACGCATTTAGTTCGTTTCCTCGGGCCGATTTGACGTTGAAGTGCATTCATTGAGAAAAGTCTGAAGAAGATGCCACCACAACGCCGAATCATTGTGTTCATCGCCGCCCTTCTGACCCTCGTCTTCTTCTTCTGGCCTACCCACGGGCCACGACCAACAATCCACAATCCCCCTCAATCCTCGCAGGCGAAAGGCGACGTACAACAACAGGATGAATCATATCTCGGCTCCACGAAGGCTGGGATTGCGGCGAATCCCGATTCTGCATCTTCTGCGGATACGCGGACATTTACCTATCCATCATATTTGAGAAGTGGGGAGCCACTGAGAACAGCAATCGCAGCTGAATTCAAATACGACCCAAACGCGAAATGGCCAAGATATATATGGCAGACGTGGAAAGTTTCACCCTCCTCCGGCGAGTTCCCGGAGCGGTTCAGATACCCAGAAGCAACCTGGACCGAAAAACACCGGTATTGGGTGCATGAGGTCATCACAGATGCTGAAGCCCCACTGTTGTTGGAACATCTTTATAAGGGGTTACCAATGGTGTTGGAGGCGTATTGGGCTATGCCGCATCCAATCCTAAAGGCGGACTTCTTTAGGTATCTAATTTTGTTGGCACGCGGCGGTGTATACAGCGACATCGACACCGAAGCCCTCCAACCCGCCGAATCCTGGCTCACAGAAGAGTTGGATAAGGGCGTAGGACTCGTAGTTGGAATCGAGGCGGATCCGGATCGGGAGGATTGGGCGGAGTGGTATTCGCGCCGCATCCAGTTTTGTCAGTGGACGATTATGGGGAAACGTGGACATCCCGTCTTAGGAGAGATCGTGGCGCGGATTACGGAGAAGACACTCAAGCTGAAAGCACAGGGTCAGGATGCGCTGGTCAAAGAGTGGAAAAACAGTGTCGTGGAGTGGACCGGCCCAGCAGCCTGGACTGACGCAGTCTTCGACCACCTCGACCCAGCCCTCCCTCCCTCCGAAGCGTGGAAACCCTTCGCGGCCCTGCCCGATAGGAAAAAGGTTGGAGACGTGGTTGTGTTGCCGATTACTGCGTTTTCGCCGGGAATGGGACATATGGGGAGTAAGGATGTGGGGGATGCGATGGCGATGGTCAAGCATGAATTTGAGGGGAGTTGGAAGCCGGAGGAGGAGAGGATGAAGGAGGGGGAATGATGGCCCGAAACCTATAGGTTGTGGTCCATCTGCGAGCGACCAGTACGCTGGACGCGGCAAGTGCGTATGTGTGGAGGGGAGAGGGAGAGGGAATAGCAAGGGCTACACGCAAGAGATTAAGCGGAACAATGATTCAGTCAAGAGTGACGAAAAGGAGTATCTATCCAGTCAACGGAGAGCTTGAGCGGCGGGAAGGGCATGAAAGGGCAGCGAGTGTCGTATACGATAGACTTGACATCGAGCAGAAAGCTTGGCAGACACACAAATGCAAAATGCCAACACCTTTGACTTCAAATTCTGGAAAACGTCCTTGTTAATTGCCCAATACATTCCTGCACAATCCCGTTCTCACCGCGGCTGTCATAGGCGCACAACCTAAACACGTAGCGTAGTGCGACTCGACACCTGAAATCGCGAAAGTCAGACCAACAGAACAACACTCCATTGCAATTGCAACCGTCAGACCCAGAGTCAGATAGATGGCAATGGGCGATGCCGCGACAAGAACGAAGAGTAAATCCTCACCGGAACGACGACCGTGCGGAGGTCGCGAGGACAGCTCAAGCTACGCAGAGGAAGATGAAGCGCCAAGAGGAGTGGTGGGACGTGTCATGCATTTCCTCGTCAACAACCAAATCACAGTCCCAGCCAATATTCTCTGGTTCCTTATAACCCTCCACCTTGCCCTGCCAGCACTCCGCGAATACACAACGTCATTCATCTTCATCTCATACCCGCCCGGCACTCGAGAAGGGGATGAGAGTGGGAGCTATGGAAAGGGAAGGTTGGATCTGTGTTACGTGTTTACGTGGGTGATGGTGTTTACGGGGTTGAGAGGGGTGTTGATGAAGTATGTATTTGTGCCCGGGGCGAGGGTGGGTGGGGTTAGGGGGGTTAAGGCGCAGACGAGGTTTGGAGAGCAGGCGTGGACATTCATGTATTATGCTGTTGCGTGGAGTGTTGGATTCGTATGTCTCTCTTCCCTCTCACTCAACTGCTTTTTTGGAGCGTGATAGAGGGTTGTTGGTGTGAACAATTGCTAATTGGGGAAACACAGCGACTTGTTTACGACTCCGACTACCTAACCTCCCTCCACGCCATGTGGGCACCCTACCCGAACCCACTGCCAGCAGAGCTCAAGCGCTACTACCTCCTCCAACTCGCATTCTGGATCCACCAACTCATCGTCCTCCACCTCGAACGCGCCCGTCGCGACCACTACGCCATGCTCCTCCACCACCTCATCACCCTCGCCCTCATGTCCTGCTCTTACACAGTCGACGTCACCCGCGTTGGAAACATGATCCTCGTCACCATGGATTTCGCCGACATCCTCCTCCCCGCCGCCAAAATGATGAAATACCTCAACTGGTCCAAATCCTGCGACCTTTTGTTCGTGTGTTTCCTGTTGGCGTGGTTCGTGACTCGGCATATCTTGTTTCCGACGATTGTTTGGTCGGCGGCGGTGCAGGCGCCGCAGATTATGGATCCGGTGTGGGATACGGAGAAGGGTGTCTATTGGATGCATGAGTGGTTTGTTGGGTTTGTCGGGTTGCTGGGGGTGTTGCAGGTGATTATTTGTTGGTGGTTTTGGTTGATTTTGAAGGTTGCCTACAAGGTGGTCAGGGGCGAGGGTGCGGAGGATAACAGATCTGATTCTGAAGATGAAGGGCAAGACAACGACGAGGAGGAGGATGAAAAGATCAATGGCAAGGCGAACGGAAGCGCCAAGTCAAACGGGGTGGAGAAAGATGTTCAGCCAGCACGGAAAAGATCAAAGAGGCGGAAAGGTGGAGATACCCAGGAGTGATGATTGAGAGCAAGGCTTTTAAGAGTACACTGTGTGTACACGTGTTGATCTTTCCTGGGTTAGGTACTTTCTGCATAGAGTTTTGAGGTTGTGAGGGCGTCGAGCGCTCTGTTTTGGGGGTTGATAAAATGGGATAGGAGGAATGGCATGAGTATACCCTGCACTACAAGTCGTGCTCTTGATTTTCTTACTGCTTTCTCGTGCGCTCCATCCATACCGTCGGCGTCGCTTTGAGTGGGCGTTATTCGCTTGATAGTCACTCTGCTGCTGTACGGACGGACCAGAAAGATCCTACGACCCCCTGAGGATCCTCTCAACGTGGATTTTGGTCAACCACGGTCCGCCCAGGGTTACACATCGAACCCTATCTGCTGTCTGTTTCATTTTGTGATCCTACCCATGAGCAGAGACGCGACATACCCAGCTTGCAAGCTTGAACTTTCCTCACTCATCTGTCCTCTAAATCTCACGGGCCCTAGGGTTGGGGACATGGAGACAACGCCTAAGACTTGCAATGGCAACAGTATCTTGGACGACGAGGTATAGATAATAATTGCAATCATATCATTCAGAACAAAAGTATCGAGCATCGCATATCAAAGGTATAAAAGGTATATCCCCCATCCCCTCCCCTCCTCATTCCTCCTCATCGATATCCCATCGTCCACACCGCAAAGTTCAGAAAACAAACAGACCAGCTAATAACAAAGAACAATATAGAGACGCTCGTATAGTACGACGGCCAATGAAGTAGACCGCAGACCCATGCCATGCAAATTAGGAATCTCCACCGAAAAAGATCCCGAGAATAAATAACGCCGTAAACACCAATTTCTCATTCCCTTAATCGCAGATCGCCAAGAAGCATCGACAGCACATCACAAACATCGTTTGCATGCTGAAGAAGTCCCAGCATAGATACGCTCATACCGACCCTCCGGAATAGATAAAACATCGCTCGGTATGACTTGTGTGGGCATTCATCCCCTTTTCCCGCTCACTCAATAAAAACATCCCCACAAGCAGTAACAAAAAAAATGGCCGAGAAGTGAAATCAGTAGATGATCTTTTCGTAGGTGTTGAAGCGGACCATAGACGGTCTTGACAACTTCCCGTTCACCGCGGCCATGTTTACACCCTTTCTCGCATCAACAGAGGAGGTAGATGGGGTACGACGCACAGTCGTAGCCACAGGCATGACGGATGAAGGCGCAAGAGGAAGAGCCCGAAGAGTGGGGGTATGTGTCGGCGACGCAACCCTCTTAACGGCAATCCCCTCCAACTCGAGATCAAGGAAATCGAACTCCTCACACTCCTCGGCGATCGGCATCGAGCAGGCGAAGGTAGTCGGGGCGAGGTTGTTCTCGGCAAAGTAGAAGGAGGAGAAGTAATCGCTCATTGGTGAGGTCGCGGGACATTGTCGCTCCATGGGTGTGCACATCCCTGCGCCTGCTCCCACAGTCGCCAAGTTGTTTCCAGCCTCGAGGGAGAATGAGGAGGAGCGCGAAGACGCCAGAGAAAGGGATGGAGTCGAGGGGTAGGAGTCGATGCCGTTGTTGATTTGAGATGTTTCGCGGGCCATTGGTGAAGACATGGATGGTGCGGCGAGGTATGCGGAAAGGTTCATTGGGTGTGACATCGTTGTTGAGTCGATGTTTACTAAAGGCGACAGATAGATACCGTCCAAAGGTTGGCGAAGAAGAGTTGATGAGAGATGATATCAACGCCGTTCAATATCAATCACAGTAATCGTTGTACACAGGGTCCACAAGTCCACGAGTCGTAAGCCGGGTCGTATGCGTAAGACGTAGGGCGTATATGCGTACGGTATCGGGTCGCAAGTAAATTCTCGATGCTCAATGTGGTGATAATTTACCGACAGAACTTGACAGCCTTGACAGCTGCAGGGAAGGCCGTTGCGAACAATAATGAAGTGTCGAAACAAGTTACCCCTTTTGCGATGGGTAATGTGTTTGCAAAGTCGTTGAGTAGGCCCGACAAACGTGAAGTACACCTGTTGCAGTGATTTGAATAGTTTATCGTCCCTTTGTGCGCGAGCGTCGTCGACAACCTCGATCGATGGGGAGCAGGGCGGCGGTGGTACTTATACTTGACCTCCACCTCACAGTTCCGGGGCCGCCACGACTGTTTCAACCTTCAGCTAAATGGATAACCCGGGGGCGCCAATTGGGCTTCAATTTCCAGAACGTCACTCTGTGCGTTGTTTTGGATATATGGCGGCGTCGACGCTTTCCATTTACATTTGGTGGTGGTGTGTGTGTGTGTGGAGTAAGTAACAGTGGGAGATTGAATCAGGGAGCCGGATGGCCATGGCCCGCCCACGCACGGGTGTGGGTATTTCCGTTGGCTCTCGTGTTCTGAGATGGAATGAAAAACTGTCCATGGAATGTCTTTGTCTCGTTCGATATACCTCGCCAGAACCCACCCTCACCACACCCCGTATCGAACGCATCCACGGCCAACCGGAACTTTCTCCCTCGAACAACTCACACATACATGAATTCTCAAATAGAACCCCCAAAATGAACCCGCACACCACGTCTCATGCTCATCATACTCAGGGTACGCTCTCGAACCTCTCAGGAGGCAATCAACCGGCATAATCCGCAAAAGACGATCCCATACGAGTTCTCGATAAGGGTGATCAAGGTTTCGGGGCATACCACGAATGGGTAGGGGTCCTGAGTGAGTGGGAGTGGGGAGCGAGGGAGAGGCATGTGCGTAGGCTTGGCCCGTGGCCAGATCGGCGAGTAATCGGGGGAGCCGCGGGTTGGTTTGCCTCGGCTGTTCTGTGTGTTATATACGGTGGAGATGTTGAGAGTGAGCCTTTACGACAGCGATTGCTACCTGAGTATGTCTGCACGGTCCATCCCGCCACGCCGGACCCACCTCCCATCTACGGCCATCTGCTTCACCTCCACCATATACCTCTCACCACTTCTAATAACATACCTAGTACTTCCGCATCCTGTCTCGAGCTCACCAAGGTTATCGTCGCGGCCGCAGCCTCGTCGTGGCATAAATTAAGGTTTGAACACGGACCATGGCGAAAGGATCGACATCCGCCTCAGCAGGGAACGGGCCGTTTTGGGTTGCTCCGCAGTGCAGGGTCCTATGACGGGTGCGGGGTAGATTACGACGACGCTGGAGCGGCTTGGCAGCTCGAGCTGTCAGAGTAGTTTGTGTGGGGAAGAGTGCTGGCTGGTGTAAAAGAAGGTGAAGAACAATGGGGTTGGACTTGCCTTGCATTTCCCGGGGGATGGAAGACGGGAGTGTTGAGTCTGAATATCGCGGATGTTTGCGGAGGAGCTGTCAGCTGGCCATAGCCCGAGGAGTACGTAATCCGATCCTGACGGCTGTGATCAACCTTGTATCTAGATATCGAGACTCCCCCCCTCCCATGCGAGGCCACGCAATCCCGATTACTCATCGTACCACTTGCCACGCCCTACAATCACTCCAGTCCTCACTCTTTCAATCGTTGAACCACGCGAGCCTACCCGTAAGTTTTTGGTTTTGGGTGGTGAGTGCGGAGTTACAGTAGGCGACGGCTGTTTCCCGCGGTCCCAGCGCGCGCGCGTTCTATCACGCTCCTCTCCCCCATCAGAAGCTTAGCCCACCCTCGAGCCCCCCCCCCCCCACACACCTGGCCCAGGGACCCCTCCCCGTCCGCGTCATCCGCAGGTATCGGATAGGGCTGTTTCTTCTGTTGACTGATGCACGATATCGATATCCATATCGATTCGTGAGCTCGAGTGTGCTGTGTCTATCAAACACCGTTTGACACCGTCATGAGACCAGTACCAATATCACGCTCGACAAACAAAGAGGGCTATGGATAGGAAGTCACGGACTACTGTCGCAGATTACTACACGTACTTGACCCTCGTTCTCGAGTTAATGATATCAACCGCAAACGCCGGATATCACGGAGCTTCCCACACTCCCAATTCCCAAATTCCGCATTTGTGTAACGTACCTCCCGGCCCGCTCCGTCTCTTCCGCTCTCTTTGCTTCTGGATATAGCGGAACGTCATCCCCTCGAGCCTCTCCACAGGAAGAACTAAGGTCCGTCCTGTGTATTCTCTTCTTGGCGTTTCCTACCAAGCTTTTGTCTCGAACTGGAATTGGAGACGCGGAAGCATGATCTCGGCGCAGACCTTCCCAAAATTCCGCATTTTTGTAACCTCCATATGCATTCTCAAACACCCGCAGCCGCGGCACGCCCCATCTCTTTCTCTCAGCGCTGTCGAGCTTCTTGAGCGTTGACGTTGATCCCGCTTACACTCTGGACATAGCGGACCGCGGGAAGAACCCAAGTCCGCACGGCTGCAGCTGACTGGTTCTTGGCACGAGATCGAAGCTTCGGAAGCACCATGTTCATGTTCCGGCTTTCGAGACGCCAACATGCACGCGGTGAGGGCTGCGGCCATTTTCCCACGACCCCAGGGCCTATCTGTGACGATACCCAATAGATGGAGTGGAAAAGGTAGTATTACCTAGATGAGGGGGTAGTTCCCTTATATGCTAGCTAGTCAGGGATAGGGGTAAGCTCTGCATGTGGCTATGTCTTCCCTAACACTACTGCTGTGTGCAAAATCCTTGACGCGCATTTTCGTACATGCGCGAGACCCCTGTAACGGTAACATAAAACACCTCCAAACAGCTCGAAAAAGGGTCTAGGAAACTCAGTAAGGGTCGAAATGCTTGGGAAGATATGTGCCGATGTCGACCGCGACAAGGTAATCAACCAATATGCTTCTGCGAAGGATGTCTACGAAATAGCGACCGACATTGAGAGGTCTCCTCGCACGGTTTACCGAATTGTGATTCGAGGAGACAGGGCTTACTGAGCGTAAGGGCAACTCAACCTGCGGGCGCAAATCGGCTGTTGACGAGTTTCTGGGCTCGGTAAGTAGACTATTACTGCTCATGGGTACCACCAAGGGCATGACTAAATGACCGCAGCAAATCAAGTACTTGTACGACAAAAACCCTACCCTGTATCAAGACGACTGTGCTGAGTTCCTCAATGATCAATTCGCTACATCTCTATCGCGCTACCATGTCACCCGCTACCTGCAAAAGATTGGATATACCCGTAAGGTTTTGACCTTACGGGCAGCCCAGCGCAACCCTATCTTACGCGCAAACCATGCCATTGAAATGGCTGACTATATATATACTGTGGTTATGCGCTGACCGGCATGGATTTGCGCCAATATGTTGATAACAACCGTGAAATGGCCGCTCGAGCGGCTGAGCGGGTGTAGCTATCATTCATTAGTCCTTCTCAGTATTTTCATGAATCAAAGGAACATTTCGTTCATTATTTACGTACTTGCCGTTCTCACGGGTCCTTTCCCTAACAAAATGGCCGGGAACTGCCCCACCTACGTAGCATGCGAGTGTAGCTCACTAGATTACGCTCCTCTGAGACAAGAATTATGCATGCTAAGGCAGGGCATGATGTTTTGTCAAGGATTGTGCACGCTCAATACCTGCCTTAGCGTGCATAATTCTTGACAACGTCGTTTCGTGCGCGAGTACAGGTTTGCAAAAGAATCAAGCATTGTGGATTGAAAAGCAGTACAGTACCACAGAGATAACTATAAATCAAAGCTTTCGTCAAACTCCTGGCTTTCGTAAACCTCGAAGGGTGTCTCCTTGAGGCCTAGGGGACCCCTAGGCTTCGATTGCTGCTCCCGCTGGATACCTTTCCAAACCGGCCACCATTTGCGCATAATCCTCACCCATCCATGCTTCACAGGCGGTAGGCCATTCGGATCGATGTTCTTGAGATCGTCTAGCACTACTCCATTGTCGATAATTGCATCTCGAACCGTCTGGCAATCAAAGTCGATGTATTCCGGAACTTTGGTCTTGACATAGGCTAGAAACCCGTCCAAATCATCAGCAGCCGGCCCTTGAAGAGGGCTCGAACCCCTGAGTATTTGCGGGTCAATGGTCGTGGTTGTTGGGGTTGGGGTCGGAGTAGGCTGACTCGAGGGAGGTAGCAGCAGTAGATCGAATCGAGGCGCAGTCACTGGTGTAAGTAGTTGAGGCATACCGAACGAAGAGTGCCTGCTTTCAGGTGTTTCCGATTGATCTGTCTCCTTGAATGGTATGAGCAACCCAGCGAAAAGGGGATCATGGATGGGTGGTTCCTCAACGGTAACCCCATGTTCTTTCGCGACCAAGTACTTAGACCATAGATTGAGGAGATCATTGGTAATGTATCGATGTTGGTGAGAAAAAGGATGAACATAGCAGTACTGCTGGTGGTGCTTGGCGCATTTGTGCTTAGCCTGTAGGGTCTGAACAGCAAGGATCCTTTTGTAGTGTTGAGGATCATTCGCAAGTTCATTCGAAATGCCCTGGAGAGCAGTGTTGGTAGCACTGTGCCTAGGTCGAGGGATGAGAGGCTTTCGGGCCCTGGACTGAGTCTGAGAGGGGTGCAACGGGGTTTGCTGGTCGAACTCGAATTTAGAAGCAGCCCTTGTAGGGTCGTAGTGTGTTTCGATTAGGATAAAAGCTGGCCATTCGACCTTGGGTGTGTTGCGCTCAGTGTGGACGGCATCAATGAAGCCTTCCCAGTCGTCCTCCGTTCGTAGTCTACACCATGCTGCATCCCGGCTCCTTCCACGGCAGACTTTCCAGCTGATATTGGGCTTCAGGGAGTATTTGTTGACGCCTTCGACGACCATATGATCATGACGGAGCTCCTCGAGGGCGACATCGATCAAAAGCTGCTCTTGGTCGGCCCAAGACTTGACTGGATTGACCGTCCAGGGTGCTTGAGGATACCTGTGGTTCTTTTGCCTAGTGACGAGAACGAAGACCTGGAAGTCGTCGAATCTGCTGATAGTATCAACCGGTGCGTCTTCGTCTTCGAGTTCCTTGACTGTCTTAGGCCGTTTTTCCCTCCGGACTGTATTTGTAGGTGGTGGTGAGTCTGCATCTTCGAGGGGTCGGGAGGGCAGTTTGGGGGTACGAGTCGATGCCCTGCGCTTATACGAAGCCTTAGCAGCTCCTTTCAGCTTCCTAGGAGGCATTTTCAAGGTTTGGCGGCGTGTTTGGTGGATTGGTCGCGTCCTGCACGAACATGCGGTAAAATGATGCGCGTCAAGAATTTTGCACACAGCAGTATCTGCACCCCGCACTCATCTCCTGCCACGTATAACCAACCACACAATGACAACCCTCACCGCAAAAATAAAACAGATCCTCCCAGACCCAACACTCCTCCTCCTCCAGAACCCCTCCTCCCCCTCTCAAACCCGTCAAATCGCAATCCACGGCATCACCATCCCCAGACTCCGCCGCGAAGGGGATGAAGATGGTGCATGGGACGCGAGGGAGTATTTGAGGAAGATGGTGGTGGGGAAGGTCGTGAGGTTTAGGGTTGTGTATACCGCTGCAGGCAGGGAGTATGCGAGGGTTTGGGTTGATGGGGGGGAGGATCTCGCTCTTCACCTTCTGCGAGCTGGATGGGCTAAACTCCGCTCCACTCCTTCCTGCGACGAAGACGACACAGCAGCCTACACCGAAGCCGAGTCATCCGCCCGCTCCGCCTCCCTCGGCCTCTGGGCCCCCACCTCCAACATCTACGCCTCCTACGACACACCCCCCAACCCCGCCTCCTTCCTCGCACAATGGCAAAACAAACAAATCGACGCCGTAATCGAACAAGTCCGTGCCGGAGATCTCGTCCGCGCCCGTCTGATACTGTCACCCGCCCAGCACCAATACCTCCCCCTCATCCTCGGCGGGGTGCGGTGTCCCACTTCCCCACGGACCGAGCCCACCACTGGTGCCGTCCTCGATGCGGGCGAGGAATTTGGGGATGCGGCACGAGCGTTCACCGAAGCGCGACTCCTCCAGCGCTCGGTCAAAGTACAGCTTTTGGGGACTACGTCGAGTGGGGGACAGTTCGTCGCGAACATCATCCATCCCGCGGGTGATATCGGCGCTCTCATCCTCGCGTCCGGCTTGGGACGGGTGGTGGATTGGATGAGTGGTATGGTCGGTGTGGAGAGGATGGGTATGCTTCGTGCTACGGAGGCGAGGGGGAGGGGTGCGGGGGTTGGGGTGTGGAAGAACACCACCAACACACTGGGGAAGGAAAAGGGGTTCGAGGCGGTTGTTGTGAGGATTGTGTCAGCCGATACGATCCTCGTCGAAGCCCAGAACATGGAACGCAGAATCCGGCTCTCGTCGCTGCGTGCGCCCCGTGCCACCGACAGCGCACAAGCACCCTTCGTCACTCTCGCGCGGGAGTGGCTCCGTCGTCGACTGATCGGGAAAACCGTACGCGTCCAGATCGACTCCACCACCAAACCCTCTGCCGCTTCCAATGCCGACTCGATCGATGTCGCGACCGTCACCGTCGGCAACACGAATACGAATGTAGGGCTGGAGGGCGTCCAAAAAGGTTGGTTGTCCGTCCTGAGGCATAGAGCGGACGACACCCATCGTGCGCCTGGCTCCATCTACGACGCACTCATCGCGGCCGAAGCTGCGGCGCAGGATTCACATGTTGGCATGTGGTCACCCAAACCACCGGGAGCAGTGGGGGCTGGGAGGGTGGTGGATGCGAGTGAGAGCGTGACAAGGGCGAAGGGGCATATCAATGCGCTCACCCGGGCGGGGCGGGTTGGGGGTGTGGTTGAGCATGTGTTTTCTGGCAGCAGGTTTAAAATCCTCCTCAAACATCAAGGAGAAACCAAGATTACGTTCGTCCTCCGTGACGTACGCTCCCCACGCTCGGACGAATCACACGGAAAGGAGGCATTGGAGTATGCGACCCGGAGGTTCCTGCAGCGCGATGTCGAGGTTGAGATCAATAACGTTGATCGTGGGGGGGCATTTATGGGAGCTATGTTCTTGGGGGGTCGGGATGTGGGAGTGGGGATGGTGGAGGGGGGGTTGGGGTGGGTTGGGGAGTATGTCGCTGGTCCTGGTGCTGGGGTGTTAAGGGAGGCGGAGGGGAGGGCGAAAGAAACCAAAAAGGGTGTGTGGAAGGACTATCAACCCGAAGCTGAGGCGGCTGTGGTAAGAGAGGGAGGGGAGAATGGGAGTGGGCGTGGGGGTGGGGAGAGGGAGTATGTGGATGTTGTCGTCACGGAGGTTGAGAGTCAGGGGAGGTTTTGGGTACAGCTCATTACGCCCAAAATCCAGGAACTCGAGATACTCATGCGGGATCTCCAAGTCGCCTCGTCCGCTGCTTCCCTGTCTGGTCCACCCCGCGTCGGGGATCAACTTCAGGCGAAATCGGCCCAGGATGGGATGTGGTACCGGGCTCGCGTCAGACGTGTCGATCGTGCTGCTGCAAAGGCGGAGGTGGTGTTTGTGGATTACGGCAACACCGAACACATACCATTCGCAAACCTCCGACTGGGCGCACCCTCCGGGTTGCCGCCACAAGCACAGGAGGCAACATTATCATTCATCCGTCCCCCACCTGCCGGAAGCGAGTACGCCCTCGACGCACGCGCCTCCCTCGCCTCCCTCATCACAAACCGCCAACTCGTCGCATGCATCGATCGTAGCCCCGGCGGCTCCCCACTCGAACTCACCCTCTACGACCCCACGAATAGCGCGAGTGTTGATCCGAGTGAGAGTGTTAATGCGGAGATGGTGAGGGAGGGGATGTGTCGTGTCGTGCCACAGAAGGAACGGGGGTGGGAGAAGGCGTTTGCGGGGGTGTTGACGGGGTTGGAGGAGAAGGAGGGGGAGGCGAGGAGGGGGAGGAGGGGGATTTGGGAGTATGGGGATGTGTTTGGGGATGATGAGTAGCTATAAGATATGAGCATCGAGTCTTAGATTGAACACGCATCACATCTTTTTGATATTTGCTCCCCGTCTATGCTACCGCACGTACCTATTTATCAAGCACGACCAAAACCCCCCCAATCAAATGCAAACTCCCACTAACAAACACCTGTTTCCCCCCCTCAGCCTCCACCCCCCTCACAACCCCAACAGCCTCCTCAATCGTCCCACACACATGCACATCACCACCTGCTCCGAGCTTCTCCCAAGTATCGCGGAGTTCGTGTTGGACGGTGAGTGCTTTGACGTCGTCTGCGCTAGTGTTGATGGAGAGGAGGTCACTGTTGTAGCCGGACGCTTTGAAGGTGACGTTTGTACAGAAGATGACTGTGTCGAAGATGGGGCCTGTGGGGATAGATGTAGATAGGGTGGTGCGGATTGTGGTGTAGAGGGTCGTGAGCAACTCCGTCGCGTTTCGTGTCTGTTGGTTAAACACGAGAACCCTCTTCCCCGGACGATCTTCTTGCAAGAATCGAGTGGCGATCCATACACCAGCTGCTTCGAGGGATTCAGTCGTGTGCGCACCGTCGAGACACCATTCAGTCTCGCCCTCGACTCGGACGTCACATCTCCCGGGCCAGTTGACGCGTTCGAGACCACGAACCATTTCTTCTGGTAGGTCTTTGGCGAGGTCGGGGATTGGGAGACCGACGTGTGGGAGATGCGAGGCGACGAGGTTCATTGCTAGGGATGCATTTGACTGTTGGAACACGGCCGGTAATCCCATCTTGATCTGGGGTACTGCAGGATGTACCGGCACGACCTCGAATGGTTGTGCTTCTCTCTCCTCCGCTCTCTTCCTCAATAACTCCAGCGCGCTCCGTGAGGATTGCTCCACACTAAATGCCGGAACACCTTTTTTGTAGATCCCGCCCTTATGCCACGCAATTTCCTCAATCGTACCTCCCAGAACCGCAACATGGTCGATACCCAAACTCGTGACGCCCGTGACAGTGGGCCTTTGTACAATATTTGTCGAGTCGTATTCGCCGCCTACGCCGACTTCGTAGATCGCAGTATCGCACCCTTCGGAGAGGAAGACATGCCAGGACATGAGTGTAAGGAAGCGGAAGTATACCGGTTTATTGGCCGGATCGAGGTTTTCGGCCAAGGCGGAGGATTCGAGACGATCCCAGATTTCGAAAAAGTATTTTGCGAAGAGAGGTTCTGGGATGGGTTCCCCGTCCAGCTGAATGCGTTCTCGGACGGCTTTGAGGTGTGGTGAGGTGAAGAGACCGATTTTGTGGGGTTTGGAGTATTTGGCTTGGTATTGTCGCAGAATAGAGTTGACAAATGCGCATGTTGAACCCTTCCCTTTCGTACCTGTGACGTGAATGATATTGAGTTTGTCAAAGTCAGAAGCGGTATACCCCACCCGACGAATCCACTCGTGCATCTCTGGCAGTGAGGTCGCGTTCATTTTTCCTCCGGATTTTCGGAGTGCGTCGAGGACTGCTGCATTTGTTTGGAGTGTGTTTAGGGCGTTTACCGCGTCGTTGTAGGTTCGTGAAGATGTGGACATGTTTCTTGAGCGCAGAAACAGATGGATCCGACGTGTGAAGGCGGCGGTGGATCTGAGCATACAGGTGCAGCGCGAAGCTGGATCGATCCTCTCGAGCGTAGTGGTGCCGTCCAAGCTGTTCGCGGTGTTGCAATTGAGGTTTTCGTGTACGTCAACGTCAACGTCAAAAGTCAAGGTGTCGATCACGTGCAGTGACGTTGCGAATGTCTACGTTACATCCATGTCCCACCCAGGCCTCCTCGGATCCATCATGTCCCCACTCCTCGGCCTCCTCCGCACCCTCATCTCCTCCCCCCGAATCCGGCACCACGACCCCCTCACCAAAACCTCCCTCGACCTCTGCCACCTCACCCCCCAAATCATCGTCATGTCCATGCCCGCTCCATCCTTCCCTCGCACCCTGTACCGAAATCCATTGAGAGAGGTGCAGCGCTATCTTGAGGGGACGTATGGTGAGAGATACGCGGTATGGGAGTTTAGAGCCGAGGGGGCAGAGTACGCGGATGAGGATTTCAGGGGGCGGGTGTGGCATCATCCGTTTGTCGATCATCACCCGCCGCCGTTCTCGCTCTTACCCGCAATCGTTGAATCACTCCACACACATCTCGATTCATCGGAGAAAAACGTCGCGGTTCTACACTGCAAAGCTGGAAAAGGCCGCTCGGGGACAGCTGCGTGTGCATACCTGATCGCATACAAATCCTACACAGCACACGATGCCATGGAACTATTCACAGCGAAACGGATGAAGCCGGGTTGGGGGAATGGTGTCAGTATCCGGAGTCAGAGACGATATTTGCAGTATGTGGAGCAATGGCAGGGGAATGGGCGGAAATATGTCGACCAGCGGATACGGTTGAGGAAGGTCATGGTGTATGGAGGAGTGAAGGGTCTGAAGGTTTCCGTTGCGGTGTTTGCAGAGGAGGGAAGGGAGATCAACACCATACATACGTTTACACCCCAGGAGACGACAGACACAGCGCCGGCAACATACAGCTGCGTTCCTAGCACGAATCTGGTCTGCCCAACAGATATCTGCATCAAGATCGACCACCACTCGTTCTTTGGGTTGGTGCAGACGACGATGTCGCATACATGGTTCAATACGTACTTTGAGTCTGTTGCTTTGGAAGGCCAGGATAAGGAAGGGAGGTATGAGGTTGATTGGCTTGATGTGGATGGATGGAAGGGCACGAAGTCGAAGGGGCGAAAGGTTTTTGAGAGGGTCGTTGTTGAGTGGGAGGTTGTGGACGATATGGTGGATGATGTACCGAGGTGAGGGACGATACCAATGAGTGTCAGTCGTGACGGGATCAGGGACGGGTTTACCCTTTGCGGTGGTTCACGGCGGGGTTTACAATGAACACCAATTACAATTTTATCGCATAGGCAGATGGTGTCCGGCGTTAGGGTTACATCGAACACCCCAGACTTCTTCTAATATTAACCTTCTAATATTGACGTACACGTAGGTCGAACGGGACGATGGGAACCATCACATGAGGGTCAAGACTTAAAGCCAATAATACGACCCAATATTCACTATCCAATGATATCAAATACCAAAAACGTCTTGTCTAAAGCAAAGTAAATAAACGCCATATGCCGGGTATACCCCATTTCCCTCATTAGGGAAAAATGTACCCAGAAATCCCAAGTTGTGGATATCCATCCGATCCATGGTCATCCATCCTCATAAGTTCATGCTCCATCCATCAATTAACCGACCGCCAGCCTCGCCTTTTCAATTCCTTTCAAGATCTCACCCAACTTTTTCAAACTAACAGGTTTCGTTAAAAACTCGTCCACGCCGCACTCATACGCCCTCTTGACATCCCCGGGAGTGTCCAACCCCGTCAACGCAACAATCTTCGCTCTCCTTCCTACTCCTCCATCTTGCTCCGATTCAATTTGCCGGATATCCCTTGTGGCATCAAAGCCATCCTTGACAGGCATCTGCACATCCATCAATACAATCGGATAAAACTTCTTCTTGACGGCATCGACGGCGATTTGTCCATTCGCCGCATGGTAGTGCGGATACCCATTCTTCTTGAGCCAGGTTTTGAGGAGCATGGCGTTAATGGGGTTATCCTCCACCACCAACACGCTCGGTAACCCCACTTCCGCGTCGTCCATCTCCGACATAACCGCGGTCGTCGCAAAACTCGTTACGGTCGTCGGCGTCTCAGGCGGATATGAGATAGAGATCTCATTCATCGCCGTAACGACCGCACTCGTCAAGGTCGGACTTCCCTCTCCTCTCCTGTGAATCCTCTCTAACCCCGCACGAACAGCCGCGCGAACTTTGCCAGGTCCATGCGGAACAGTAACCACGACAACGTTCTCGCCCATCTTCCGTCGCATATCGGCGCTCAGATGCTTCCTCTCTGTAACAGAACAGAGCATCACGACAAGTCTGTCCTTGGGCGCCTCATCTAGAGCCATCCGAGATCGCTCACCAACAAGCAAAATATCCGCCTCCTCAACCTCCTGCACCACATTCCCGCCCAAATACTCCGCCGCACGACTCCTCGCCCCAAACTGCTCCAACAACACCTCCCCCGGCGTTATCCCGACCTCTTCCCTTTCTTGCTCTGGCTCAACCCAAACCCGATACGCATCCAACCCCTCATACGGCAACTCCTCTCCACTCCACAACGCCAGCCTCAGATTAAACCGCACCAACACCTTCGTCCCCTTCCCCACACTACTCCCCACCTCGATATCACCTCCCAACGTCTCCCGCACCAAACTCTTACAAATACTCATCCCCAAACCCGCGCCCATCGCGAGTGGATCCTCCTGCTGGAAAGCCTGGAAGAGCTTTTGTTTGATGAAATCGGGAGATATGCCACGGCCGGAGTCTTCGACGGTTAGGGTGATGGAGGTGGGAGAGGTTTTCGAGAGGGTGACGCGGACGTGGTTAGTGGGTGAATTTGGGGTGTATTTGAGGGCGTTCGTGATGAGGTTCATCAATACCCTTCGAATCGCTGCTGAGTGCGGAGTGTGGAAGCGCCATTCGCTCGGTGTTGTCGGATTCATCTCGAACAACAACATCAATGACTCACTCCCATTCCCAACATTCACATTCCCACTCCGAAACTGGAACCCAGCAAAACAGCTCTCAACAACCTCCTCACTCAACTTGACCAAATCAACCACAGCATGCTCCTCCCCATCGACTCTCGATCCTCGCCTCCCGAGATTGTCTGTAGAGTTGCCGCAACCACCACGCGCAATCTTCCCAAAGTCCAAGACGGAATTAATGACCTCCAACAAAACCCCTCCACAACTCCTGATAACCCTCACCAACCCCCTCTGCTCAACCGACAACCCGCCTCCTCCTCCTTCATCTTCTCCTCCTTCTCCGCCGAGTCCAGCACCACCACCAGAGCTCGCCGTCACTCGCCCAGTCTCCTCCAACATCTCCGCACTAGCAAGAACCCCATGCAACGGACTCCTCAACTCATGACTCACATTACTTATAAACAACGCCTTCGCCGCATCCGCAACAGCCAACTTATCCCTCTCCTGCTCACTCACCGCCGCACTCGCGAACCGATACAAAAACGCTCTCTCATCCGAGGACAATCGAGGACGTGGGTGGGTGGTGTAGAGGGTTAGGACGGAGTGCGGGGTATGTGACGCGCGGTGGAGGCGGACGGGGACGAGGATGAGGGCGGTTGTGGTCGGTGGGAAGAGGAATTGGAGGGCTGGTGTACGTGCGAGTTCTTCGGCGTCAATGATTACCCCCAACTCTGCATTCTCTTTCTCGAATAACGTCGATACCGCACTCGCCGCAATCGACCGCGCCGAAGAGTGGGAGTCGACATGGAGAGGTTTGCGCGGATCGTGCCACGATTCGAGGACGTGCCATACCTCACTCCGTTTATTCTCCCCAGGATGGATCCACGCGACGTCATCAACATCGAACGGCTCAGCAAGACACTTCCCAATCATCTTACACGCCCTCTCCCAAACCGTCTCATCCGCCTCCGCTTCTCTTTCCTTCCCAGCCAACTCCGGCGAAGGTGCAGCCTGAGCCTTCTTGTCGGACTCGCCGGACCCCGGCTCAGGCTGCGCCTTCGCCTTCGCCTTCCCCCCCCTCATCCCCCCAGCGGTAAACTCCGTCAAAACCTCCGCCATAACCCCCAACACCCCAACCATCCTCCTCCCCCTCCGACTCTCCAACCCCTCCGCGACCATATCCGCGACGTGTCGGAGGAGGGCTTGTTCCTCCTGCGTCCAGTTGCGTGGTTTGTCGTCCAAGACACAGAGTACCCCAAGGGCATGTCGTTCGGAGCCAGGGCCTAACGGTCCCGAAGCGTAGATCGGTGCACCCATGTATGCCCTCAACCGCAACCCACCCGTAACGAACGGCTTCTCCCTAAACCTCCAATCCAGGCTCATATCCGAAATAGTGTAGACAGGCGTCAAGTGTGCATGCAATAACGCATGTGCACAGATTCCTGTTGAGCGGCGTAAAGGTGAGGAGAGGGAGAAGACGGTTTCGGAGGAGGTGTTGGTGGATAAGGGAGAGGGTTGTACGACTTCACCGAGTATATACTGATCCGCCGCATCGAAAAAAGATACGTTACCGACTTTGGAAGAAGTTAGTCGTGTCGCGATCTGCACGTATCGTTCAAAATCCATTCTTAGGTTTTGATCTCCTCCTGCGCCTAAAAAATGGTCTTGATCTACACACACCAAGTATCAGCATTCATGCACAACACTCTCTGTACAAAAAAGAGCATACATTTCCAAGTTTCGCGTTGTCTGTCACTTTCGTCGGGTGGGTTAGGCGCATGTACCTCCCCATCACTCGCGATGATCGAGCCGTACGCGGAGGGGGGTGGTACTGGTACGGGTACGGGTGAGGGTCCGGTCATCGAGGTGAAGATGTCGGGGGGGAGGGAGCCGGAGGCGTAGGTGTTTAGGAACATTTCGCATGCGTCAATTTCTTCGTACGGGACTGCTTCTGGTTTTACTGTGGTGGTACTGGTCGTCCCCGTCCTCGTCGTCGTTGAAGAAAGTGTCGGAGAGACGGTTTGTCTGAATGTATGCGTCGAATCAGGCGGCTCCATTGTCTATATGCTACGGATCAAGCGACTGTATGCGGTGCTGGCAGATGCTTCCTGTTGGCTCTTCGGTGGAGTAGCACTTTCTACGCGCGGGCTTCTAGACACATGCAGGTGCAGATCGTGACGTCCGAGCAGGAACACCCGCGGTTATCTCGGTTCTGCGTTCCGAATTGGGAAACGCGAAGATCACGACCTGCTGCGTGGGTGACCGCCATAACAAAATTTCAGGGGAGTAGAGATTGTGGAGGGAGGGTCTCATCTTGATACCTGGCATGTGCTAGGAAATGGCTAGCCAAGACACAAGTATTCGCTTCATTGTGCAACCCTAAACCTAACCCTAAACCTTCGAAAACACCCCGCTGAAGGCAAAGTATCTCGGAGCTAACAAAGCAGTGTATTGGGTATTGGTAAGGTCTAGGAGTAAGCCCCCTCGACGACTAGATATAGGGTAAGAGCCCTGACTAATCCCGAAACGAAATAGTGCGCCCACAGCTTATCCCCCCTCTTGAATGAGCTCGACCCCGAGCTCCAATGAATCAGACCATTTAGCGAAATAGCAATGCCCCATGCTTCCGTAACACCGGAAGAAACAAACTGAAACACAAACAATATACCCACCCAGACAATTATACTCACTCACTCACTTAGGATCCTCATATCCCTCAGCAAACTGGCTTTCCTCACGAGGGCAATAGACCTTCAGGTGATTCATCTGAAAACGACCTCTTATGCTCCCTTGAGGGGTCCCAAGTTCATGAAGCCAACAAGAGCGCCCATGATGCGCAACCTTCACAACCAACAATGGTCCCGTCCACCTAGGCTCAAGCTTCCTACCCCTCTGATTATCAAGATCAGTTCTCCTCCTTAGAACCAGATCCGCAACTCGAGGAGGGCGAGTCCGGCGCTTCAGTAGACCAATCTCAGCCTGGCGCTGTTGGTACTTGACAAGTTCCTCTGTCGAATGCACCCTCAGTTCATCCATTTGTGCTAGACGGACGGAATAGTTCCACAGCGCGGCCGGGGTGCTCTGTTCAGGACTCCCAACGAGTAACACAGCTGCTTCTCGGGTAGATCGGAATGGGAAAACCGGGCGGTTGGCATTGTAGCCGAAAAGAATCTGCGCTGGGGAGTAACCATGGACCCGAATGCATCGAGTGTTGATAGCCCAAATGATCTCAGGTAGGAACTCCTCCCAATCATCCCTTGTAACACATTTCCGTACCAAACCCCGCTCAATCAACTGGTTGACCCTCTCCACTAGCCCGACACTAGCAGCATCAGACACTGGTGCGGTGAAGTGCACAATACCATTGTTTCTGCAATAATCTGGGGTTGTACCCCCCGTAAAATGCGCACCATTGTCCGTATACAATGCCCTGGGCAAGCCGAACATCGGTTTCACTTGGGTTTCCATGAAATCAACGACCACTTCTGAGCTTGCGGAAGGGACAGCCTTGGCGATCACGAATCTCGAGAAGTAGTCCACGAAGACAAGTAAATACTGGTATCCCGATTTCCGACTGGCTGGCGTAACCTTTCCGACAAAATCAAGCCCGCACATGTCGAATGGTTGTAACTGCACAATGGGCTTAATGCTCACACTTGGGCGCAATGGACCCACCTTCTGGCAAGCCTCACAAGTCCTGACATACTCCTGTGTATCTTTCACTCTAGTAGGCCACCACACGCGACCTACAATGTTCCGTAAGGTCTGTCCCACCGAAAAGTGTCCATGTAGGTCGTGCGCTTTAGTCAGGACGTCCCTGACCTGACCCTGCATTATGCACGGAACCCACTTCCCGTCTGACTCTCGATAGAACAAGTCAATGCCTTGTAACGAGTACCGATGAGCCATATAAATGATTCGGCGTCGGTAATTCTGGTCGCATTCTTCCTCAAAAGTGCGATTTCGTAAGTACCGCACCACATCGATGTACCAGGGATCACCGAGCACTGGGTTGTTTCGAGCTTCCACTGTGAATGCATCAATATCATCCACGGTAGGGTCTGGGATAGACATTGCCCGGGTAGGTATCCTGGACAGTCCGTCGGCAACTGTCATTGTTTTCCCTGGTCGATGGTAATACCTCAGGTTGAACATACTGAGCAATAGCTCCCACCTTGCTACTCGGCCAGAACAGGACTCTTCCTTACCGAACAGGTTAAGAATAGCAGAATGGTCATTGTACACATGTACCAGTTTGCCTCCATACACCCAACTCATCTTATTTGCATAATCCACGGCTCAAACCACGCCCAAAACCTCCTTTTCGGTAGTTGTATACCGAGTTTCGGCTCCCGTGAACTTAAAGCTCAGAAATGCCAGTACCTTTTCCCTACTCTTGTGGGTAGGCTTTGCCTCCTCGCCAGGGCTGAGTCCTTGTACCTGAAAGACGACTGCTCCACTCCCTGTTCCGCTTGAGTCGGAAGCTATATGAATATCCAGGGCCTGATCGGGTCCCGAAATATGTCCAATGCAAACATGTTCCTTCACCTTTTCGAATGCAGCCTGCTTTTCAGCATTCCAGGACCAAGGTTCATGGTCATTCCCCTTCCCCTCTCCACTTACAATCGACTTTTCCTTCGCCTTAGTCGGTTTTCCTGGCCTTTTCTCATTTCCGACACACAGGGCCCTCAATCCCGCAAAACCCGGGACTTTATGTCGATAATATTGCACACTTGCGAAGAACAAGGACACTTCAGCCTGTGTAGTAGGCATTGGCCAGTCCCGAAACTTATCCATCTTCTCTGGGATTGCTGTTAAGCCGTTTTTCGTGATCCGCCATGACAAAATGTCATTGTGATCCTCGAAAATTGTAGACTTATGCGGAGCCAACGACATTAGACTCCATATCACTCGAGTGAAGTACTTGGTTCGGGCAAACTCGAATGCAGTCTCGAAATCAGAAGCTGCATACCCATTATCGTCTTGGTATGGGTAAAAGTCCACATTCCCATGGTCTCCAATGATGGATTTGTGAGGGTCTGGGCCTGGGATCTCACCAAATGTGTAGTCAACAAGCTGCGCATAGAAGTGCGGACCGTCCGTCACTCCTTGAGGCATGCGCAGATGATAATATACCCCAAAAGGGGTGACAAATCCCAGCAGCGGCACTGTCTCTTCAGTAGCGCCAATGCTCCAGAATGCATTTGACCCGTCTCCTCCAAACCATACCATCATCCCTGGTTTAGCCAGACCCGTAATAACAGGCTCAACCCTAGGGGCTGGGTAGTGAGCCTTGATGGTCACAGCATTCAATGCCATGAACGGGTGGGTCATCCGAAAACTCCCATCCTTCTTTGGAACCAACTTGACACCAGCAATGAATCTCCCTCGTTGCTTAAACAGCTCAGGGGAGACATTCCTAGAGTGGGTAATGAACCCTGCCTCTTCCATCAACGGTAGGGTCTTGCGGAACCACTCTTGCTGTTCAACACTCCAGTTTCGCACTTTGATCTTTGGTGGGCGCGCTCCTGGTTCCAATACAATGTGAAACTGCAGTAAGTCGGTTTCTTTTGTACAGCGAATGTTCCGGGCCCAGGCGTCTTGGTATGTGAACAGCAAGCGCTTGACTCTTTCCTCTCTTTCTGGCGTATTTACCAGTGCACCCATTTTGAACTGCATGCTTTCGCACCAAGCATCAATCACTCCCATACTGACCTGACTTAGGTCCCGTACTTCTGGTCTCCTCTTCACAGGATAATGCTGAATGCCAATCCGATGTCAAATCCGACCAGTAGAGACCTCTCTCTCCACCACTCCATCGCTGGTCCCAGCCAGCATCTCATATCCTTTGTTTCTCGAGGTTTTATCCAGTTGAACCTCACTAGTCCTCCCCTTCTCAATCCTTTCACTCCCATCCTCAGCACCACTCAATGCGCTCGTAACACCTTCCACCACAAGCGCAGCCCGCAACTTCATAGCGACCAAGGGACTAATGGCCGCCGAAGGAAAATCCTTAGGGTTAGGGTTATCCTTCGGATTCCCATCCGGCTCATCATCCGTCTCGCTTTTGGAGCTTCCAGCTTCCACAGTGATTGAGGATATATCCTCATCATCGAACCCCCTCATGCGGCGAACATCCTTGGTCAGGGCTACCTCAACAATGAAGCAGTCGGTATCACTTTCTTCTTCCAAGTCATAGTCATCGGCGCTATCCTCTTCATCTCCAGAATAGTCATCGTTTGACTCTTCGTTGTCGACCCTATAGCTGCCGCGGGCAATCCCCTTTGTCACAGCCTCCTTCGGCACATTGACCATTCGATTGGGACATACATCTGGGATGTATGTAGGCACTATACCCCCAACCGGAGCAACAACATGCCCAATATTGTCCTTGCCGCGGATGATATAGTAGTCATCCTCAAAGGAAGCCCAAGCTTTACACTGGATCAACCAGCTCTTGCTGAGTAAGGCTCGATACGACTTCCTGGTATGAAGGATCCAGAACCGGACCCTTTGTGTAACAGAAGACACAGTTACCATTGCCTCAACATACCCTTTGAGTGCAATCCATCTTCCATCCGCCACACGAATAGACATGGTCTCATCCTCAATAAAGGTAAGTCCGAGAATGTCGATTTCCGACTGATGCATCAAGTTCACCATCGAACCGCCATCAACAACTAGCTCAATCGCTGTTCCATTGACTTTGGATGCCGCCATGAACGTTTTCGGTACCAATTCCTGCACCTCGACGATTTTTGCCCCTGGGAAACAGGTTCCATCGACAGCATAGGCATTAGCCACATACATCCCATCAGCGCCAACCTTCTTCTTCCTTACAACCTTGGGCCTAGACGACTTCAGGGCATCCAACAGGATAGCCCTACCCCGCGGACTTTCGTCAAGGTACTGCATATATGACATATGCGGACCCAAAGTTGGATCCCTCATTGCCCCGAGAAGATCAAACGGTGTCACTCCAGCCATACCCTTGATCGGGTATCGGATTGCCGCCTTCTTCTTGCTTGTCGCTTTCGGCTGCCTAAGGGGTTCCACCGGTTCGTCGCCTTCATTCATAAGGTCTTCTATATTGACCCTTTTCCTAGGGTTCGCTTCAGCAGCGAAGACCTCAGCGCTACGACGCGCCTCAATCAAGTAAGACTCCCGGATCTCCCGGACAGCCTCGTCCAGCTCTTCCGGGGACGCCTCATCAGCTGTTCCCACGGGGCCTGTTCCCACGGTCATGTCCTCATCATGGCCTCAACCATGTAGGACTCTTTGTTGAGGTTGATTCCCATTGGATGGGCTTCCCCATTGGCGTCGAAACCTCCTGCTTTCAACCCTAAGAGCCGCTTTTTCCTGAACATCAAGGGGTGGGTGTGGGCAGTCCGGTTTAATATGCCCGACTTCGTAGCAGTTGTAGCAGTTAACAGGCTTCGTATCCCTCATGGGTTGGCCTTGGATGCGAGCACCTTGAGGTTGGAATCTGACGGATTGACCTCTGGTTGCATTCCCATTGCCAACGTTGTTTGCCCAGCCGCTCCCTGGGTTATGAGGGACCTGCCGAGCACGAAGGTTCTCATAGTTCATCCTTAGTTCCTGCATTTCTTTCTGCAGGCCACGGATGATGTCATTGGAATCAGACTTCGAGGATCCCACGCTACTGCCAGAGGCCGAGTGTGTCTCGGACAAAGCAGGCATATCCGTCACTCGGGGAGCCCTGTGTTGGCCACTGTGCGGGATGGCTTTCGCGGCTGCTGCCTGCCAGAGCTGTGACATCTGGTTCGAAGCCTTCAAGACATCCACCATAGCGCGCGCTCCACTCGCCTTCTGAGCACATTCAATAACGATTTCCAAAGAGAGACTAGGGCTATTGAGGTCAAGGTCCCTGTTAGAAAGGTTCCATGACGTCATTTCCCGAATCCTCTCATCAGCCAGCCCACCGATGAACTGAACCGCCAGCAAGTTCTCGAGACTGGATGGGGTACGGCGAGCAAGGTCCCGGGTCTTCTGGAGATACTCAGCCAGTGTAAGGTCTCCTTGGCACCAACTGTTCAACTGACTGACAGCTTTACGCTGAGCCTCATACTGAGGCTCCCCAGTAGAGTGAAACCTCGAGATAAATGACTTGATCAACTCCTCATAATCCTCAAGTAACTCATCCGTTTGGTCATTCAACTATAGGGCGGCAGGAGAGTTAGGGACCAAGTTTGACTTGAAAGCTTCGAGCTTCCAATCCGCAAGATATTCTTCGTCATTGATGCTGAAACGAAGTCCCTTTTCAGCCACATTGAGCGAGCGCATATAATCCTTGGGCTTTTCCCCCGGATAACCGCTAAACTTCCTGACCGTGGTGACCATGTGGGGATTCATGTGACCTGACATGGTCGGCAGAGGAGGGGTGTTCGTACTGATTGTCGACGAGCCTGAGTTGTTGCTGTTGTTGTCTGACGACACTGTTGCTTTCAAAGGTGTCGACGTAATGGTTAACTGAGTAAATGCTGTTGATAGGTCTTCGACCAAAGCAGCGGGACTAGGTTGGAAAGGGGTTTCAGGGGTTGAAAAGGGGTCAGGGGTAACTTCTGACTCGACACAGTTGTAGGGTAAATGCTCTAGGAGAAGAGCAGCTGATAATTCGTCCGCCAGTGTACGGAACCGACGACCTCGACGATGTCTTCCTATGCTGAAGACTTGACCACAACGCAAACAGGGGTGGGGTAAGAGGCAAACTGCTCTCCCGAACCGCACAGGTGACTCAGACACTCAATAAATGCTCTTGTTACGACTGACCGAGCCTCACCGAGACCGCCAAATCTGAAGGCAAAGTATCTCGGAGCTAACAAAGCAGTGTATTGGGTATTGGTAAGGTCTAGGAGTAAGCCCCCTCGACGACTAGATATAGGGTAAGAGCCCTGACTAATCCCGAAACGAAATAGTGCGCCCACACCGTTAGCATGCCACCTGGGGCAGGGAAAACTCATGCTAGGGCTGAAACAGACCCTGCATCTGGTACGTCTTCCCTAACACCCGACGTCGTACGAACAAAGGCGTTCAAAAGGATGGCCGGTTGAGGTTCCATATCATCCAACCCTGAGCAAAACCTGTGCTCTGATTGTAGTCAGCTGTTGGAGGTGTCTGTTAGAACGGTTCTTTGACTGGTGGTCATGATTGCGTAATTTGAACTCTGAGCGATGACGACGACCGGCCGCGGTGTGTTATGTTGGGAGTGAGTCGCAGATGTAACCCTAAAACCTCAAGCAGCGTAGTATGTGACTGGCAGCATGTCTCCGCCGAGAATGTCGGTAGCGGGCCATGTAACGGTTACCAGATCGAGTCAGCCGGGCCCAGATATATTGGGCCGAATCAAGGCTGCCGAATTCCGCGGAGTTACAAATGACCCGAATGCAAAAATCTCGAATACGAGGCAGATGAGATAATTTACACATGTGAACGAAAGTTAAACATGGAACAACGTGATTCGTTGTATCGTTACAATCTTCAAGCTTCAATGGCAACTGTTTCCCTTGAAGTGCCCCATTTATGGCCCATGCGGACGAAGGTGCGGAGCGAGCACACTACGGTCCGTTCAGGGTTCGCCGAAGCCCGGTACGATTGCGCGATAAACCTGCTTTCGTGATGCTCGCGGTGAATACAGAGGTCCCGAGAATGTTGTCTTGACATGGCTGGGACCAGTCTCCCGATGCCGAGCTGAAGGATCCTAGATCCGGCGAATTGCAAGCGTGCACGACATCGGACCGTGATGGTATGTCCTAACCTTGGTAACCATCATGGAGCGTTGCTATTTACGTCATCTCACCGTGTATTTCTGCCTGTCCTACGCAGCTTGCATTGGTTCCATGGTTGGTTGAGCATGTGGTGCTCAGGGTTCATACACAAGGGTTACCTCTATCAGGCGACTTACCCTCGGATGTACCTTTCACCTCTCAGCACCATCAACTTCACTGATCGAGAAACACACGTCTTGGGAGGAGGTGTGGTCCTGCGATGAAATATATTTGCCGAGCGAGGGAAGTCTTAAGCGGACTTAAGGAGCATATGAATCGGTGATTCCCTACGTTGTTGACGTCCGTCCTGGAGGGGTGGGGTAGGACCGGCCTTCGCATCGGTTGAATTAACCTGCCAGTGACCATATGGATGATGCACGAACATGCCCTGGAATGGATCCCACGCGATCGCCGAACCAGTCTACGGCAATGCCAACCATACGACCTCCCCGTGTGCTAACGGACCGCGGTTGGGATGCCATGCGCTATGTACGCAACTCGAACCTCAGTAACAGCTGTGTTCGTGCTTCACTTCTCATCTTTGCGGCTATAAGAAGCTCACACCTTCATGTTCTTTTCTCTCCTGACTCAGACTACAAAACAACACCTTCACCGGAACATGATTTCCACCCTCATCATCCTGCTCGTCGCCCTCGTCAGCGTCATCGCTGGCAACGAAGGTTATCCAAAACTTACTTTCCCTGCAAGAGTACCATTTGGGAACGAGAAAACAGTGAAGTACTCCATCTCGAAGCGCACTGCTGGGTCGAACCTTTCCTCCGGTGATCTCGGCAAGCGCCAGAGTTTCGATGCTCCCATCTACATGCCCTCAGTCGCTCCTGTTGCATACGCCGGATACTTCATCAATAGTAAGTATATCGTTGGGAATGTCTTCATCAACCCTTTTTGACAACAGGTCGCGTCAGTTTCGATTGGAACCCCACCTCAGAATATTACCGTTCAACTTGACACCGGCTCGACCGACTTATGGGTCAAGTCCCCCAGCATCCCTCAGTGTGAAGCCGGCAATTGCACTTTGGGCACATACGATTCCTCGAGCTCCTCAACTTTCAACAACCTCAGCGAAGCCTTCTTAGTCCAATATGGAGACTACACCTACGGGCAGGGTACTTACGCTACCGAAACGGTGGTCATCGGCAATGACACAATCACAAATGTCACGTTTGGATATGCCACAGCTGCAAACTCAAGCGAGAGTTTGATGGGGGTTGGTCTCGAAGGAACAGAGGGTTCAGCTACGTTTACGTACCCTACTATCGTGGAGGACCTGTACAACCAAAGCCTTATCGAAAGAAAATTCTTCAGCCTTTATTTGAACGACTTCGACTCCGGCGTAGGTGAGATTATCTTTGGAGGAGTCGACAACGACAAATTCGAAGGCGACCTTAGCGGACCTTTCCCAATCCTCGCAAACCCGGCTACTGGGCAGGTGGAACGTTATGTGATCCCGCTCACAACCTTATCCCTCACTATCAACGGCTCTGCTTCGAATGTCACAGGCTTACCTCTTGACGTCTTACTCGACAGTGGCGGGCAATACTGCCAGTTTCCCCCGGACCTCGTCGACTATGTGGCTACTGCCCTTGGTTTGAATTCTTCTGAAGAGGCAGGCGGCATGTACTTCTGCCCCTGCGATCTCTCTGTTCCCAGCAGCGATGACACAACGGATAATGTGCTTTCCTTTTCTTTTGACAACGGCACAAGTTTCGTCAATGTTCCCTTTCATGAGTTGATTGTACCCGCTGCTGATAATGACGGGGCTCCGCTTGTGGACGAGAACGGAAATCCAGTATGCCAATTGGGTTTGACGTATGGAGGCAGCACCGATTACTCAGCCTCCTACATTCTCGGCGATCCCTTCTTGCGCTCTGCATACGTTGCCTACGACATTGACAACCTCAACATATATGTTGGACAAACAGTCTTCAACTCGACTACCAGCAACATTACGGTGTTTCCTGTGTAGCTAGTTATGAGCGGCTGTGTTGTGATAATTCCATCGGAATTTACACGTTTCTTCTTGACTGGGTGGAGTATTGTCTTTACTCTTTGATTGCATTCAATATGAATTTTATAGTTCAATGAACCTTTCTTGTTCTGATCGACACGCATCACTTTTTCTTGGCCGCTCAAGAAGCATTTGGCCCCCTTGTCTCTTGATTCTTTGGAAATCACGGTCTTTGATGTTTGATGGAATAGTTCAATGCGTTGTTGAGCTTCTCTGTCACTGTCTTTGTGCCTGTGACGCCTAAGCTCAAGGCAACGTATACCCACCATCAATAAGCACGTCACTCCCCGTCTGGAAACTGCTCGCATCACTCGCGAGATACAAATACAACCCCTTAATCTCCTTAACATCTCCCTGCCTCCCAAGCACACTCATCCTATTCGCCTCATTCTCCGCCTCCGTACTCGCTCCCATCTTGGTCTTGAAGAAACCAGGGCTAACCACGTTGACACGAGCGAACTCCCGCCATTCGCGTGCGAGGGATTTGCCGAGGTGTGTTACGGCTGCCTTTGAGGCATTGTAGATCGGTTGGTCGACGGGAACGTTGACGATGTGTGCGGACATGGAGGAGGTGATGATGAGGTTCCCGCGGCCCTGGCGTTTGAAGACCGCACCGGCGTATTTTGCGCAGTAGACGACGCCGTCGAGGTTGACGGACATTTGTTTGCGGTATTCCTCGAGGGAGGTTTCGAGGAGGGGCTTGGAAATCGCCATTCCGGCGTTTGCGACAAAGACGTCAATTCCGCCAAAGTCCTTCACGACTTCATTCACACCAGCCTCCACCTTCACTGGGTCAGTAACCTCCACTTGATACGCTTTCGCATTGATCCCGTGCTTCTTGGCCAAAGCTTCTCCCTTCTCAATCGCGGCTGGGTTGGAGTTGTACCACAGTGCCAGATCAGCGCCGGCTTCGGCCATTGCCTCTGCCACGGCGAACCCGATCCCGTCGGCAGCGCCAGTGATGCAGACAGTGCGGCCTTTGAGGGAGAGTTGGTCGAGGACGTTGGTGGGGGTGTGGGGGACGGGACGGGAGGCACGGGGTTGAGCGCAGTCTTCGACGGACATAGACATCTTGACGGAGTGATCTTTGGACTTTAGTGAAGGATTGATTGATGGAAGAGGATAGATATCGATGGAATGGGACGAGGCTTATATACTCGAGGAATGGGGATGTCGAGGACTGGTGGGGTTATTCAATAAGGGGGGCCATTGGTGGTGATTTACGTCACAGCTGCTGCTCCGCGCTCGGAACAATGATTGTCCGAGGAGCGCGAGCGGATCTCCCGCTCAACACTGCAGCGGCCGCGGCGCGGCGCGACGAAGGCAAATTCGAAGAATGTCAAGCTTAACACCAATGATACAATACAACGTGTTCTACTTGCCAGTGTACTGTACCCCTACCAATGATCTCAAATCTAACCGCCAGGTCTAGAATCCAACAAACGTTCGATGTCAGTTTTCGAACCTTGATGCATATGCCCAACATTATGAGTATGGTACCCAGGAGGCCCGAATATAGATGCCCATCTCCCAAAGCTTGATGCATGGTATTGTTTATCTGATAGGCTAAGTAATACTCAGCTTGCATCCGAAAGGAGTCATCTTACGGTTGCCAAGGCTTCGTGGGAAAAATATGGGTGTCATATTTTACGTGATATGACTCGGTCGCATGACTCGATGTAGCACAACAAGATCAGTCGCACAGCTCGTCAGCATGACCAGCCCTTTGCCCCGTCTTACCGGGATAATAATGCACTGCAAAACAAACACAGCAGCCGACTCAGGTCAGCGTCCACGAGCAACCCCGACATAAAAGGATTACACTGGCTGTGGGCGTTACGTCTCAAACGAGGGTTAGGCGTGTGATGAACGGGGTCCGAAACGACAAGTGATCGATTATCGAGGCTGCTTGCATGTCGCGTTGAACTTACTAAGATATGTGCTACGTGATACTGTCCAACCTTATGGACGATTCCCGGGTTGGACGGTCAGCTCCGGACAATCGAAAGAAAGAAAAACATTTATTGATAGTAGCCACCCATATAGACGAGAAAAACCTGCATTCCAGCCCAAACCAAACCAAACCCTCCGAGTGTCGCCATGTCAGTACCATCAATATATTGCAAGACCAGCATGCATAGATAGTTGCCATCCTCATCTTGCCCATACGGCTCAATAAATTCCATCGAAGGACAAGTTCTTGCCCTCATCAAACGAGAAAGCAACCATGTTGTTATCAGAAGTTTCACGGCTGGAAACAAGTCGCACAACCCGCCGTACATTCCTCCGTCCAAAAGATCAGAGGGCAGCCCCATCGCAGTCACGACTGTCCACGAAGTGTTCAGGAAGACCACAGAAAAAGACGCCACCATCCAGAATCACCGACAAAGGCGCTGTACTATTGACAAGATCAGTGGACTCTCCAGAGACGATGATGGACACGTCCGTCACATTGATCGCGTATTCAATGACTACATCATCATACAGTTTGAGCATCGAGAACGGACGGGGAAGCACGTCTTCCTCGTACCTGTTATTATCGATGCCTCCGAAGTTTATTTCCCCAATGCCTGCATCGCGGTCGTTTAGGTACAGACCGAAAAATTTCGCGTCGATATATTTTTCATCATAAAAGAGGGGACGGCGGTCGCACTCTTGTTTGGGCCTTGCTAGCTATAGCTACGGATCATCGCTAAACGCTTCCCAGTTACTATACCTCCAATGTGCTCACATCCATTTCTTCGTACCCTTCTCCCTTTCCTCACGAACGACCTCTCGAAACAGCCATACAATCCAACGTAGCAGGAGGCCCAAACGCCGTATCATGTATAACAGCCTCCTCGAAACCCGACCCCCCTTAACCCCCTATTTCCATGACCATATAACCCCATCATATCTCCAGAGTCATTCCTTTCTCATTCAATATCTCATCCCGCTTCATAACGATGACCCGCGCACCGCTCCTCCTCCTCCTCCTCCACGTCCTCGGCACAAGCCTTCTCAACGGGGAGGTAGTGACGACCGCGGTATCCACCGTCACAGCCCCCGCCTCCACCTTGACAGTGACGTCCACGCTTGGCGATATCGGCGCCGTCTCGACGACTGCAATTCCGAAAGGGCACTTGCGCGTCGAGGTGGCCTCATCTGCGGTCTCCGCGCACTCCCCTTCCACCACTACAATCTCCAGTTCAATTCCATCATCGCTTTCGTCTTCCTCGTCGTCAGCATCAGCGTCAGAAGAAGAGGCCACGACCTCCAAGAACTCAACCGCAACCGTCTACGTCCCCAAAGAAGCCATCGCCATCACTATCCAAACCGCGAATGCCGACGTCGGTGCGAACGCGTATGGAGGAGCGGCCGCTGCGGCTGCTGGTGCGAGGAAGCACAATGACGAAGGTGCAGGGAAGTTTCTTGTTTTGACAGGGGTTGTGGGGGTCGTTGTTGGGGTTGGGATGGGGTTTGGGTTTTAGAAAGCCACGGGGAAGATGGGGGGTGAGGATTGAGGTGAGCGTCGGGTACGTGGTGGAGGGAAGGCTGATTCACAGAACGTGATCTTAGAGTTTATTTTAGCGATATATACCCTTGAGCACTTACATACGTTGGACTGCCTATAATTCTAATTCTTATTCCTTGAGCTCTGAGGACTTTGGGTTCCCACGCTTTCCCGGTCCGTCGCTTCGCTACGTCGGTGTACATGATGCTGCACCCTGATCGTCCTCCCATTACTTTACGAACTGGAAAGTTCAAAGATAAGAATTGCCGAGATAAGGCAAAGCCGGGGTTCGATTCGCGTCAGGCCATGGTTACCGATCGTGCCTTGCTCAGGTTGCAGCGGCGTGGTGACGTCTCTTATCTACACTCTATGGATCTCCCAACGCTGTGCATATAAGTTACTCTTCCTGCCCTTCCATAGACTCCAAGTTACAAACCATTATAACAAAGAACCAAACTTCTGCCACTTCACCGACCACAATGGAATTTCCCACCGAACCAGTCGCCCGCGGCGTTGAAATCCCGCAAAAGAAGGAAAACGAACTTTCTGTTGAGCAGATCCAAGAGATGACCGACAGTGGGTACCCAGTTTTCTGCGCAAAGTGGATCAGATGCTAATGGTGAGTGCGGCGAACAGATGCTTCTAAACACATCAAGGAGGGTGAGGCGAAGGGGAAGGGAACGGAGATTCAGCCGCCAAAGGATTTCAGGCCAGGGATGAGTGATGACCTTTGAATGGCGACATTACTTGAAGACGAGAGAAGACGAGGATGGGGATGAGTTTCGAACTTGCCATTGAGATGTTTACGACAGGAACGACGTATGAGTTAGGGATGCAAAGACAGAATGATACCACGATTGCAATATCCAGATTCAGCGCTCATTTCCTGCATGTTCGCCGTTATTGCTTTTACACGAGTCCATGTTCGAGAGAAGATGCGCGTGTGAGAATCTGGTATGAATTTCGATGACAACGTGATCCACTGTGGATCCCCAAAGACTTCCATAGCATCGCGGACAGCAGATAACCAGACAACACGAAAACACTTCACAGAATCTAAAACCAGACAACGAGATAAAATTCTACACTTACGCCGCCTGCGTAGCACGTCCCGTCCTCCCAAATCCCTTCGTCCCCAAAACATCAATCCTGCCCAAATCAAGGTTGCCCGCACCAGCAGGCTTACCCAAGAACCCAACACTGATCAAATACATCAAACTCTTCCTCGTGTTCTCCGCAGGACCATACCCAAGCTCCTCCCAACTCTCCCTCTTCGCTCCACGACGTGCGAATTGAGCAAGTCCACCATCACGGATCCGCTCCAAGAGGGGAAAGAGAGGGTGGCCGAGACCTTGCTTCTCGATGTCGTCTTCGAACTTGGACATCCAGGTCTCGGCGTCGACGGGTTTCAAGTAGTAGCCGGCGGCCTTCATGACCTCGTACCACCCATCAAAGGATACTTCCTGGTTAATGGTGTGGATGAGCGATTCCGGTGCGTTGCTCAATTTGTGAAGGATCACATCCGCAACAACATCGACAGGAGTCATGTTCGTCCACAGCTCCGCATCCTGCTGGTAGATACCCATCTCAATCGCACACTTTGCCAACCTCCAAATGAAATCGTCCGTGTTCGACACACCTGAGTCACTTGCACCCACGATGAATCCAGGACGGACTACGTAGACAGGATACCCACGTTGATGTGCAACCTGACAAACACCCTCAGCGACGTACTTTCCATGAGCGTATCCGTCAGCGGCGACCAGCGCAGTTTCGTTATCCTCAACATCAAGCGGCGCCTGTCCACCACCACTGATAAAGACGACATGCTTGACATGCCTGGAGGTCATGGCGGCCAGTACCACATCCCTTGTACTCACTGCATTCGGCGCCTTCAATGCTTCATATGGCTTGACCCAATGCACAGCCGCTCCGTTGTGCACGATGCCCGTAACATCGCCCGCACACAACCTCTGCCAAAGCTCATCCGACAAGCCGATCCTGGGCGCAGCAAGGTCGCCTGTCCAGAACTCAACACGGGATTCGTATTCGTCTTTCCAGTACAGCGCGGCCTTGGCGGCGGACACAATACGTTCGCGGGCCTCGGATTCGGTGGATGCACGGACGTGACAGATAACCTTAACACTCGGGCGACGGAGGAGTTGACGGAGGATGAAGGTTCCCAAGAATCCTGTACAACCCGTAACGAAGATCGTTTCCTTCACCTCGCCCTTTACCAAGTGCGAGGCATCGAACTTGTCCTTCGGAAGAACAGCGGAGAGGTCCTCGATCTCAGCGGCAAAATAAGCCCTGAGTGAGGTCCTCTTCGCACTCTGACTCTCCGGTGCCAACTTAGCCTGAAGAGCCGCTGCCAATATCCTGGGCGTCGCCGTCTCGGCCAAAATCTCGCTAGCAGGGACAGCAACACCAAACGTTTTCCTCACAAATGCAGAAACCTGCACAGCAGTGATCGAGTCAACACCCACCCTTGCCAACTCAAAGTCCCTACCCTTCAGAATGTCGTTCTTCAAGATTTCCGCAACGCCCTCACTGATCTTCCTCGCGTCTTCGTCCTCCTCCCGGAGATCAGCCAACCCAGCCAGCCTCTTCTCCTTCACCATCTTCTCCGCAATTCCCTGCATCGTCTTGAAATCCTTCTTCCCCGTAACACCCATCGGCAAAGCCTTAACCGGAAACATCTCCACAACAAGATGCGAAACACCCTCCCTCTTCAATGCTCCGTTAACCGTACTCCTCAAATCCTCTGGATCAGCCGAGTTAGGCGCGGGAACATACGTGACAACGACTTGACTCCCCACAGCAAGCGTGATCAAGTCGCCTACGCGGACGGCACCCATGATGAAGGTATCATACCAACTAAGGTCGACAAAGACCCCATTCATCTTGATCCTCCTTCCCGTCCTTCCACCCACAACAAACGTCCTCTCAGTCTTCTTCACTCCATAATCCGCAAACAAAACCACCTTCTCTCCATTCTCCGTAACACGGAAAGTGTCTTTGGCGTCGATAGCACTCTTCTCATCCCCGTCGACGCAAAGGTAAGGTTCATTCCCCGCATCCGTAACAATGCAAATCCTCCCCTCCGTTCTTCCTTGATCAACAATGACCTTGCCCGGCTCATCGTTCTCAGGATCAACATACAGAATCCTGTTCACAGGCCAATTCGGTTCATAGACACATTCCTCAAAGTCGTCTTCCTCACCGGGCGCGACATCGCACCTGAAATTCGCGCAGTAGCACTCAGAAGACCCGAACATGGCCGAAATTCTGGCACGAGGAAACGCAGCCCGGAGCTTAAACAGCGTAGGCTTGACCAGCGCCTCTCCTCCCGCAAACGCAACCTTAACACCCATACCCTCACCAGGCGCCAACAACCCAGCCGTCATCGACAAAATCGTTGGAGTACCGGTAACAACGTCCGCGCCCCTTCTAATGGCATCAATCATTCTCCTTGCCGCTTTCTCGCCCGGAGACAACTCAACCAACGGTCCCTTGCCTGGCTGCACCTCCTGAGACGAGGCGGGGGGAGGAGTGGGACCGGGCAACACGAACCCAGATCCACTGACCATCACGAACCCCAAGAACGCGCAGGTCATGGCGAAACCTGGCGCTGCGACCAAGCCGTACATCGCATCGACCGGGTATGATTTGCCACGAACTTCACAGTATGCTGCAAGGGTGGCGGAGAGAACGGGGACGGACTTTGGCACACCAGTCGAGCCGGAGGTGGTGATGTACAGCGATATCTCACCTGGCCCGCGCCACTCCCTCTTTGTCCTATCCGACTTCTCTCTCGTAACGACCACGCCCAAATCATATATATCTACGCCTTGCACCTGAGACTTAGGTGTCGCATGGCTATATAGGACTCTTTTGATCCCATGCCTCTCCAGAATCGTCTTCGTGATCGCCGAAGACCATCCCAGATTCAAGGCGAGGAATGAACGGCCGGTCATCCAGCATGCAAGGGAGGCAGCGACCCAGTCCGGTTCCAGGTCCATGTGAAGGCCGATACACTCATTGGCAGTGCAAGGAGAAGCGTCAAGGAACTCCGCGATCGCCCCTGCTCTGGTCACGACCTCTTCCGCCGTCAAAATGAGTTCATGTCCTTGATCGTCTCGAGTCTTGATAAAGTGGAAGTTGGGCTTGGCGTCGGTAAAGGTAAGGAAAGCGGGAAGGGGGTGTTGAGTTTGGATGGTCATAATGTTGGATGATACTGGTCGTTGAAAGGGCGGTATAGGTAGACCGTATGATATTCGTGAAGTAGATGTAGGTGTGTTTGGATTAGGTGATGCTCGACGATCGGTAGGAGCCTCTATCGATGGGAGGGTAAGACCACGTCGACGACTGTCCTCTTATACCAAAATCCCATGCCTTGGCATCATACCTCGGCATCAACACTCCGGATCACCTCTCACACATCAACAAAGCCTCCAACATACTTTCCACCTATCCCCGACACTACTCCATACCCCTTAACACCACCATATCTTGCGGCAATATGTCGTATACACATGCACGGTTTCTCCGGAACGGAACCGCTCTCTCACCCGTTCCACTCTCGATATGCACGGATCAAAGCCAAGCGGCCAATGAGCCTCAGTATCCCCTTAACTTCACTGGCATAACCGAGGGACCGTACACGTACTCATCTTTCCCCGCACGTCATCCTGTGCCCACAAAACACCACCATGTCCGAGCTCGGTCCTCATGGGGAACGGTGTTAACCGGAGTTTACCTCGGCTCCGTCTAACCACCTCCATCCGTAGTCGTTGTCATGAGCTCCTAGGGCCTTGGTTCGAGGTTTGGCAGTTTCGAGTTGCTGATCACCTTCCTTCATGGTGGTTAGTTTGGTGTGTTGCTGCAGTGTGCGCTGTGCGTGGTTGAATAGCGTCGGTTATTTCGGCCCATTTTGAGCTCAAATGGGGTACGGGAATAGCGACAGTTGCCCGAAATTGGTGACGGCCGTGGGATGGTATGAAGAGCATCTGATGTGCGGTGATCAGGAGAATTCATATCCGGCGGATCCGGATATCGAAGCTGGTTTGGCTTGGCTTGGCCGTTGACGTTGTACGTCAATTACGGGGATACAGGACATAAGACAAAGGTGCCATGGAGACCGGTTCCGGCTGCCCGTTGCTTCGGCTGCATAGCATACGTATACATACAACCCTTATCCGCAACATCGAGCAATCTGAGGCAGGCGGTTTATGCTTGCAGTTGACCGTCGACGACGAGGCGCGGGTTGGCGATGCAAGTCGAGATGGGCAACATCGACGGTCGTCGTCACGTGAACTCAACAATTGCGAGGCGATATTACAGAATACACAAACTCCATTTCCTATCATACTTTTTGAACGACCGTATATCTTAGCCTATTACTTCCCCAAGAAAACTTGAATGAGTGTCCAGACACTCTCCCATCATCCCCAATACTCAAAAGTCTAAAATCCAGCTACGCAAACGAGACGCTTACTGGAGCTTAGCCTTAAGCAAGTCCTTAAGGACAATAGCATCAGCAGCGAACTTCCTGATACCCTCAGACAACTTGGAAACAGCCATCTCATCCTCGTTGAACTCGAATCTGAATTTGGCCTCGTCATCGACGAAAGAGACCTTCTCCATCTTGTCGTTAGCAGCCTCCTCAGACTTCAACTTCTGCTCCACAGGCTCCTCAGAAGCAGCCAACTCCTTAAGAAGGGAAGGAGAGATAGTGAGGTAATCACATCCAGCCAACTCCTTGATCTCACCGATGTTACGGAAAGATGCACCCATGACGATGGTCTTGTATCCGTGCTGCTTGTAGTAGTTGAAAATCTTGGTGACGGACAAGACTCCGGGGTCCTCGTGGGACTCGTACTTCTTGCCACCGTTCTTGGCCACGTAGTAGTCGAGGATACGGCCGACGAAGGGGGAGATAAGGGTGATACCAGCCTCGGCACAAGCGATGGCCTGGACCTGGGCGAAGAGGAGGGTGAGGTTACAGTGGATATCGTGCTTAGACTCGAGCTCGCGAGCGGCCTGGATACCCTCCCAGGTGGAAGCGATCTTGATCAAGATACGGTCCTTGTCGATACCCGCCTCCTTGTAGAGGTTGATCAAGTGCAAGGCCTTGTTGATGGTGGCCTGCTTGTCGAAGGAAAGGGAGGCGTCGACCTCGGTGGAGACACGGCCGGGAACGATCTTCAAGATCTCCTTACCGAACTCGACGAGGAGGCGGTCGAGGGTGGCCTCGACCTTGTCCTCGAGGGAACCGTCGTGCTTCTTGCCGTACTCGACGGCGGCGTTGACGAGGGGAGCGTAAGCGTCGGATTTGGCGGCGGCGAGGATGAGGGAAGGGTTGGTGGTGGCATCTTGGGGCTTGTACTCGGCGATGGTGTTGAAGTCACCGGAGTCGGCGACGACGACGGTACCGGTCTGCTTAAGGGCGTCAAGGGCGGAAACCATTTTCTAGACGATAGGATTAGAACGAGATCAAACGAATCAAGCACAGATCAGAACGTACATTTATTTTTGACTGTGTTGGTCTTTGATGGGGATTCAAGGTCGAGATGGATGATGCGCAGTATTTCTACGGGGGTTTGTCATTAGCGCGGGAACTGGTTGGGCCTTGCTGGCTGATACGTCAGATAGCACCCCAAGCAGCGGCACCGCCCGGGATGAACACGGAGGCGAACTATTAGCCGCGCCTGTTTCCAAGGATGGCTCCGGGTAATTCGAAGATACGTTGGCAGAGGGTAAACGTTCTGATAAACGGTATCTATACTGGAATAACTCGACTCCCTGCGCCTGCGGTTAGCATGCTCAATCACGATATCACCAGGTGCGGTCACAGTCTTCTGGACCGCGGAGCGACGACCGAGGATGTAAGCACCGTACCCATGGGCCATGCATAACCGAAACCCAACCCCAAATAACCATACAAACACGAGACCCTGCGAGTTGTGTAAACAGCCGAAGCTATCCTCGGCACTCATCCTATACCGTAATACCTCAACCCAGAATCCCAACTGTGTCACAGTTAGCATGAGTCAAGGCCGTGCGCGCAAAAGATTGTCCCACATACCTCATCCGCCTACGGCTTGAACACCCTGGAGAAACCCAATTTATCCTGCGGGTAGAAGTCAGCACGGAGCACTGAAACATTGCACACGCATATCGTCCCACCTTCCAATCTCCTTATACACATCCTGGTATAGCAATACATAACGCCAATCTGTAGGAGGCTGTCAGCACGGACCGAGTAAGGTACCGTTCCGAAGGTCACTCCCACCTTCCGAACCTGACCTCTCGTCCACATCCGGCATTATAACGATACAAAACGCCAATCCCGACCCTGCGAAGAAAACGTCAGCCTCGAACTCGAGATTCACGGTTGCGCCATCTTCCTCACCATAGTGATCCACCCCAACCTTGTTCCTCCGTTCAGAGAAACACCTCCCCCTCCTCCTCCCACACCCCCTCCATCCTTCCCAACACCTCACAAGCCATTTTCTCCGCAACACTCCTACACCTCCTCTCAACATCCACACTATCCAACACCGCCGCTTCCTTCCTCTCATCTCTCACGCCACCCAAACCGGGCTCAAGCACAACACCGCCCAACTCCAACCTTCCCATGGACTTGGAAGTCTTGAGTACACGCGGTCGAGCGACAGGACCAAAATGCTCGTCGACTTTGGCTTTGAGGTCGCCCATGCTTTTCGTTGTCGCAATATTCTTGTTTTTCGTGGGAGACCAATTGATGCCGTGATCGCGGTGATCGGCACTGTTACCGCTCTTCAAACTCGCACTCGTGGTGTCCAGTTTGAGCGTAGACTTTGTAGACCGACCACTGACAGAGCGATGGCGGAGGTCGTCGAGAGCTTCGTTCCACTTGCCCTTCTCTTTTTTCTCGGACTGAGGTCGAGGCTGGGAAGAAGGGCGAACGACGCAATCAGCAGCGCTACTCCCGAAATGCCTTCCACTCCTCGGGACACGCATAGCATTAGCCTTAGTGGAAGTGGTACTCTTCGTGCTCCCCGAGCTGTTCTGCCTTTTGGGAGCTGGCCGTGTCGTGGGTGCGCAGGTGAGCGTGGGAGTCGCCGGCGCCGACAGGGGTTTGCAGACCGCAACCTTCTGCGGCGAGATGCACTTCACCTCTTGTGCTTGGGTTTGACATCCCACACTCAGACTCTCAACGACATCCTCCGCCCAACTGTTCTCCTTCTTCACAAGCTTGGCTTTAGGCGTACTCTGCGCAACGGGCGTCCCTAACAGTCCATGACCTCCATGACCGCAGACGACACCAGCAGCACGACCCGGTGTCGAAGGCCTGGAGATGTCACAAGAGGGCCTCTCCCTGACAACCTCGACGGACCTCCTCGGCTGAACAGGTATGCGCTGATGATGGTGATGAGACTCAGGCGAATCCTCAACCGTGAAAGACCCGCTTACGACTCTCCCTCTCAATGCTCCATCATCAAAACTCCTCCTCCCCATGCCCTGAACGGTCATACTCACAATAGGTCCCGGTTGCTCCTCCGGACAAGGTCGATAAACGGCATGATTGACGCCACTCGCCCCAGAAGGGACTTGACGGACAACCTTGGGCGTACCCGCGACAGTTGCCACGGTTTCAACTTTCCACTCCCTTCCGCCCTCGTAGGAGACACGGGTATTGGTTTGAGGCATACTCCTCGCTAACGACTCCCTTACGTAGAACCTCCTTTCTTGACCTTCAGTCGCGGTGGCAAACGCACGTTTCGGGTTCTTTGCTGGGATGGGCGGAGGCGACGTAGGAGCGAGAGACTTGGCTTCCTCCTTCACCGCCCTCTGTGCAAGTTCTTCCGCATCTCCTTCGTACGCGACGAAGTTCGGCACACCATCACTGACTTTCCTGGCGGTGGAGAGGGCAGCCCAATTTCCGCTTTCGAACCTGACACGACTGAGACCTTCTTCCTCGTCGCCCTCGCCATACCTCAAACTCAACGTGACACTCCGCTTGCTCATCCGGCTATCCATCCCATTTCGGTACCCAAGCCGGGATTCGGTGACGCGCCCAGGAATGCCATAGTACTCCTCATCAGGATCCCTCTCTCTACCCCTCTCCTCGTACTCATACTCATCATCCGAAAAGTCCGTTTCGTGGTGATCATGGTGCTGCCCCTTGTTCTTCGAATTATTTTTCCGCCCAAACTTGGCCTTGAACTTCAACTTCATCTTCCCCAGGAACTCCTTGACCTGATCCCTCTTTCTCGCACGCCCTTGCCTCTCTTCACCGTATCCAGCCCTCGACGCGCTCCTCGACCTGCGCCCACCATTTGACTGCCTCGAGAACGCTCGGAACCCGCTGCTCCTGCTCATAGGCCGACTTCTCTCCTCCCTGAACACGAACATAGCCCGAGATGGAGCACGCGTAGTAGCCTGTTCACTCCTCTCTTCCAACGTTCCCAAGCCAAGACTCGTGCCCGGTCTATACGCATCCGCACTCCTTCTCATCAACGCTCCATCAGCTGTAGCAGGCCTTCCAGCCCAGTCCCGGGCATCAACGCTTTCACGCATACTATGACTCATACTCGTACTCGGACGTGACTGGGTCCTCATTGCGAAGTCCGTCCCTCCCCTCAAGAAACTCTGACTCCTTGCCTTCCTCATCGCAGGTCGCGTAACACCACTAGCAGTCGTACTAACAGCAGCTTTGGCACCAGAGGCCGCCCATACCGTCGTCGTGGGTTGCGAGTCGCGTAGTCCTGCGATAGGCGACTCGAGTGAATCGTACGAATCGACTTTTCGAAGCGCGGTGTGAACGTTTCGCTGGAAACTAGTCTGAGTACGGAAAGAGGGACGAGAGCTCATCCCAGCTGCACTCATGGGCCTGGCTCGTACTGGACTGGAACCATCATCGGCGGACATGGCACGTGGGCGACTTTGAGGACGTGACACCGGTCCATCGTCGGAGGATGCAATAATCGCGGATAAAGGAACCGAAGCGGTTTTGACTTGCCATACAGCGTTTTCCGGAACGGATCGCAAACCAGCGATAGGCTCTTCCAAACCAGCCAACGCGCTGCTCGGCCTCGAGCTCTTTAGGATCCCCTGGACATTCGCTTGACTGGGCGTAGGGGGCCTACTCCTCCCCTGCACCGACGTAGGTGCAAACCGGACAACTGATCCTCGGCTCATCGGGCGTCCTGGAGGACCAGTGTTCGAGTTTGACGAAGCGGCGAGTGCTCCCATTGCTTGCTGGGCAGCCAGGACGGACAGGCGAGTGGGAGGTGGTGGTTGGCGTGGCATAGTGGATGTATGCGCTCAAAAATGTCTTGATGGGTGTCAAAAAAGGGTATAACAGGTGGTATCAAAGGTGAGTCAGCGGGTATGAGGTTTGCGTAGCTCTTCAGCTAGCGAGAGCGATCACGGAATAAAGAAAAGCGAGAGAAGAGGTAGAGTAAGCGAATGAATGCCGAATTATAAAGAACCTCCACGAACGATAGCAAGATCGCAGTCCCCTGTAAGCAATTCTGAGCGAATGTTACCGTGTAGGCTTCAGTACTCGGTGTTGGTATTGGTGAGATGTCCAATCCTCCCGTGCTGCAAGTCGGCCTCAGCGCCGCTTGTGGGAACGCTCGATTTCCGGGGATAGAGTTCGATCTAGGAAGAAATCAGAACTCAATTGCTATGAAATATTCAAAAAGAAAAGGTATGATATGATAGAAATATATAAGAGATATAGACGATATAAAGCCGAAACGAGCTCCGTCCCGCGGATCAACCCACTCATTACTCCTCGCTGCGCACCGAGCCCCGAATGGAGACACCAATAACCTTTTTTTTCCTCAGGACTACCTCTCCATTTCCCGCATCACCAAGAGTCCAAAATCTTAACGAACTTCATCCTCCCCCTCAGACTCGACCCGCATCTCATGCCTCCTCCTGCTCAAAAACTCCTCCTTCGCAGTCCTTGGCGGCCCCAATTTCAACCAATCCCCAAACTTCCCGCCAATATCTTCGGTAGGATCCTGCCTAACCTCCGCCAACCTCCTCCTCCACATATCAACCGCCCTCGCCAAATACAACGGCCTATCGGCAAAAACGCGGATATTGGCCCAGGCAAGACGCCAGCCGAGTTCGTTGAACATCATCTTAAGGTCGTATTCAGCTTTCTGAACTTCGTCGAGATCTTCGCGGTTGATCCCGAAAGCGGAGCGGAAGAGACAGTGCTTGCGGCGGAAATCATCGGGGATGGCCACCAAGTTGACGTGCGAAACCAAGACCTTGACCCTGACCCTCGCACCCGGCCTCAACGGGTCCGCCATCAAAAGGTACTTTGGCCCAGTCTTCTTGTGAACAGTCTTCATAATCACTTCGGCTTCCTCGGCTCCATCTGCCAGAGCAGTGTCAACCTCCACCTCCCTCTCCGGAATCCCAGCAGCCAGCGCCTCCCATGATCCAAGTTGGTCAACATCCCCCCCAAGCACCGGGATCTTCGTCAACTCCGTCACAACCTTCGCCTTCTTCGGGTTACCAACCTCGTCCTCCTCATCCGCCATCCTCTTCGCAGCTTTCTTGATCCTACGACTCCTCATCCCAGGTTCCTTGTTCCTCCACGAATCGACCGCACGTTGAATTAACCCACGACGGCCCCTGAGGCACGGGTTAACCCAACACAAACCCCAAGCAAGACGATTACACTCCGTCTCATACCTCCACCTCACGCCTTTATACTCGCTCTCATCACTGACCACAGCCTTGGGATAGACACAATGATCCTTCTTGAAATCCTCCGAGAGCCCAGACGGAGGCGGACAGGACGATATATCGGTGAGGATGGTATACAGCGTCTTGTGCCTCTGCAACGAATACGTAAAGGATAACAACGTATTCCCATTCGTGTCCTCGGTGACTTTCACACGATCAGCCGGCAACGGACCCGAAGTGATACTAGGCGTCTGCTGAATCCCAGCTTGCTTCGGCGTGTCGTTGATCCTCGACTTACGAGGCGCGGTCGTAGGTCTTCCGCCGCCAGACCTGTTTAAGGTGGGACTACCCGCGTGGTGACCGAGAACAGCAGCATCGGTCAAGATCATCGCGACCGGATCAATGTTGGAAACGTCGACAGGAGCAGGCGTAGCCCCGGTGGTACTTCCAGCCTTCCCCGAAACAAACACAACTCTCTCATCCTCCAAACCCGACCGCATCTGGGCGTCCTGGACGGAGGTCTCGTGTCCCTCCACCTCTTCGTCACCGACGCTGCTGCTGCTCGGCTCATGTCCATCCCCAAGCACAATCGGAGCAAAAAAGATCCCCTGCCCCTTCCCACTCTCCCTCAAAATCGGTAACTGGTACCCTCCTCCTCCACGATGATACGAAAACAACATGGGTTCCTGCGGGACCGGATCCACCATCACAGCCCCGTTACGGGAGTTTGGGGGTGGTGGGGCCGCCGGGGGTTGGTATCTCCAACCGACTGGAGAGGACAACGAGTTCGGGGGCGGTGGGAGCCAGGATACTGGATGGTTTGGCGGCGCTGGGAGTGCGAGGTCGGGCCGGGGGTCCCAGTGGGAGTGCCAGGAGTTAGAGCGGTGGGTGTACTCTGCACCTGCGTACGAGTACGACGACCCGTTCTGATACTCGACAGATCCGGTTGGAGCGGGGGATGAGGACAATGTGTGGTGGGAAGAAGGGGAGAGGGTATGTTGCGAGTGCGGCCTCTGGTCATAGCCGTGACCGATAGAAGAGGAGGAGAGCGCATGGTGACTCGACGTCCTCATCGACTCTTGATCTTGGTCCTGGAGGAGAAGGGACTGAGAACCCCCAACTGCCTCCTCGATGGACCTCGGACGAGGCTTCTCGTGACCAAGTAACTGAGGCCCATGAGCATACCCGTAATATCTCTGGTGCGACGACGAACCAGCGGCGAAGCGCCAAGGCGGAGGAGGGGATGTGGGTACGTTGTAAGGCGAACCTGTGTGGTGGAAGGGCGTGGGAGTGAGGTCCAGCACTTGGTGATGTTCGGACATATCAAGAGCAGACGCTCAGAACTCGGGGGTTGTAGAGTGCGTGCAGGGTTGCGAACCGTGGTCAACCCCCCTTTTACCTCTGACTAGGGATCCCATTATCGCCATGGCGCATGTCCGTCGCCTTGTTCTCTCTCGAGATATGAACTTTGAGTTGACACTGGCATCTCGCGCGCTAACCCGATCGGGACATCTAATACTGCGCGCGTGGGAATGGATTGATTATCTATGCTCACCCAGCGCCATCTCCCTCAATACCTTCAACCGTCCATCCCCCTCAGCCTCACCCTCCGCAGTACACTCAACCACACAAACCCTCGCGTTCTCCCTCACCCCCTTCTCCGACGACAACCCCAAGACCTCGTGCACCACCTCCCCGACGACTTTAGATTTCAGGACCTCTCGCACCTGCGCCCGGCCTTGTTGGTTCGTCTTCCCCAGCAACGCGAGCGCCAGGAATCCCTCGGCTTGGAGGGCCGGCCATGTCGATTGCGTGACTAAACACGCCAATGCGGATGCCGTGCGGTCGTGTTTCGTCATGGGCATCAATAGGGCGGGGTTGTGGGCAAAGTGAAGTGTCCGTAACACCGCCGCGATCGTCCTAGCGCGCTCGATCTCGAGATGTGGATCATCACGAACGCCGTTCTTCTCTTCTGTCGTCGGGATGACATTCATGAGTGGATCGAACAACCCCGGACCCAACATCAGGTACGACGAATTCGACAAATTCATGTTCACCAACATCCTGCAGACCCCAACACCATCAATCCGTAACCTTACATCCTCACCCTCCCACAATCCCCGCAAAACATCCCAACATCCCTCGACACTCGCAATCACATCTTTATTCTTTGGCGGAATTGCGAGATTCCTCAGGAAACCTGCAGCGAAATGCACGGCTTCCTTTTCCTTTGCAGTCCCCATGATACGCACCAAGTGTCGGTGGAAAGCGTTGTGGACAAATTCAACGCATACGTCCTCCAAAGTCGCCACATTCCCAAGCAGCACACACGCAGTAATCCACAACTCCTCACTCGATCCCTGGAGCCAGGTGAGGAGTATCTCGTCGTCCACGCTATCACGGGCAAACTCAACATCACCCAGGACGCGATCCAACTCCTTCCTTGCGCGTTTCCACTCCCCTTCATCCTCGTCGTACTCGTTGTCGATTTCTTCGTCGTCTGCATCCGACTGCTCACCCAACAGCTCCTCATCCGCGTTAGGGAAGAAATTCACTTCCCGTGCATCAGCTGAGACGGTGGCAGCGTCCTCTAGAGCTCGGAGGAGAGACGTCAGCCCCTCCCGGGTGTCGATGGCTGCCTTTCCCGGCTCGTGGGCGAGGGCTGAGATGAGGTTGTCGAGTGTGAGTGTCCGTTCGTAGAGGTCGATGTCGCGGCACACGTGTCGTAACAATACCTGCACGATTTTGTCCAATTGTGTAATTAATTGTCCTCCTCCTTCTTCTTCTTTTTCTTGCGTTTGTAAGACAAGTCCCAACCCACGCAATGCCGATCCACAATCACCCCCATCGCCCTCCCGCTCAATGACTTCCAGCAGTGTGGTGACAGCACCAGCCTCGACAGCTGCTCGTTGCGCGGCAGGATATCCCGTAAGGAGGTTGATGAATACGATTTGCGCGATCGTGGAGACCATGAGATCAGGGTGTGCGAACAACGGCAACAATCTCCCCAAAAGATCGTCTTGGAGGAGGAGGAGTCGTGTGGGGTCGTGGTCGATACAGGCGTTTCCCAGGACGCGCAAGGTCTGCAACAAGACTGGTCCCATCATCAACGAATCAGAATCATCCGGCTCGGCCTCATCATCAGGAGGAGTGGGAGTGGTTGAGGGGAATTGAAGTTTGAGGAGGGTCCCGGCGGAGGAGATGTGTACGCTCAACACCTGCTTCAGGAAAGACCGGAGGAGCTCGGCTGCTGTACTCGTGAATACAGGTCTGAGCTTTGGCGTGCGGAGTGCATCTGCGAGATCTTTGAGTTCGGCGTCGACTGACTGCGTGGACTCTGTTGGTTCAGCTGGCGCGGCGGGTACTGGGGGAAAACATCGGTTTAGTAATTTGATGGAGTGGAGGCGGAGGGCTTCTTCGGTTTCTGGACTTGGGCTGTGAGGGGGGGGGGGAGTGGGTTAGCGAACTGAGCGGTGGATGTGTGCGAGCAAGCTGAGGGGTTTGATGGTTACTTCTCTGTGAGCTTTGTAAAGAGATGCGTCAAGGTCATCTCTATCTCTACCGCTATCTCTATGGCTATGCTACGGATTGGTCGGTGTGTGGGGCAGCAGTCGTGACGGAGATGGTGGTGTGACTGCTGCGCCCAATGGCTGACCCCTGACAACTCCCCACCCGAACAACAGAACAACAGAACAACAGACATCACCAACAGCAAACATGGCCCCCGTCGCTGCCTTCGCCGACGTGCCCTTGGCTCCTCCTGGTACGGTTCCCATCCACCCCCTCTCTCTCTCGCCCCCGTTGCTCAAGAGTGCTTGCTGTACAGATGCCATCTTCCACTTGACAGCCTCCTACAAAGCAGACACATTCAAGGACAAGATCAACCTCGGCGTCGGTGCTTACCGCGACGATGACGGGAAACCCTGGGTTCTCCCCGTCGTGAAGAAGGTACCACCACCCTCCTGCCCAAACATAGACGGTGTGCTCATTGGCGACGATTAGGCCGACGATCTCCTCCGATCCGACCCAACCCTCGACCACGAATACCTCCCAATCGCAGGTCTCCCTGCCTTCACCTCCGCCGCCGCAAAGCTAGTCCTCGGCGCCGACTCACCCGCCATCAAGGAAGATCGCGTAACCTCCATCCAAACCATCTCCGGCACCGGCGCGAACCACCTCGGCGCCGTCTTCCTCTCCCGTTTCTACCGCAACGGAAAGATGAAGTGTTACTTGTCCAACCCAACCTGGGCAAACCACAAAGCAATCTTCGCAAACGCCGGTGTCGAGACCGCGGAGTACGCATACTTCGACCCCCACTCCCTCGGTTTAGATTTAGCTGGTATGCTTCGCGCGATGGAGACTTGCGAGGAGGGGAGTATTTTTTTGTTGCATGCTTGTGCGCATAACCCCACCGGCGTCGACCCGACACAGGAACAATGGAAGATGATTGCGGAGGTGATGGAGAGGAGGAGGTTGTTTCCGTTCTTCGATTGTGCGTATCAAGGTTTCGCATCTGGCTCTCTCGAAAAAGACGCGTGGGCGATTCGTTATTTCGTGCAGCGTGGGTTCGAGATGCTCATCTGCCAATCCTTCGCCAAGAATTTCGGGTTGTACGGGGAACGCGCGGGATGTTTCCACTTTATCGCCTCGACCCCCGACGCAGTCAAGCGTGTCGGTTCACAGTTGGCAATCATCCAACGTTCCGAAATCAGCAACCCACCCGCGTACGGCGCCCGCCTCGTTTCCCTCATCCTCAACTCCCCCCCGCTCTTCACCGAGTGGACACAAAACCTCTCGACCATGGCCTCCCGCATCATCCTCATGCGATCCCTCCTCCATTCCGAACTCGTCGCCCTCGGCACCCCGGGGAGTTGGGACCATATCGTTGATCAGATTGGTATGTTTTCGTATACGGGCTTGGGAGGGGAAGAGGTTAGGAAGTTGGTGGAGGAGAGTCATGTTTATTTGACGAGTAACGGGAGGATTTCGATGGCGGGGTTGACGAGGGGGAATGTCAAGTATTTTGCTAGGGCTGTGGATAGGGTTGTTAGGGAGGGTGCGGGGGCGGGTGGGAAGTTGTAGTGATGGGGTTGTAGTGTATATATGGGATGTATGATATGTAATTTTGATTGCGATTTGTGCTTGATCCAAGTTATTCTAATCACAATATTCAGCGACAGGCGCCGGCAGAGCGGTTCCGTCCTTCAGGCACCCAAAAGCTTAAGTAAAGCGCGACTATGTACAGCGTTCGTCGTATTCGGCATCAGGTCAACAAAAAAACCACAGAGTCGACCGACATCGTGTTCTCTATTCACTCGTCTTCACTCATTCATTCGCTCACTCGCACCATGCCTCCACCGGCAAAGAAACTTGGTACCCTCATCGTGGTGGTGATGAAGGGAAAGAACCTACCGAACCGAGTAAAACTCGGGAAACAGGATCCGTATTGTATTTGTCGTATTGCGCATGATGCGAAGAAGACGAATACACATAAGAGAGGGTACGCCTGGTCGTCAGGGGTGTGAAGTGTTGTGCTGACCCGTGATGATTGTGTAGAGGACAAAACCCAGAATGGGACCACGAACTGCGATTCGAGATCATGGATTCCGCGGATCATAAATCTATGAAACTTTCGGTATTCAACGACGACTCCAAAAGCCCGGATTTGGTGGGTGATACGGTTGTCGACCTGAAGGAGACACTGCGGAAGGGGGAGTTTGACGATTGGGTGGAGTTGAGGTATAAGGAGCGGTACGCGGGTGAGATCTATATGGAGATGACGTTTTATAGTGCGGTATGTGATCCCCAGATAACCGCAACGGCAACAGGAGTAGCTGATGAGGGTTTTTTTTTAAAGGCACCACCTCCCATCCCTCCGCAACCGCCTGCGTTGGCACCGAGTCCCTCCAGACCGAAAAGAAGGCCTTTACCACAACAACCGGGGTTACCCGAAACCGGTGGATCTGGGTCTTTACCTCCTGCGAGCGCACCAGCTGTTCCCATGGCTCACCATCGCCGAACACAGGCCGGAGCATCAGCCGCGCCTCCTCTACGACACTACGCAACCGAACCCGTCGACGCTCGGGGTGGTGATCCACCACCTCAGTTACTCCACCAACACTCCGCACCACAACAGCATGGATTGGCCGTTGGAGCGGATGAACAGTACTACCCAGACTACGAATCTGCGCCATATCCGGAGGAGATGTACACGCAACCCTTGCCCTCCTCCACACGCCGCCACCACAGACCCAGCGATATCAGTGTCGGTGTCAGCGTCGGTGGTGGAGGAGGGATATTACCCGAAATCAGCGTACCACCCAGCGGAACAGGGTATGCCCGTCGACCACACACGCCGCTCTCGGCACCCCCCCACGCCCAACCGACGCGGTATGTGAGCGTCACATCTGGTGCCGGTCCTGGCTTGTATCAACCGCAGGCTGTCTACGCGGCGGCGGATGAGTTCCAGCTAAGCGTGCCCGCGCAGCCGGAGGTGGTGTATAGCGCCCCGCCTGGGGTTGCTGGGTATGAAGTCCCGGTTCGGAGGGTGAGTCCGTCATACGCGCCGGGTAGGGGTTCGTATGGAGGTGGTGGGGTCGTGCCGGGTTATCAATCGCGTGGATCGAGCGGGAGGTATTCGGCGGCGGCGGCGGAGGTGGTGGAGTATGGTGCACCACCGCAGTTGTATGAGCAGCAACAGGTTCGGAGGGGGAGTGGTGGACTTGGTGTTGGTGGTGGTGGTGGTGTACTCCCGCCCCCTCCTTCTGTGCAGGAATATCCCCGGCAGCCGAGTCCGCTGCGGATGCAACAGCCGCCAGCACCATCACAGATGATGGATCAACAGCAGGCATATCTCGACATGCCATCTCCACCAGCCGTCTCCAAAGGTTTCGTGCCGTTCAATCCGGCGACGTATGATGAATATGTCCCCCCCACCACTCTGACGAGTTCGGATCCGCATGGGCAGTTGCATGGGAGTACGGCGCCGAGCTCGTATGATCCGTATCCACAGGAGGATTCGCCTGTGAGACAGTTCTTGCCGCAGCAGAATCATTACGTACAGCAACCGGCGTACAGCAGCCACGATGGATATGGATACGACGAAGCTTCGGTACCACCACCCCATAGTCAGCCGGTGGACTACGACTACGACTATGAACGTCACGAACGTCGAAGCAGCGACCGCATCCCGCCGAGTTCGTATGCGCCGAGTCCAGCCGAGATTCGACATCAACATCACAGGCTCCCCGCCGTGCCGCCGCTCCCACCGAAGATTCCAATGGGGATGAGTAGGGATGAGTGGTATGCGACGGAGGGTGGGCAGTATGTGGAGCACCCTGACCATGATTATGGGTATGCGCATGAGCAGGGGGGGTATGATCCTCATGCGGGTTACGCCGAGGGGTACGACGATCAGGGTGCGTATGGACAAGGTTCAGGACACGGTCTTGAGAGTGGATGGGAAAGGGATTTACGAGGGAGCTTGGGTGGTATGAATGACGATCCGTACGCGACAGCGGCGAGAGTCGGGTCTGGGTATTCACAAGGTCCTCATGCGAGGAGGAGCGGGTATGGGATTGATGGACGGCCTTTGAGAAGGTGATTTTTAGCATTTTTGGTTGCGTGTTTACGTACGCTGGTCGTGACGAACCGAGACCGATATAGTCATATACATGTATCGCATACAACTCAAATGGCTCTCCAGTCTCGTAGGCCGTTCGGTACCGGTACCGGTGTAGTACGTCTACGATAAAGCGCGCCGCAATCACAGCCACGCAAAACACTACACCAGACCTCCTGAGTGCACCGACCGCCTCGTCTCCTGATACAAGCCGTGCGCTGAACAGGCCTCAGAAAACAAGCAACTGGGCTAGAGCTTGAGCTTCTCCTGATCGACGGGACGTGGCATATATAAGGATGGGTGTTCCGCCAGAGGACGGACGAGATGAGGAACCTCGACCCGGACAAGCTCAAGGTCAACACGACGAGCGGCAAGACGAAGACGAAGACGAAGCACGACCGAGATTTACAGACCCATTCCACCATTCACAGCCTCTACCACCCGAACTCGAGCTTCCCGCTCCAGCACCAGCACCTACCTCTCCAATCCGTGTCGACTTTGTCCCACCTCCACTACAGCGTGACAGGCATCAATCCACTCTCTCCTTCATCTCAAGAACGGAAGAACAAGAACCTCCCCACCCCCGTCCCTTCCGCTTTTTACGCCGTAAAAGTGTGAAGATGTTGCATTCATTGGGTGTTTTGCATGATCAGAAGATTGAGGATCAACTCGACGTTCCTGGTATGTCTTTCCCCCTATCTCCCTTGTCGTGTATGCTAATGAATCTCGCGCGGTAGGAACGGTACAGCTCTATGCTCCAACGGGTGAATCATCCACAGCCCCCTCCCTCTCCTCCTCCTCCCACAACGACCCAGCCCTCCAAACAAACAACGCCGGCATCATCCTCCGTCCCCAACCCTCCTCCGACCCCCGCGACCCCCTCAACTGGCCTCTCCGCCACCGCGACCTAGCATTCACCTTCCTCATCATCCACTCCCTCGTCGGCGGGGGACAAACCCCAATCCTCGCCGCTGCGTTCCCACAAGTCTCACAGGATTTGGGGGTGTCGTTATCCAAGGTTTCGATTACGACGGGGAGTTATATGCTTGCGCTTGGTATTGGGTCGGTGTTTGCGAGTCCGTTGAGTTTGAGGTGGGGGAAGAGGGGGGTGTGGATTTTGGGGATCTTGATTATGTTCGTTAGTACGCTCTGGGCTGGATTTTCGCACTCTTATGGGAGTTTGGTGGCTGCACGTGTTGTTGAGGGATTCGGTGTTTCGCCATGCGAATGTCTCGCGTCCCCTATCATCGCCGACCTCTACTTCCAACACCAACGTGGGTTTAGAGTCGGGCTCTACACCCTCTTTCTCATCGGCGGCAAGAACTTGGTACCACTCGTTGCGGCGGCGGTTTTGGAGGGGACGGGGAGTTGGAGGTGGATTTTTTGGATTGTGGCGATGATTTGTGTGGGGTCGTTCGTGGGTGCTTTCCTATTCTTGCCTGAAACCTCTTGGGTGAGGGATTATTCGGGGTCGTCGTGTGACAGTTCTGCGGTGGAGGAGAAAAAGGAGGGGGATGTCGGTGCAGATGCGGTTGAGGGGGGTGATGGTGTGCAGAGTACGGGGAGTTCGCCGACGAAGGTTGGCGGTGCGCGGCCCCATGTCGAGGACGGCGGAACGGTCACGCTCAATCTTCCCATCGTCCAAAAGTCTGTCTCGCCGCCTGCCCCGTCCGCGCATGCTACCCAGAACGAGAGCAACCCACCTTCATCCACTTACACGACCGAGAAAGACAAAGACCCTGAGTCGGGCGCGATGAAGCCTCACACCCTCTTCTCCGATCTCCGTGTCTACCGTGGTCGACTTACGCAGACTGCACTTCCGACGTTGTTTGCCCGTCCGTTTGTGCTGTACACTTACCCGACGATCTTGTGGTCGGCACTTCTTTACTCGCTCTCGGTTGTTTGGCTTATTGTCATGTCGGAGGTTCTCTCTCAAGTCTTCCGTGCTGAACCATACAATTTCACGCCGATGGGGGTTGGGTTGACGTATATCTCTGCGCTTATTGGGAGTATGGCTGGGAGTGGTATCGCGGGGAAGATGAGTGATTGGACCGTGAGGTGGATGACGAAGAAGAATGGAGGAGTCATGGAACCCGAATTCCGTCTCGTCCTCGCGGCGCCCGTGGCACTCACGACGACGATTGGGTTATGGGGCTTCGGCTGGTCCGCCTCCCGTGGCGACCCGTGGATCGTCCCCACCGTCCTCTTCGGTATCCTCGCATTCGGCTGCACTCTCGGCTCCACCGTCGCAATCACCTACACTGTCGACTCCCACCGCGAGATAGCGGGAGAAGCCATGGTCACCATCAACCTCTCCAAGAACCTCGTTGGATTCGTGATTAGTTTGGTGGTGAATGAGTGGGTTGATGGAATGGGGCTCAAGGGGGTTTTCTTTGTGTTGGGGGGGATTCAGTTGGCGGTTAGTGCGTTGACTGTGCCGTTGTATGTTGCGGGGAAGAGGACGAGGGGGAGGATTCATCGGAGGAAGGCGTTGAAGGTGTGAGTACTGTCATCCATGGGGCGTCTTTGATGACGGTTGTATTGGATAGGTTGGTGTGGAGCGATACAAAGCAGGAAGGTGAGTGAGGTGTGGCATACGTGTGTGTTTTTCATATTTCGGATTCAGTTTAAAGTATGGTATCGTGTCGTTCGATGGAAGGCAAGGGTCAGGTATTCTGGAGTTTCTATATTGCTATCATAGCGTACTCGCGCTTTATTCGGTTCGGGACTTGGGCGTTTTCTAAATCATGTTGTTTGCTCAACCCAGACCCATTTTGTCGATGTGGTCGACTGATAGACGACTCTCCTTTTGCGCTCAAGATTGTGAAAGCACTTTTCCAGAGTATTCATCTTGATCACGAACGTCCGTGCTTTTGCACCAACGCCTTCCACCTCTCTCTCACAACATCAACTCCCTTCTCCGCAACCGGGCTCGTCCCCCGTATACTCTCGAGGAAGTCGACAATCCAGTTCAACTTGGCGCTCTTGGTGCTCATGAACCCTAACTCATCATCCCTGGCTGCGGCGAATGTCAAGACTGCGAGCGCAGCATTGAAGGTGTAATACGACACCGTCCACGATACCTGTGCGTGAGCTCCAAATTTCGGGACCAAGGCCCGTATCAACTCCACCGTATCGTAAATCGCGGTGAGATACTCCTTCTCATGCCAGGTGTGTTCGAAATCGGAAGGGTCAGGACGGGGGAGAAATGGAGCGTGCAGTGAGATTTGAAGGGAACACCGCAGTAATGCAAGGACGGCTGTCTGCATCGCCAACCTCCTGTCGGACTTTTCCGCAATGTATTCCGGATCAAGAACCCACGTAGTGTTGATGGCTTCTTTTATCTTGAACTCCTCCGGGAGCGCCCAGGAAAAGCGTTTGAGTGAGTCGTGTAGCTGTCGTGCCTTGGCTTCGTCTGTGGGAGAACAGGCCCGGATTTCTCGCATCAACTTACCGAGCCGCATCAGCGCGACATCGAAAGCGTCGTCTCTCCCATGCTTTGTCGTGAGATCCTTGTCCATATTGAGAGCATCCAGGGCCGGGATGGGCGTGAAGTCCGCGTCGAGGACGGAGGACAGGAACGAATCTTGGTAGACAAGTAGACGAATTACGCGTCTCATCTCCTCCGTGTCCCCGGTCTCTCCTTCAGCAGTAGCACTCCCATCACCCCTCCGCTTGCCTTGGCCGGGCTTCCTATGGGCCAACCCCAATCCACCTTCAACCCTCCGAGCCAGCCGCAACACAGATCCCATGAGCGCTTCACCCTCCTGTACCCTGTTTTCGTGTAAGAGATATGAGATCGTGAGTGCGAGCGCGGTCATAACATTCAAGGAGGGAGTCGGGAGGGATAGAAAAGAAGATGCACGGAGTGACTGCCAAGAGGCTGAAGCGTAGATCGCTGCAGTCAATCGCGGTTGTTGGGGTTTCTCGATTTTGGGTGCGGGGGAGAATAGTGAGGCGAGAGAGAAGATAGAGAAGGCGACTGCCAACCACCCCGAATTCACGCCGGCCTTTTCTGCCTCGCCTAATACCTCGAACCTTTTCCATTCATCCTCGAACCGGGGTAGATCCACCACATGGTAGAGTGGATCGATCTCCATTTTGTATACTTCTAGGAGATCTCGCACTTCTGCGGACGACGGAAGAATTCGGATCAGGTCGCTGATTTGCGTACCGACGAGGTAGCCGTTCCATAATGCGGGAAATGGGAACCCTTTTGGGTCGTGGAGGAAGGATGCGGCGAATGATGGATTCACGGCGGTAGGGGGCAGGGGCCGTTGTACGTTTGTCGGTTGTGGCCGAGGAGAGGGTGGGCGGGTTAAGGTCGGTGGGTGGGTGGTGTGATCGTTCGTGTTCCCAGGCGCAATACCATCCGCCGCAAGTTGATTTTCCATGAACCTTTCCAATCTCTTCAATCTTTCCTCTACCGTCAGGCTTCCACTAGCTTCCATGCTCCCCTCCACAACCCTATTACATGTCCCATTTCCTACAAGCCCACTCACATCCTCGACCTCGTATTCACAAACACTCGGTAACCCCCTCTTCACGCACTGATCACACGCTGGTCTGGCTCGATCGCATTTTGTTTTTCGGGCGTGGCAGGGGAGACAGACATTTGTCGGACGAGATCGGTGCCGTTTTGTAGAGGGTGCTGGAGAGGTTTCGGAGCCGGTACCAGAACGACTGCGTTTGCCGCTGGTATTCAGGGAGGACAGCATACTATTGATCTATGCTTGTGAACCCTGATCCGAATGTGAGAACTGTCTAAACGGGTCCGCAAATACCGCTCTCGGAAGATGACTTGGGGGGATAGCGCAACGTGCGATCACTGCCTCTCGGTTTTAGGGCCACACATCCAATGACAGGTTGGTGGATCGATATATCAATGTTGGTGGTGGGTAGAAAGGATAGATATTGAGGACATTTCAACAATTTCGACGGTGACGTTACTTGGGTTTGATGCAAAAGACTGCATCTCGGCAATTTTGACCAAGCGAGCAAGTACCGAAAGTCCCGAGCGTGCGCACAGCTCGTATGTATCTCATTTTCGGTATGGCAATCCCGTAGATCGAATGGGTGACACGTAGAGTACCAGTATTACATACGTGCTCTTGAAACCCAGGGTTCTGCAGTGGCAAGAGCAAATCGCGATCGCGCAGTGGCAGGCCAGGATCAGCATCCAGCGGTGATGATTACAGCCAAACGCAAAAGTCATGCGAATCACGTGTAGCACGCGTACACCACACCACCGACAGACCGTAAAACAAATCACGTCGTATCTTGCCCAAATCGAGTCGAAAACGACTGCTGATGGATGCTATCGAACCATCGCAGCGTAGGGCTTCATCCCGTGTTGCGAAAGCATGTGTCGACACGTCGTCGAAACGGATGTTCCATCGACAGCGCCACCTAGACTCCAGAACCAAAAAAAACCTTCAACAACCCGCGACGAACCAGAACCGCTTCCAATTCCATCAGATGACGACGAAGAGTTCCAGTTGCAGCCATTCGCCATCAAATTTGCCACCACTAGGACTGGGAGTAAGCCCTCGATGGAAGGGCAGGTCACGATTCTACCGTTATGGGATTATGACTACATCCACGCCATGCTCATGAAAAAGGCAGCCGAAGATCTCTGTGACGATCCGAGCTGCCCTGACGACATATCCCCCCAGATTTCTCCATGACCATGGGTTACCGGATCATTCGGGGTAGGGAAAAATCTGCGGTGACGAGACTGCGCAGCGCCGCCGACTTGGAGGACTTGAAGGATCAAGTGAAGGATCTACAGGAGGTCTACAGTGGTAAGAACAAGAACTGGAGTGTTTCCATCAGTCTTCAAGCGAAATACGTCCCTCCCATTTCGAGTGGATCTTCAGACGGTGAACTCGATAATCCCGCCCGCATCCATGGAGGACGTAAGAGGGCCAAAAAGCGCGGAAACAACCCCTCCAAGCGTATGCTGTCCGACGTGAGGCAACACGCTGAGAACAATGCCTTCAAGCGAACTGTTTTGTCTAATGTCACCAGGCTTCAGGAAAAATGGGTATGTGAAGAACACGAAGGGTACTGCTGGAAGGTCCCGAGCTCAGGGAAGCATATGCACCTTGCATCACATCATCTGAGCCGCTGGGGGCAGTTCATGGCCCTTCCTCACAGTTCTGTTGATGAGTTGGCCCCACCGCATACACCGACGTTCGAAAAATTTCACAGAGGCACCCTACACGCCGCAGCAAGCTCCGAGAGCTACAGTACACCAACTCCTACCTCGAGAATTACGCCTGCGATCTCCTCGACTCCCGATGTGCCGGCTAATACTCCGATTCCCACGGTCTTCACTGCGCCGGTACCACCCTCAAGCCCATTACGGATGGAGGACGCCGAGGATGTAGCAGGCTTTATGAGTTTTGTTGCGAAAAACAACCCTAGCTACACCGGGTTCAATGCTGCGCAGACTGAACAAGCTTTTCGCGAAAATGGATTGGCACTCGAGGATTTAAAGAGGGTGCCTCCCGGTTTGACCATCCCAGGTATCCGACCAGGAGATACGCTTGCTGCGCAGCGCTGCTTGCCACTTTGGAAGGCGCCGGCTCGAGGCCCAACTGCAGTCCATGGATTCAGACGTATGTCCTCCCAGCACTCCCCCGAAGAGTACCATGCTGACGAGCTTGCTTAGTAATGATGTTCTAAGCTTTTCCGCAGAGCTGTGCAACTTTGCCCGAGTCACCCATTGGCGTGAGAGCATTTTTGCATATATATAAGCTTGGTCAGCTTAGTTCGTGAAGAGGATGAATGTCGGGCAGGAGAGAGGGGTGTCAGGATCTTTCTTCTTTTATGTTTTTCGAACTGTACCACTCCCATTGTATATAGTCTATGTTTCGTCAAGTTGTAGGCCTCTTACTCTCCGCCGGTATGTCCCAGAGTTCAGGAACCGAGGATTAAGGGACATTTCATGATGTAAATGATGTATATTATGCTACAGCTACCAAGTTATGCCTTCCAGGGTGAGATCTACAGCGCTTTGCGCCTCTGCATTGCGATATAACTGCAGTTCTTCCTTCGACAACCCATATCCGCGCTTTTTCATTAAGCTGATGCATTTGTCGGGAAATGCATTGATAGCAAGGTCAATTCCCTCCGCCAAGAACACATTGCAATGATCCACGGCGCAAGGATGGTCACGGTTGCGCTTCGTCCAAGCCTTGAGCATCGAAAATGTGATTTCTATGGGATTCAGGTCAGGTGAATAGTGTGGTAGGTACTCGATTCGACACCCATGACCAATAATCAACTCCTTTACCCTTGAATCATGATGTGTAACACAGTTATCCATGACAACCACACTCCTAGACTCCGGGTACGGCTTGCTAACCCTAACCCTAAGTGCACCAAGAGATCATCCGCTATGAAATCGACAAATCGATCAGCATTGAAACTGCCTTGGTAGCATGAATAACACAGCATACCATTCATCGAGAATGCGGGAAGCAGAGACCAGCGCAAGCCACGGGCTAGCCGTCGATCTTCGCAAGCTGGAGTACCCTCGGGCGAATAGCCGAACTTTCGATAGGTGCAGCGGTTGTCAATACTCGATTCGTCCAAGAAAACAAGCATATCCATCGAATAGTTCGCGAACTGTAAGGCGTGGTTTGCTCGTAGGGTGGCATTTCTCTGAGCAGCCCGTACTTTAAGCTTTTTCCGGGTCCACTTGATTCGCTTGAGGTACCGCTGAATGTCCCACGGATTGATGTCGGTACAGAGCGTTTCGTTGACGAAATCGGCTGCTTCATCGTGGTATAGACTCGGGGTGTTCATGAATAGCAACTGGATATGCTGGGAGAGATGTAAGTGTATGCTGTTTTTGCGATGGAGAGTAAACCTTCCTGCCCAACATGATCATCAATCTTTCGAGGTCTTCCTAAGCCCTAATGATTGGGCAATTCATGGGTACCCTCGTCGTCATAGCGTCGAAGAATGCGGTAAATGGTGCTTCGGTGCTTACCGGTCCATTCTGCTACCTCCTTAGTAGCTTGTCCACGGAGGCTGTTCTGCACCACAAGCGCTCGAACCTCATTGTGAACGCGCTTACCGACCATTCCCAGGTCCTGAAACGTCCTGGTTGAGGAGTAATTGTATTTTTGCTGGGTTCACGTCTGCTGCTTGGTGGTGGTGTACGCGCGCTACACGTGATTCGCATGACTTTTGCGTTTGGCTGTACATATACTTCATATTGCTGACCGTACCTAAGCTTACACATCCGGCCACTTTCCGGTTGGATCATACCATAACATACAGGAACCTTCGCCAAGATCACCTCACATCAGACCTCGATACTTTTCCATCTCGTTCCGCAGTCTTGCGAGATTAGCTGCTTCCTCACTTGTGGGGTCACTGGATTCGAAGTTGATGATCCTTGTGTAGTTGTCAGCGTACTTCAGTGCGGCTGAGTTGATCTCAAGGAGCAGTATGTAAAACTGAAGAGTCAGCAGTTGCCCATCGCGATCTTGAAAGGCTAGGCGCGTACCTTTGGGTGCGTTTCCATCAGACTGCGCCGTAGTTCCGAATGATATGATATTGGTTGGTACTCAGAACTTCCATAAGCTGATACCTCTGATCGTTAAACTTGCTTGGACTGATTGGTTCACGGTAAACGCAGTGTTAGAGGGATTAAAGAGGGTGAAGCCTGGCCGTTGAAGCGTAGCAACGAGATGTTCTGTCCGGACAAGCGTGATATGTGCGCGCGAACGTCCCACGGTACCGGCCTGCTCACAACCTTACAAACGGGCGACCGGTGCGAACCCGCCACGTCATCAGTCCGGCTTCAACGAAAATAAACGTTCATGTGATACCAATGGAGGTCGCCCCGAAGCAACGTGTGGTCGGATGATACACTTGGCACGATCTGGAATTGCGTGATGGGGAGGATATAAGCCGGGTCTCACCTGCCGTCCCACGACATCGCTCAAGGCAGACCGGTCTGACGAATTAGTTCAAAATGAAGCAGTCAAGAAGAGGATGCTACAAGGTGCCATGGCTCCAAAGGATGGAGGCGCCGAGAAGAATCAAGCACATGGGTTCGAAATGGTGCCCTGGTTGACGCTAACCAGCATCACCAAGACTTGAGCTGACTATGTGCAGTTCATCTTCCAGAATCCCGAACCCGACATCAAGCTCGTTCTAGCGAGCGGCGACTACTTTCTTGCCCATGCAAGTGTTTTGGCAGCTGGTTCCGAATTCTTCGCGACCGCCCTCAACGGCAACTGGGCAGGATCAGACAGCGAATACACTGATGGAATTCGATATGTCTGGAGAAGATGAGGAAGTCATAGTGTGCTACTTTCGAAAGTCCTGTACCCAGCCTCAGGTTTTAGCTCCGCACCGATCTTCACTGCTGCTTTGACAATCTTAAGCCTCAAGGACGGTGATAGGTGTCACGACGTGCTCCTTCTCCTCAGGAATGCCAAGCGGTATTTGGTTGCGGATGGGTTAGAAAACTCGGAGAGTTTGAAAACGAAACTTTCAGATAGGACGACACTCTTACGCGTGAAGCAGGTAATGATATTATCCAGCCGGGTGTGCCGATGGTATCATTATATCAGGAGTCTAGCACTTGGTCAGACATCATGGACATATTCTCCAAGATCCTGGTGCCTATCCTTTCGATCGTTGACGACTTCGACAATGAACGGCATGTTGTCATGTTTTTGCTGCAGGCAAGACACTGGTACCCGGCGCAAACGACAGTACCTTTACGGCTTGAAGGCCTGGCGTTACGGCGCGGACTGAAAGAGTGTTAACCGAAGGCTAGTTGTATATATTAACAGTGCCCGTTTGAAGATAATGGCCGCGAATACACATATTCCTACCGTTATAAGTGAGGGAGCATGTAAATCAGAAACACCCCTAACATCCCGAGGAAGACAAGATGTCCCATCTCCATCCCCTGAAGGACCATAAGTATGGTTCCGTGGCAACCCTGATCGCCGTTCCCACGCCTCAGTCCCGGTTCTATGTTCTTCCATACCCAACATGACCATGACATTTCAATCAAAGTCAAACAAGCATGGTATCCAGCAACCGTGGCTGATAAGCTGCTCTTTTACTGTACTTACGTGTAGGCTTTGGTGAGCTATGGCCATTGAAGACGTGGATTGTCTGCCTGCCTGGCAAGATAACGGCAAGTCCAATGGTTGGTAGGAATGCGAATGTAAGTGGTGGTGAGTAGAATTCCAACTGTCCCTATCACTCAAGGTCTTCTGCGTAATGCAGATCGAAAGCTCGTCAAGCAGAGGAAAGGTTTTGCGTAGCGTACCCGGTAGGAAGGACGAGGCACGCAGCCGAGGTCTGTAAGAGTTCACAAGGTCGTACAGGGAGTCACACGATTGGAGGAGATGTTCCTTTGACAGATAGATGTCTTCGCCGTTTCGGACGTTGTTGGTCTGCAGATGAATGGCATTCAGAGGGCGCCGGCATGATGAGCTTCAATGTCACCCAATATACACTGGTAGATAAAAGTGAGGACAGGTAAGTTATCTGATATAGACTCGAACTAACGAAAGGAGATCGCATTCCTTGGTACATGCTCATCGCAATCGATACTGTTAGGGTTGTATGCACGGCGCCCGGCCCTCGAGATCCATGAGGTTCGAGACTGGCGGGCCGCACTCATGGACGTCGACCCAAGGTCTGTTGCCAGCTGTTTCTGACTCAACCCATCACCTCCCTCCAGCTTCTCTTCTCCCAGTCGCTGTTCTCGACGCCGACTTCGCGCGCACCAGCATCCGCAGCCAGCCAGTGACGTCTAGCAGCCTCCTCTCAGCCACCAAAATCAAGAAAACACCCCGTACTCGACCATCCCAACAACAACCACTCCACCACCACTCGACAAGGAGAGCGGACAAAATGTACAGATCACCATCCCAATACAGCACCCGCTCCAACACTGGTGTGACAGGTGGCTCCGCAGCCGCCGCGGCCGCGCGGGCGATGAGTCGCTCATCCTCCACCTCGACCAACCTCGCCGCTTCCGCTGCCGGAGCCGCGCTGAAACGATCGATGTCGTCTGCTTCGGTCAGTGTCGCCCAGCAGAGACCGGGGAGTGCGGCGAGTGGGTTACAGAGGCAGGGATCGACGTATTCGGCGTATACTACGACGGGAGCGGGGACGTACGCGCCTGTTGCTGGACGACCGCAGAGTGTTGCGAGTCAGCAGATGGGGACGGCGTTGAGGCCGACTGGGTCGAGGAGGATTGCGGCTGCGGCGGCTGGAAATGCGACGAATCCGGCGCAAATTCCACGACATGCGTATCAGCAACAGCCTCAGCAGCAGGTCGCGGCTCTACCTTTGACCACGACTTCGAACGCGAGGCAGCAAATGTACGGCGGGGCACCCATTACAAATGTCCAACGACCATCGAGCTCCAGCGGCGTGGCACCACAAGTCCAGCAAAGATTGTTGAAGTCAGCCCAGTCACCCCCGGTGATGTCCTCCGCCTCCTCCACCTACTCCCTCGAATCAATCTCCGAGGCACCACACCCCTCTTCTCACATCACTCCCGCCTCCAAACGCCAATCCCTCCCAGTCCCCGTTAAATCCGCCTTGAAACCCTCCTCCGAGGTCTCCTCCGTCGTCTCTGATGCTTCGGATATCGGAGATGCGCAGTCAAGGCGGGCGAGGAAGGCTAGGGTGTCGTTCTCTGATGACGTGAGTGAGACGCCTTCTCAGCCCCAATCTCAATCGACTTGGGCACGCGTCACCCAAGAGCAGCAGGTGGCACGAGGGCCGGAACAGGTTCCGGGTGGAACGGCACTTGCTCAAGTCATGTCCCGTGCACAAGAAGGACATGGGTACGACCTCCCGGACGCCATCCCGGTCGGTGGGGCTCCACAAATCACGACGACTGCTCCCACTCCGAGAATTGAGCAAGGGCCGTATATCACGACTACTTCTGCTACGGCCTCGGGTGCTGTGTCTAGATCTGGGTCTGGCTCTCCATCGGCTGTTCCTGAGGATGTGATAGCGTCGGCGAGTGTGGTTAGTGGGAGTGGATTACCGCAAATTAAGGAGATTTTGACGCCTTCGGAAGAGGTTACGAGGGAGTTGGGTGATGCTGTCGATGCGCATGCCCTCATCTCATCCGAGCTCGCTGACGCAAAATACGATGAGGGTATGGAAAGCGATGCCACGGGTGAGTCGATCTACTCCGACGCCGAGGAGAATCTCCCAGCTTTCTCGGGGTTGGATGGAGTGTTGAACCAAATCCCGGAAGAAGGCGCCTCACGACGTCAACCCGCGGCAACGATGGAGTATGTCCCGCCCCCACCCGTCCAATACAGTCATGGGAAGTGGAGTGGAGGCGGGTATGGAAGCGAGGATGAGGAGAGCGAGTTTGATGAGACGGCGAGTGTGTCCTCGTTTAGACGGAGAGTGCCGCCGACGAATTCTTCTGCTACTGGGTTTAGGACGACGATGAGGAGTGCTTCTGGGGGGGTTGAGCAAGTGGAGAGTCCGAGGATTGAGGGCATGGTGTCTCATCCTCAGCCGGTGAGAGGGGGTGCAGGAGCAGGGTATGTGGGGAGTGAGGGCGGTGCGGGTGCGTACAACTACGCCCCCTCCATCGACTCCACTACACCAGCGAGGTTCGGTGGTGGACGATACGCAGCCTCTATCGATGAGGCGGGCGTCACGTACCGTCCTGGCCGTATCTTTGGGTCTGAGGCGGGAAGCGAGTATGGTGATGATTCTGGTTTGGGTAACTCCTTCCACGCCGCTGGCCCCGGAGAAGGAGGCGTGGTCGAGTGGGGCCTGAAACGCCAGGATAGTGATTCGAGTTTCAAGAGGGTGAAGGAGGATGAGGGGGAGAGAATGGTCGGTATGTCGCAGCGGAACTTGCGGTCTCCGCCTATTGAGGTACAGCAGCAACCGCAGAGGATGAGGATGAGTATGAGGGATGCGCCGAGAGGGGGAGAGGAGAGGAGGGGGATGAGGACGAGTATGCGCGAGAGTGGGGCTGGGAGTGGTGGCGCGGCACCGAGGAGTGCGAGTAGGGCGAGTGAGAGGAGTCATCAGATGGCTGCTCCTTCTCTCCGTGATGCGCCGGTTACTCCTAAGCGGTCCTCTATGGCTGAACGCTCTCTGAGAAGTGGTGGAGGGGCGCAAAGGACGATGCCACGAAGCCAGAGTTATATCGAACCCCAACGTACCGGAGGTTCGGTCGCGACGGGTGTTTCGGGATTGCAGAGGGAGAGCTCGTTTAAGAGGAATAAGAGTAAGGACAAAGCGATGTCTCTTCGCTCCTTTAACCCTCGGCCTGAAACCCAAGCCCCATTACCGCCGGCACCGAGTACGGGACGGACGACGCTCGTCGATAGGGACTCGAGGGTCTCAGGCAGCGAGGGCTACGGAGGGGTTCAGGGGACGGGAAGACCGAGAAAGGAGAGTTTTAGTGCGAAGTGGATGAAGCACTCTGGACTTGCGCAGATGAAGGCTTCGAAATCGTCACGGAATCTTGACTCTTATTCGGCTGGGGTGCACGATAGGAGTTTTAGTGATGGGGCTGCTGGGGAGTTTGGTGGGAGGAGGCAAGCACAAGCACCAGGGAGTAGGGTACCGGTGCAGAGACCGGGAATGGGGGAGAGGCGGGTTAGTGTGAGTACTAAGACGGGGAAGCCGAAGAAGTTCCAGGTTTTGAGGAGGTTGTTTAGGATTAAGGATTAGGGGGCCGATTACCGGAGGCCGAAAGGAACAGATTGGGGGTGGATGAGGAGCATATGGAGCATATGCATTCCGGAGTACATTCGTTCATGATTTCTTTTTCTTTTTTTACCTATTTCTCGGATTAGTTGACTTCATTCTTATTTTGACTTGCTGGACTAATATTGCGATCGCGGTGAAGCCTCGAGTTCGAGTTCGCAAGTCAAAGCTGCGTGATAACAGAAGACATGATAATATTATTGTTTATCTCTTCGTCGACTTTCTTTCATCCTGGCGAATGAAGGCGAGGTAAAGTTGCCGATGGGACATGCTCCATGACGTCCGCGGACCCTAACTGACGTTCCTCACTCCGCGGTACCCGAATCGAACACCAAACAAACACTGGGGTTCAGGTTTCCCGTGTGACAACCCTTGCAATTGACAGGCCAAGATGGGCTTAACAGATTTCGGAATCAACTTTATCGTCAACTCTGTCGCCGACATGGGTCGGACAGCGGAGCTGTTGTCGTTGGTGGAGTGGCATAATCCGGATCCATCCGCTCTAACCGTGACGGCTGCTGCAGAGGTTGGGGAGAAGGAGGAGAAGGAGGGTAGAAGAGCGCCAGAGCCAGAGGGGGAGGGCGAGTTGATTAAGGAGTCAGTATGTATTGCTTGCGGTGCGCTCGGAAAGGCTCGGAGAACTGGCCATGTGAAGAGGAAGGATGAAGTCTTGAAGGTACGATTTCAATAAAAATCACGACTCTTGCTGGTACTAATGTGAACATTGAATTGCACAGCCCTCGGATTCTTACAGGGAGTTCATCACATCTTCCCCCCTCTACACCCTCTCCTTCCTCCGCACCGTCGACAACAATATTCTCACCACCCTCCAACGCGGGCTCTGGCCACGCCTTCTCCACTCCTGGATTCTTGAACCCCTCCTGAAACTCCTAGCTTTAATACTGTTGGGGAGATTGGGACAAATGGGAGTTGTGTTGGGAAGTTGGGGTCCGCTGGTGTATGGGGTCGTGATGGTGGTGGCGGGGTGTTTGGGGTGGCCAGTCGTGTTTTTGGGTGATGCGTCGATTATTGCAAGTCGGCAGCTTGGGACATATGAGAAGTTGAGATTGAAGACACTCCTCTGGTGTGCACTGAAGGTACTCCCACTGTTCGCACTCACGAACGCGGTAACGTTGGGCGTGGATACCATTCTAGCAAGTACCCTCCTTGAGGAAAAGGTCTTTTGGAAGATGAACGTGGGCATGATATTGCGTACCCTTATTGGGCAACTTGGACGCGTACTAGTGGCTCGTGAGTCCATCATGGTTCTCAGGGAGGTCGACGTGGTGACGATCATCCCCACACCAACACCCAAGGAGACAGGGTGGTTGAGGCAACCGCGGTTGCTTGAGGCAGGGTATGGAGGACTTGGGTGGGTATGGAGGTATATGAAGCAGGTTTTCGTGTGGATGGTGGTTGAGTTTGTGGTTAGGGCGAGTTTGACGGTTGGCAATGGCGGACAAGGTCTGAGCGGGATGGGAATGGGAATGGAGGGGGTGTGGAGTGGGAGTGCAATGGGAGCGCATCCGGAGTTGTGAGGACCGTGAGTAAGACTAGGTATGAAGACACATTCAAGAAATACATGGATGGATTTCGCCCGTGAGCCTGACGAAATACCCGTGGGTTAACCCATCATGATGCTCGGGCAAATTGAATCCTACCTCCCATCACTCCCACAACCCGCCGATGGACCGGGTGAAGGTCCTATTCAAGCACCTGTTGTCAACGCGGGTTCAGCACAGGATATGTACGTTCCTCAGCAATATACGGGTGGGCGCGAAGCAACGCCTCATTCCCCTTCACCGGTGAGGCCGTTGCACCCCTTGGAAGGACACGAGGAAGGTATGATGAAGGAAGCCCGGAAGAAGAAGCGGAAGCTGCCTGTTTATATTCCGTTCCCCGGCTTGACATTTGATAAGGAGCTTGACGAGGCGGCCAAGCACAGGCCTGGGCCTGAATACGGCGGTGGCACCGGCGACGTTGAAACACGTTACAATGGGTATAACAGGGACAGCAGGTTGTTCCAGCGCAAGGTAAGTCCGTGTAGGAAGGTGTCTATTCGCAGCTCATTAAAGTTGTGGTAAAGGTTGATACCGACAAAAAGGTACACAAGTTTCTGCATACCATGATGGGCTTTGCAAAAGGCATCCTGGATTCCAACAGCGTGTATTTCGAAGAGGAGGAGCAGAAGGAGAACTTCGTGGAGGATTTCATGGCTTATATTGTTCAATCCAAGCGTGACCAACGCAAAGCTCACAAGAGGTCACCTTACCAAGATGCACCCCCGTTTTGACGTTCTTTTGGTGCCCAATCCGGTAATTTAGCCCTGCCCGCGCGCACGGCGAATGTGAAAACAGACCTGAAAACGGCCAGTACAAAAATGTGAAATCGGTAAAATTGACCCGGCGAATCCGTTCTTTTATACTTCAGGTTTATCCCTTTCAAGTTTGAGCCTCCTCAGACCTCAATTACGTGAGATATCCCCTACTCTAAGTCGACGTAGGGTTAGCCCGAGCACTCGCTGCCAGCCGGGCCTCTCCACCCTCCCCGGCCAACACTTAGGGTTAGGGTTAGGGTTAGGGTTAGGGTTAGGGTTAGGGTTAGGGTTAGGGTTAGGGTTAGGGTTAGGGTTAGGGTTAGGGTTAGGGTTAGGGTTAGGGTTAGGGTTAGGGTTAGGGTTAGGGTTAGG